CCATTGTCGTAAAGTCGAGCACCGCTTTTCTGGAGATGCTGGATCCAGTAAAGACATGCGTACTGGACTTCAGGAGGAAGACTTTGTTCAACTCGGCTTCTCTCGACATTGGCTACAAGCATGCCGGGGGCATCTACACAACAGATATCTTGCTTAAGTGATGTTGACATAAGCCGTATACAGCTGTCGGTTAATACTTGATAGGCTTGCTTCTCGTCTACCCAGAACTCTGGGTCTTTGCACCTGGCCTTGTTGAGGAGATAGTCCCGAAACGAAGGGTGATGTAGACGGAGTGGGTAGATGTCACCCTTCGGGATGTCTAGAATCGCATAAAGATCCTTCAGGATCCGATCAATCTTTTGCTTCGTGACATTGAGCAGCTTGCCAAGCGAGCTGGCAGAGAGTGGAGAGAAAAGAAGCGCAATACTTCCAAGAATCTGTCGTAGAGTGCCATACAACTCTTCCTTCTCTTTTGCTGAGTAACCTGGACGAATAGTCTTCTTTAGGACAGTAGTGTAGAGCTCATTGAGGTGCTCTTCTGGTGCAGTAGTAGACGTGCTACCTTCTAGCAGAGTTTGTACTCTTTCTTCTGCGAATAGGCCTTCTTGAATGAATCGACAAGCAGTTGCGGCCCATATGAATAATCCACCTGCAATCTGGATCAGGAGTTTGATAGTCTCTTCGCCTGGCCAGCAGGAACCTAGAGAGTGTTCCTGTCCAATGAGAGTAAGATTGTACTTAAAGTAAACAGAGATATCGTGATCTACGATCGATGGAGATATATTGTGGAGTACAAAGTCCTGGTGTTTACCATCTGGTATTTGAACGAAGCCGTTTCGGATCGGAACTTCAGGCCGGCTCGTCAGGAAGACTCGTAATCGAACCGTCTCTAACGATCGAGCTTCGGCCAAGAGATGTAGGATGATCCGGATGTCATTATCATTGTCGCACTCATCGAGTGCATCGACGACAAGGACGTACGCGGATTGGTTACCATTTTCGTTCAGCTTCGACAGCGGGCGTAGGACGAGTTGCTGCCACTGATCACGAAGAGAGTGGCTCGCAATGTCGCGGCGCTCTTTGAGAGCGTCGCATATATGTTGGCCAAGAGACGGTATGCTGATCGCTAGCTGCCACGCAATGCTCGTGACGAACTTGCCTGCATGACCGACGTCTCTACCGCCGCGCTCGAAGAAGAAGCTGGCTCCAAGGCGCTTCTGCTTAAAATATATCCGAGCGACAGTGCGCGTAATCGTCGACTTCCCTGTGCCGGCCAAGCCATTCAGCCAGAAGATGCAGCGCTCGTCTCGGCTATCAGCCCAGCTGTAGATCTCTTGAAGGAGGTCAACGCGGGTATCGGGAAGGCAGGTCACGTCATGTTGTCGCTGGTATGCGTTGAACGGCGCGTCCTCTGCGGTAGGGAGGGATTTAAGCACATCGTTCAAGTCTAGATTTCCAGTCAGCTTCTTGCTGCTTCGAGGCCATAACCAGCTAAGCACACTCACTTTCGCTGCTCCCAAAGTACACAGATCCATGGACAGTGCCAGCAACAACCTGCGAATTCTGGCTGGTGGACACACCGCTAATGCGTTGAGAGCTGCCTGACATGAGCTGGAGTAGAGACGCTAAGTTTTGCTAGCTGCCGGCTGTTGCTCTCTTCTGGCGTGTATTGCCGTATATGTGAACATGTGCATGCGAACACCTGGGAGCGAGTTTATATCTGTACCCAGATGAGGTTCATCCTCAACTAACGAATGCATTCGCCAGGCTCGCCAATCAATACTCCTGCCTTGCCGCTGTCCACTGCTGGAGAGCAGCTGTCGGCTGCAAAGTAGGGCGGAGCTAACGCCAAGACCATTCGTCGACACAGTGTCGAAAGCGAGCATCTCAACTGCCTTTCCATTCCCCTTTCAACTCGCCGCTTTCGCCAGAGGAGGAATTGGGACCAACGTCTGGCCGAGCTGATTCCAAAGACGTAGCTTCCATCTCTGCAATACTCTGTAACCATATTGTATCACGGCTGGCAACTACTGTTTCTGACCATGGCGTGGTACTACCTCTCCTCTTACAAGGCCTCGACTCGAGACCAGCTTGCATGATGTTGGTCACTCGTGCCAATTTCAAGGGCTGTGACCACGTTCACTCCCAAGCAATACGCGATTATTCTCTACCCATACAGGTATCACCAGTAATACTAGAACGGCAGAGGGATGCAGGTGGTATTGTTGGTCCAGAAATATCCCATGAGGAGATATCATCCCCTCAGAGCAGTCCAGCGCTTACTGGGCTATTTTTGTTCCCACCCAAAGGGTATATAAGTGAGGTATAGTCTCCTATTGCGATGATAAGAGGTTCTTTTCCTCCCATAAATGTTGGCGATATGAAGCTTTCAGCAATTCTTTCGTTACTCTAGCCCGTCAGGTCCTTTCTACAGAGTCGTATTTCTGCGATAGAGATGGTGTTCCTACAATCCCTATTAATGCCAATATTGCTGCCCGCATCGATGCAACAAGATTCTTTGTGCCGCTATTCGAATGCAATGGCAATAACATTCGATCATTGCCTCTCAAAGTCCAAGCAGGCCGTAAGAGTGAAAACGCTTTACAAGACTTTGTCCATTCTGATGGATAGCTTAGAATTACTCTTCTCCGGCCCTCCAGTCCCTCTAGCCGCAAGCTCGCTTCAAATATTTGGCCTCGCAGACCAACGTGGTGACCCTACCTCCCAGCAGGCGCAGAAAATACAATCTGCCTTCCTCAACCCTCGATGTCGGGTTGAGTCTAAGGGAGTCACTGGAATGTTCAACGACACTATTATTCTGCAAGAAGGCGAAATTACACCTCTCTATAGTCTATCTTGCACAGCAGAGAGCCGATAAGGGGGAAAGAGCGGAGTTTGACAGTTTTTTTTAGAGGCGATGGCATTGCCGCTTGCTGTATTCTACCTATGCAATTTTCTGGTACCGACCATAATGATGAGAGGGTTGAACACCGGCGTTCTCCTCGAAGAAATGAAAAGACTCACCCACCACTCACCACCATGGGAGGATGGCCAGCGTCGTCTCCCCCATAGTTTTAGCACTTATCATACCGTTTGTGCCTCTGCTTGCTCTCGGCCCTTGCTCGTCATGGACAACAACAATCTCCTTGCGTTGAACCGCTTTACAGAGAAGGTAGAAGGCCTTAGATTGGTGGTGGAAGCTAACGCACCAACAATGGACCACGGATAGTGACGTAGCATCCTAAGAGATCACTATTTGAGGCAAATCGTACTCTATGTAACTGATGCCTGGGGAACCAAAAGAGTGAAAGGCTGATGCTTGTTGATCCTCTAAGCGGATGATTCGGATTTAGATTCTCGATCGTTGGCTCTACAGTTTCTATACAAAGCCAAGCGATATTGGCTTCAGGTTTTATAACTCCAGGGATTCTCGGCGTCCGGCCCTCTTCTTAGGGTAAATTTTACACCTAATCTCAGTAATAAGTGCACTACAGTAGGTAGTGGTAGTAGTAGTAATTTAATTGACACCTTCCTCTTCAGCATATGGAAGCTACCGCTACTATGGCTGTCACTACGTAAATATTATACTCTGAGCCAGTATATACACAGCATTCATACCTCTCTGAGGCCTATGCTCCGTCCTTGATGTGCCGTTTGTGAGTCGCTTCGAAGAAGTTGGAAATATACTAGAGAAATATGACAGGAAATCAGGGAGCAATATAAGAAGACATGAACACGTTCAGAAGAAAAGAAACCTGTCACCGTCTCCGTCCTGGTCCAGTTCTGCGATCATTTTGCTGTTGTTCGTTGAAATGTCTTCCTATTATGGACTGGATTGAAGATATCGTAGCCCCGGGCCAAAGCGGCAAAGAGCGTACTACCTTACGGTCCACCTTGCGCGTCGACGTTGGCGCCCTTGCCGAGCAGCAGCTCGACGATATCCTTATTGCCCCCGGACGAAGCGGCCTGTAGCGCGTTGCCGTAGGTTCCACCTTGCGCGTTCACGTCGGCGCCCTTGCCGAGCAGCAGCTCGACGATATCCATCGCCATTACAGCTTGGCATGTATGCAGCGTAGAGACTCGCTCAACTCCGTCGTGGGGCTCCGCGCACAGTCATCGCTAGACGCCTTACCATCTACAGCCTCGATGTTAGCAGGCACTATCAGTGCTGGCGATGCGGTGCCAGCCGCAATATCTTCGTGCCCAGGAGCACGATCGCGTTCCAGGATTCCATTTTCCGTGTCCTCCTGGTGCGCTGGGCTTGCAACCCGTTGAACGCAATCAGATCGGTCCGTGGAAATCGTCCCTTGAGACATCGAAAAGAGCTCTTGCAGGGTAGGGAGATCATCTCCGTCGCTGCCGCTGCTCTCGTCGTCTTCCGCACCGCCGCTGGTCCCTTGAGCGGCTTGATTAATGTTCTGCGTAGACGCCCGTGCGGCCGCTGCTGAATCTTCTCCAGTCAGCACAACCAGCCTATCACTGAAACGAACCGATAAACTCACAATGGCCCCGGACCGGACTGGCTGTAGCTGGCTGGCGCGCAGGGCAATCTTCTCCGTCACTGTCGTCTCTCAGATCCACAATTTCTATGCTACCGAAGCGAACCCGGCGGCTCTTGGTAGGGCACCGGCCTTGCCCGCGAGCTGTTGAGGTCTGCGAACTGGAAGCTGTAGGAACGGCGCTCCGTGACGGCTGGTAAGGGATGAACATGGCCATAGTAGCGATTACCGTAGATGATAAAAAGTGTAAAGATGGTGTACAAATGCCCGGTAAAGGATAAGGGGGGATTGAATTGAGAATTGCAAGAGGATAGAAATAGTGGCTGCTTAAGTACTCGGGGCCGCTGCGGTGCAAGACGCTCTGCACTCGCTATCCTATCGCCACGGCTCGACCGCTCTTCTACTTGCATGCGCAACCATCGCATCAACCCCTGATTTTGCCTCGCCGCCCTTGCCGCCAGTCCACGATTTGCAAGAGGATATGCATCCTGCACCCAAGGCATGAATATACCATCCTGTCCTGGTTAGCGTGCCATTAGTGATATTGCTTGGAGGGTGCGTCCAAAAATAGTGGAAGATGAAGCTGTAACATAGATTGACGTCAATGCGGTCTGCTTGATATCTTTCGTTTCCTTCCCCCTTTCAGTCCGCGACCAGTGGCGGCCAGATATGATATGCGACGACGCTCTCGCCCCTATGCACACGCCAAAGGTTGGAAGAGAAATTTATCCTTCCAAAATTCCATCGTCGCTGGATCCGAGATCGTACGCAAGCTGCTTGACTCAAAGATAAGGGGCTGCCTCTGTCTAGGAGAGCGCGTGGTTGCGAGGAGGAGTGCAATGACTGGGTTGGAGGCAATCTCGATGGCCGTGCTGGGCCGCCAACCTCGAGCAGCCAGGGGCATCGGTCGTCAGTGGACCATCGTCGGGCGGGCAGATTCAGCTGCTCACGTCCGGATGACCGTGGAAATTCTAGTTCGCGAGACCACATGCAATGTCAACCGAGCAATTGGATCCACAGGCTTTCAAGTTCGCATGGATGAGTTGGCGTGCTGAAGCTGGAACAGCCACACCGCAAAACCCTCCATTCGTCAAGATGACTCACCGTCATCGTCACCGTCGGTGTTACCGATGTCACCTGGTTCGGCCTCACCGGATGCTTTGAGCACTGTCATGTGGACTGCGACTCGAAACTCTTACGTACGAATAGCAGGTTGCAAGCGAGCGAGCGTGGCGCCTCCAATGCCAAGGTTCCAAGCCAAAGACAGACTGGGGCATTGACGTCCACATCCAGCTGCCTATTTGATCCCGGAACGCCCATGCCGGTGTCTGTATGAAACCGCAGTTAATTCAAATGGGCTGAAGGGATCGGGCGATCACGATCATCATTATGCAATCATAATCATGCGATGCACGGCGTGGTGTGGCCGAGCGCTAAGCTTAGCCGGTTCGAGAAGGGGCGTCTCCAGTTATAGATAATGCAGTATTATTGCAGACGCGGTCTGAGGCGAAGTCGACGAGGAAGGCCGGAAAAGTCGGGGTGCGATGGTGCACGCATGATCCATAAAGTAATGAGAAGGAGATATGGAGGGCGGTGGGTGACCGTAGTCCATGGCCAATGCTCAGGTCCTTGGAAAGGGATGGATCTGGCAGTTCAAGCCCATTAAGTTCGAAGTTCGAAAAGCTGTGCAACGCAGAAGCGATGGGTCTTAGGAGACGGGGACGCTGAGGAATGAGTGCTCTCTGGAGCCTGTTAGTTCTGCTACATTGCGGCGAGGAGCTCTGATAGACTGGGAAGAAACTCAACATGAAAGGTGGAACGGAAGCTCACCACCCAGGAGGCGCTACGAGAGGGGAGCGAGCCGTCAAGCATGGAATGGAAAAAGAGGGGGAGAGATCTCGCCCAAGGCGCAGCGCGGGTCAGCAGGGGATTCAGCCGTGCAAATGGTGCGTGCAAGGGGTCGACCGGTGGGCAATGCAAAATTGAGACGCTGCGAGACAAGAGAAAAAGGGGAAACCGAAGGGTGGAGGAAGAGGTGATTCAGATTTAAGAGGGATAGACGGTGGTATTTATGTTCTGATGGTTTGAAGGTTTGAAAACGGAAAAGAGCGCGATACCTGATAGAGTGGCGCTAAACTAGAAACGGAAGTTCGGTAGCTCACAGATTACGGAGTACGTAAATCCAAACCACTGCAGCCAAGGATTGCACCGCCACGATCCCAGGGCGTTGGGGCTTCCAGGGCTTGGCAATCGAACGCAGGGGTGGCTGATGCACCATCAGGACTGGATCGACTGACCAAGAACATCTGCTGCATTATTGGAGCTCTATCATCCGTAGCCCATCCCTCTTATCAAAAGCCGGCTCCAGCATCTTCCCACACGCCACCCTCTCAAACCGCCTCCCCCTCTCCCGAACCAGCAATACATGCAGCGTCCTCCCCCTGTACTTTCCTCCCACTTCCCGGGATAACGGATACGTAAGCCCATAGCTCGCTCGTAGATCATACTCGCCGTCATCCACCCCGAGAGATACGATGGCATGCCGTTGTAAATCCTCGGAGGGGAATATTCCCGGGAGGCAGCACCCGAAGAAGACACCGCAGGAGTAGCCGGAGGCGTCGACGGAGAAGGTCTGGTAACTCGCCTCGGTCGCGTCGTCGGTTCCTAAGGCACATACCGTTGGGGTACAGAACATACCGATGCTCCTGAACGAAAGGACTGCACACCGCTGTGCTTCCGCCCAGTTACTCCTCTCCGGTTCATGCACCCAGATTTCCATCGAACAAGGCAGCCTAAACCGTACCGTGCTTGAAAAGTCCTTGGTCATGCCTCGCACCACCGACGGATACGTGACCGCCCCAGCCCATCCCGCCCAGCACCAGGACGGATAGACAGCGTTCCCATACCGATCGAGTCGTCGCTCGCAGCCGTGTTTAGGACCCCAGAGAAGGGAGCTGGCGAGGACGGCGGACGGCATGCCGTAGAGGAAGCGGGAGGCGCAGACTTTGGAGAGCATGGAGGAGAGGCCGAGGAAAGCGCGTAGGATGTCGTAGTCGTAGGTGAGGTGGCGGGCGGTGTACATCTCCACGAGATCTTGGTATAAGGGGAGGAGCTCAGCCCAGGTAAGACTAGGACCGCGGAGCTTGAGGCCAGGGCTGGGGTCGAGATCAATAGGGTTGTGATGTCCTTTAGTCATGGCTGCGACGTTGTAGCACCCGTCAATCTCTCCCTCACCGGCTTCTAGCAGCGAGCGCAGACTGGTTGGTCCAATGCTTAGCGAGAAGTCCATGCTCAACGAATCCGTGCTAGGTGAAAGCTCGGAAGTCAGATCGGTCGAAATAGAATGACGGCCAATATCAAGATCCAGCGCTTTGGAAGCGGAGACCCTGGGATCCGCCGATGACTGTGAAATCAGACTGTCATGGGGGGTGTGCTGGTGAAGCGGCCCTCTTGACCCTCTCCTTCCCGCTCCTGGAATCTCACGAAGCAATGCAGCAGTGTCGACATCTCCACTGTCGACAATGCGAGCGAGATCGCTCACTCGCTTTCCTACCAGCACACCACCGCGCGTGCCAGGTCGAATCATCCCACTCATATCTTCCCATCGGTCGTCATAAATCCCCTCCATCGGCACTTGCAGCATTTGCCACGAGACCGGAATCCCGCTCTTCGTGCGTTTAAACTCGCCGTGCCGAGATGCCTTGGATTCCGCACAGAAATCGGTCTGGCACTGGAAGAGGACTTGTTGGGATGTGATGTATAGGATTCGGGAGGAGAGCATCCGCTCTTGGAGAGTCCAGGCGCGGGTCTCGAAGTTAGAATCGAGGAGGTGGGTGTCGACGTAGTCGGGCGGCTCGGATACGAAGGTACGGCCGTTGAATTTGGCGGACTTGTAGATCGGAAGTCTGGAGAAGGGTTGGATCCCGGGTAGGGAAGAGTCTGCATTCTTGCCATCGACCGCGATGATGGTAAGGTATGAGTGTGAGTAGACCTTATCCATCTGGTGGATATCATGGTGCTTCTCGTGAGAATCCTGGATAATACACAGCGAGTCCACCCATAAATACTGTTCTCCAATGGATCTCATCAACGCGATGACATCTCGTAATACTTTTGAAAGCTGGTGGTTTAAAAGCGAGGATTCGGTTTGCAATTCCTCGAAATTCGAAATTTTGGTTTCGAATTGCTTGACTCCGCCCCAGACATAGCTGAGAGCAAAATATCGTTCGTTTGAGGACCGACGAACGAGGCAGTGCCGTTGGACATCAATAAGGGTCAGGGGAATGGGATTCCGAATTTCTTGTTTTTCGTTGTGCTCTGTGTCGCATCTTTCTAACCATCTCTTGATCAGTCCAACATCGATGTTGGAATCGTCATAAAGCTTAATACCCGTTTCATGTTCTCCCAACTAGCTAGCAATTAGTCCTGACTTTAATATAATTAACAACAACTTTAACGGTACTCACTGGACGAATCTTGCCAATATTTCTCGATCCATTCCACACATATGCCTGGTTACCCCTGAATTTCAGGGTGATTGGGATCGGGTCATACTCCTCGCATCCCGGCATTCGAAAGTTCGGGAGCCGGTGCAAGATCAGCGTACACAGTGAACAGGGCAGTGTCGACTCCTCATATTTCCGGTATTCAAAAGTTGTATGAAACTCTTGGGCTGGAGCCGAGTCCGGGTTCCAGAAATCGATGCGTTGACATTTTTCGCAAAGTCGAGGTCGCTCGGATCGCCAAGATATCGCCTTCTTTAGCCACTTCCGGCCCGGAACTCTTGGTTTATATATCCGCCGAGGTTGTGGATTAGTTGAATCAGGCATGATCTTCGACCGGAGATAATTTATAAGATTCGAAATCCCTTAACCGTTTTATCAGGATAAACTATATTCAAGTAATACAATATCGGGCAGACCGGTCACGGTCCGGGCTTCTAAGGAGGATAGTTATATACAGTATCTGACGTGGCAGATATGAGGCTGGGCTGTTGGGGAGATCGAACCATGGGAAGAAGGTAGAGAGAACCGACGGAATCGCCGTACTGACGATATCGGTTCGGTAGCATGTGTCGAACCATCCCAGAACTCGGACAGTTAACTCCAGGTGAGTTAGATAAATGATGCAACTCTATATTGTCTTCTAGCCAGGCAGTACGAGTAGTGAGGATAAAAGACGGTATAGAATAGTTATGGCCAACAGGAAGGCTGCGAGAACTCGAGAACTCGCGATATGCACTGCGCGCCGGATCTGTACCCTGACGAAGCAGCACTGCCATAGATGGTTGGCTTGGCAAGGGACCGATTGGACGACGCGGGGGATATGACCCTCTTGGACGATCTTGGTGATTCTTGGGATTGGTCTTCCGCAAAACGGACTGGAAATTAGTATGGACGCGCTCGGGGTAGTGCGTGAGGTGTCGTACCAATTGTAATATTACCGGTTATGAGGCATACCGGAAGTACACGAAGCGACTCCATGGCTTCATGAGTCCCCTCCTTCCTCCTTTCCTACCTTTATAAACCGCAAACCCATCCCCAAAGACACCGGGTACTCGGGCCACTCCATGGTGTCGATCTCCAGTGACGACAACCGAACCGCCAGCCCTACAACCTTACGATACTCGCTCAGCCTTGTCTCAAGAGGGCGGCACATATAATCGGCCGAAGACCCAAAACCGATCGCGCCCACCATGGACTACGCCGAACGCCTCAACGAAATCTCCACCAAATCCCACGAACTCTCCTCCCTCCCCACCTGCTCCTTCTCCATCCCCACCACCCTCCCCATCCCCGTCAACCTCCTCGATGTCACCCAAATCCATTCCTTCGACCCCCTCTACCCCGCCCTCCGCCGCGAAGCCCTCCGCCCCGACGGCATAGCGTTCGAGCGGCGAGCGCAGGCGAGCCAGCTACTGAAGCGGAATGGGATCCGGCAGAAGGACTTGCCGGAGTGGGAGTGGGTGCGGTTTGTGTGTATGAAGAGGGGGCAGCAGGAGGGGTGGATGGGGGAGTGGTGGGAGGTGAGGAGGGGTGTGAGGGGTGGGGAGGGGGAGAGGGCGGAGGGGGGGCCGAGGAGCTTGGTGGAGGGGCAATCGGGGTCGAGGAACTCGGTGGGGGGGTATGGGCATTTGTTATCGCCGATGACGGCTGCCGGCTCCGACGCTGCGAGACGGAGGTGGAGCGAGGGGGGTAATAGGAGGGATACTGCGATAGAGGAGCTGGTTCGCGGTGCGTCGTTGCTGGATATCAGCGAACACAATCATAATCTGGGCGTTGACAGACATGCTGCGGGGGGGACGCGGATAGAGGATGAGGAGCCACCGAGTTATGAGGAAGCGATGGAGATGGTGGGGAAACCGCCGGGGTATCTATTATGATGCTATGGAGTGGAGGTGGACGAGTGGGCGGTAATCGAGATGGGGGTTTGATACCACACGGCTTCGAATCGGCGATCATGGTCACCTATCTGTTGAAATGGATGTTGATGAGTTACGAAGGGATGAATGGCATGGGATAGCTGGCGTTTTGGAAGTTCAATTTGGTACGGAGATGTCGAATTACACTGCTTCATCACCAAGTCCATGTCCTACGCAGGGTGGATTAATTTGGATTACTGAGGATCATGTTATTATTAGTACATCTTCGAAACGTTTACCATCAACAGCGACAGCCAATCAATACAATAGGTACTAAAGGTATACTCTCGAACCCAAGGACCAGGGAAATGCGTATGACCAACTTTTGACCCAGCATGCCAAGGAACTTCGATCAAATAACATACTACAGGTTGTTAGCTCCCGCTCCTCATCCGACCCCTCGAAAACTTACTGGAATGAACAGTGCCGGCACCAGCTTCTCGTACTCCGTCCACGCCTCCCCGTACTTCAGCCGACACTTCACGATGTCCCGATGCGCGCGATGCGCGATCATGCACGCGAAGAACACCGGATAGAACCACGGGAATGGCGACGAAAAGCCCGTAACCAGTGCCCACGTGAGCGCGAAGAACAAGTCGCAGGAGTAATGGATTTTACGAGCGAGGCCGTCTGCATAGGGTTAGAATCCATCTGTAAAAAGCGGAAAGGGCCGATGGGACTTACACCAGCCGTCGGCAAGGATTCGATCGCCTTGCCCCGTCTCGATGACGCGCGGGTTTTTGACCTCTTTCCAGGGGAGCTGGGGGAACGATTTCCGCTCGACCTGGGTGCCGCGTTCGCGGGAGCGGAACATGTTCTTCTGGCTGTTGGTGGTGTCCCAAACCCAGTAGACAAAGACGTAGACGGCGGCGAGGAGGAGGAAGGCGGCGGTGCGGACGGTGGGGTCGGGGAAGAGCCGGTGGGAGAGATATTCGGAGGGGTGGTGGTAGGCGAGGTAGAGGTCGGCGTGGCAGTAGGATAGGGGGACGCCGGCCATGTTCCAGAAGATGAGCATGAAGCCCCATTTTTCGAAGTACATGTCCCTGGAGGTATTAGCAGGATAAATTTCCCTGACAGGATGTAGACTCACCAGGTCGTGATGATGAGTTCCTCCCCTTTGGCGCACGCATTCGCATATATCAAATGCGCCATGAGCAAGAACCCCGCCTCGCCGGAGACGTATCCATACTCTTCATACTGCTTCAAGCACAGCGCGGTAGAAGTGAGGAACAGCATATACCACGGCAACCGTACCTCCAAGAACATCTTGAAATCCAACAATCCGAACATGCGCGGATTTAACTCCGCCCCCATGAAGAAATCATAGATATGATTCCCCGTCATCCGATGCGTCTTCCCCCTTACGAACGTCGACACATACGCAATGACCGAAACGATGCACCCCGACAAGATCGCGACACTCATGATCGGCCCGAAATTCTCAATCAGTGTCGGCAACCTGAACAGTCCGGTGAAATGCAACGCAAGCGCCGCCACCACTGTCACATAGAAACTCGCCACCCCACTACAATAATACGGCAGCTGCCTTCCCCCCTCATGCTCCAACGGCTTCCCCTTCGCCCACACCCCCGGCATCCACAGATAACACACCCCCTCAAACACCAAAAACGTCCAATACATCACCCACGCATCCACGCTCGGATACGCATGCTCGTACGCCAGCGCCCCGATCCGCCCCGCGAACGCACCCCACCCCTCCCCCGCCGCCGGCCGCGGTACCCCTCCGCCATATGCGTATGCCCCGACGTACATGTAGTACATCAGCAGCGGGTAGCCGAGCATGATCGCGCTGACCCCGAGGGGGCCGCCGAATTCATAGCCGCCTTGCGCGGGGTCGATGGCTTCGGCGGCGGGGGCGCGGGTGGTAGGTTTGCGGAGTGCGCCGTTGGGGATGGTCGAGGGTTTGGTGGAGGCGGGTTTGGGGGGGAGGGGGGAGGGGGTTGTGGATTGGCGGGTGCGGCGGCGCGTGCCGGGGGTTTCGACGAAGTCCGGGGGGATGGATTTTCTGAGAAGGGGGATTAGTGATGGGATTGGGTGGACGGAGTAGGGGGTTGCTTACCGTGGGGTTTTGCCCGTTTGAGAGCGGGTTACGCGACCGGAGGACATAATGATGGACGGATGAGAGCTGACCCGGGTGCTGAGGTGAGTGGAGGGTACAGGTACGGAAACCAGCGAGATCGTCGAAAATAGATCTGCTTCGACGAGTTTCTGTTTAATGAGAGACGATAAGAAGAGAAAAATGGTTGGGTAAGCTAATGGCTTCCTTGGAGAACGTGACACATGAGAATATGATATAGGTGTCGTCAAGTTGGTGGAATCCGCGGGCTGGAGCTTCGTTTTGTTTTCGAGGAATTTCGCGATGGGGCACCATTGGCCAATCAGATTCGCTGGGGTGGTTCTCAGCACAGTACTAGCTACCACCTCCTCCCCCTATTTGTGGACTAGTGGCAACAGTGACCATGAACGAAACGTCAATGGTGATAGCCGATCTATGGATCGAAAAGACGTGTGTAAACATTGGATATTTATTCTAACAAAGAATCCTGTATTCAACCCAACACCCGCTACGTGATGCATATGCCCGCCCAAACTCGACGAGCACCGAACGGCTCTTCTCACTCCCCTCTCTTCACGCCCCCCTCCTCACACTCGTACTCATCAATGTAATCTTCTTCGCCTTCTTCTTCTTCCCCCCACCCGTACTCCGCGTCGGCGCACTTGCGCCCGCACTCGCGCCTCCACTCCCACTCCCACTCCCCTCCGCCTCCTCACTCACCCCCAACGCCGCCACCTCCCCCACCAACCCCTCATCCCCCAACAAATCCGTCTCCCACCCCTGCAACCACCCATCATCGCCCAACCCATCCTGCTCGCTCCCCCGCCATGGCTCGAGTGACGGCGACGTGCCCCGGACCGCCGGCGTGCCCCACACGGTGCGTGAGGCGTTCGGGCTGGTGGACGGGGAGGCGAGCTCGGCGAACGCGGAGCCCTGCGTGCGGCGGCCGGGGTATGGTGGGGAGGCGCTCCAGCCGCGTTGTGGGGTGCGGTCGGCGCCGGCGATATCAACGGCGGAGGAGGATTCGGGGTCGATGGAGGGGGGGAGTGGTTGGAAGTCCTCAGATGACAAGGAGGCACTGAGGCGTTTCCTCCGGGCGCCGGGGAAGCGGTTCTCGTCCTCCTCCTTCTCCGCGCGGATGCGGGCCTTCTCCTCACGGGCGTCCTTGTCGAGGTTGCGGCGGCGGCGAGCGGTGATGTCGGGGTGGAATTTGGCGAGGACGGCGGGGGGGACGAGGTCGGTCCAGTCGCATTCGAGGAAAGCGACTTCGCAGCCGTGGGGGAGGTGGGCGAGGTATTTGAAACGGCGGCGGAGGTCGTCGTCGATGACGTGGCCGGTGGAGACACGCTCAACGCGGGGGAGGATAGTGGCGGGGAAGGAGGCGTAGGGGCCGAAGGCTTCGCGGAGGATGCGGATATCGAGAGGGGTGAGGTAGTAGTGGAGAAGAGACTGGTAGAAGTAGTATTCTACCGGTTGGGAACGGTAGTCTTGTCTTGACCTGAAATGCGATTGGTGCTTGTTTCTCGGTCCGGATTTCGTCTCAGCGGTCGCTTTGACGTCGACTCCAGCAGGGTCGAACAACGAATCTGAAGTTGAAGTGGTTTCGGTAATTGATGTGGACTGAGATTGTGAAGTAAGAAGTCCCTCCGATAGGCTTTGACCGGATGATGTATCATGCTGGATGTTGTACATCTCGGGTGCTTCGCTTGAGCTCTCGTATTGGATCGGAACCTGCTTTGGCCGTGGTTTTTTCGGTTTGCTCGGCACATTCGGAGCATTTCCAATGCCCTTCATCTTCTCCTTAGTATCCTCAATCATGCGAATAGCACGCCTAACCCATTCCACATTTTCCTCGCCGAACATCAGCTCGTCTTCCTGCTCTTGGACCTTCAGCGCATCGATGTCAAAGTCCAGTTGCTGCACGATGTACTCTTCCGTGCCCTTCATCACCCGCGCGTAATCCATCACCTCTGCCGCAAAATGCCACGGCACATCGTCGTCCGTCGAGATCGACTCGGCCCCGTCGCGAGGAAGCGCCAACGCGGTGCCAGCCCGACGCTTCATCAGGCGGAGCATTACGTCCTGTCCCTCCCGAGGTGGTGGGCCTTCTTGACCGGTGTACCACCGAACCGCCCGCGTGTCCGACATGTAAATCGAATCGTGGCACAGCGGGCATTGGCGGGATCGCGGTTTCTTCCCGGGAAGGGGACGGGACTCCTCCTCGGAATGCATGTATCGAATAATGCAAGGCAAGCAAAAGATGTGGCCACATTGGGCGATCCGAGGTGCAACAGGTGTATCGAGACAAATCGGGCAGAACGACGTCTGCGATTCGGAGGAGACGATGATTTGGAGGACTTGGGACCAGTCCAGGTAGACGTCTGCGTCGAGGTTTTGCTGTCTGTAGTCGCCGCGAGGATCGACGACGAAGCGATAGTTGGAATGAACATATCTAAATCGTTAGGAAAGTCGGATGCTAGGTTGATATTCTTTCATACCTTGCTTTGTCTACAGCATGATAGCCCGATCCTGGGCCCCAAGTCGGATTGGCTCGATAGTTCCTTGGTCGACCAAGATGTCTATTGGATTCGTAGTCCGCTCGAGGCGGCATGGCAAATGTCATGAGATGTGTAATGGACGTCTGTCCCTTCCGGCCAGTCGCCGAACGGATAGCAGCCTGTCAATGGTCAACGCGGGTTCCCGAACCCCACCTCCAAATCCTGGAGTTCCACAAAGGAAAACTAACCGATTCAGCCATTGTATCCTCATCGATCGGAGCATTGACCCGTTTGGATCCTTTGTGCTGCTTCCGAAGTCCCTGACTGTTCCGCGGGGCCGTCGACGACCGCGACGACGAACCCGCTCCAAAGCTACCCGATCCACCCGCTCGTCGTTGTCCGGCGGTGTCCCCCGCCGAAACCGAGCTGGATTGCGACTGGGGGGTTGATATGGGGCTGGAAGTGGATGGACCTTTGGTAGATATGGCAGACGGAGGATTGGAAGTCATGCCGGAGGTGATGGGTACCGATAGGGAATCGGGGTTGGAGGGAACGGAACTGGGACACGGCGGGTGAATTGTGCGGGACCAGAACCGCCCGGGAAGTTGAGAGAGGGGTTAAAAGAATAGAGACAGGAAGTATCGCAGTTGAAGGAGGCATCGGGTCCCCCAAAGGGTGGACTTATTGAGGAGGAGTCACGTCAGACATGGAACAACATGGGAGGGGCAAAGAACAAAGCTTACGGTACCGCTATTGCTGTACAGTCAACCACCGCTATAACGATTACCGCTACAGCGATATTCGCGTTATAGCGATAAGATTCCCTGCACGGATTCTCAATCAATGCTGCCAAGAAAATTCGTTTTAGCGATATCCGCGTTATAACGATTGGATTCGCCTGTACGGATTCAATCGTTATAGCGAAGGTTGACTGTAGTATGAGTCTATGAGATGGAGATGAAGTCACGTGAGAGGGTCACTTTACTTTGGGTCGGGACTGATGATGTTGATCAACCGGATGTGGTATTACATGTCCGACTTAAATCCATATTCCGAAAGTTATGCCGGTATACTTTATCTCAACTATGAAAGCTGAAAGCCAATTAGCCAAATGATAATCTCGCCAGCATTTGTCTTCCATCTACTAATGGACTAATGCGTAGAGTACGGACTAATACGGAAGATGTCCAATGGTTGGTGATGAATAATGATGTCCAATTTGGGGTTGGTGCCTTACAGCCCCAGGCAGCCAATGGAATTTCCCGCCACGCCAGTCTTGGCTCTCCCTCTGCCAAAGATTCACATCGCCATCTCCATCTCATAAATCTGACTAAAGTGACACTACTAAACTTGCTCTGCTCCTTCGCCCTCTCCGACACCTACCACCCATCCTCCCATCCTCCCATCCTCCACGCAAGGGTTTTTCTCTATTCTCTTCTTTGACTTACTATTCACTGTTCTCTATTGTCTTCTCGTCCTGTCATGCTCTGCTCGTGTTGAGCAATGCATCCCTGGAACGCGTCACACCAATCGCCGCCTCGCCGTCTCCTATGACTTTCGTCCCCTTCTGTGGCCCAACCTTACCATAAATCCATACCATCTCTCCCCCTACCATCCTCCCCTACCCTTCGGTAGTGCTCGACACCATACTTGCCTCCCGGAACCCCCGCAATTCGCCCTGCTGTCGCATATCTGTACGGCTGGGTCAATTCGGGTCCCGTCGAATCGGAGCGGATAACGTTCGGAAGCTGCCTCACGCGCCGGAAAGCCAGGTCCGTCGTTGACTCTGCTTCCGGCGCGCGGGCAATCTCTGTCCTCCTTAATCATGCCGGGTCCACATCCTCCTCCCCATATGCCAATGCCGCGAAGGCAGCCGAATGAATACCATTACGGCATGCCGCCTCCGGCCCAGTCTCCTGTCCATGGGATGTATATGGGTTATCCGCCTCAACCCCCGTATCACGCGCATCCACATCCGCAGTCATACCCGCAGCACTGGCAATATGCTGCCTACCCCCAGCAATATCCGCCGCAACAGCATATGCGACCATATCACCATCAACCGCAGCAGCACATCGCACAACCGCTACCTCAACAGAATCCGATTGTGGTATCATCGCATCCTAATGGGCTGCCAGTAGCTCCGATTCCGCGTGCGGCGATGCAAACTCCTGTGGTTCAATCACCGATTCCACCGCCAGTGCCGTTGACACATGCGTTGCCACCGAAACCGCAGATGGTGTCCCCTCCCACTCCCGATGCCTCCGTTCCTATGTCCCCGAGACCTGTCTCCTCGCCGCAGGTTGTCACGATACCGACTGCTGCGCCGGCTTCAGCCACGCTCTATATGCCGAATTTCCCAAAAGTATGTGTCCCAGCCACAATCTAGGTCAGTTTTCTAACCTCATCAGCTACCGTGGTTGTCCGTCCCAGACCAGGATTTCCCAACCCGACCGTCAAGACGTCGACGTAGAAGGAATGTGGTGCAAGAGAGCGATAAATCCTTGCAACTCCCGGAACGACCATCGAACCAAACGGCGAAGCCCACAGTGGATCGGAGTGAATCGCAGACATCGACCGTGGTTGCGTCCGAATCTGCCACTCCCGCCACCTCCCAGGCTCCGTCTGAGGTCGATTCAACCAACCCGACTACGCCGTCCTCAACCGTTCCAACAGTGGCCACACCAAGAGCAGCACCTGCTGTCCCTGCCCACTCGCGTACCTCGACTCGGACCGCTATCCCCATCATTCCCGTCACCCCTGCCATCCCGAATATTCCCCAGAAGTCGCGGAAAGCATCCGAGGCGTCTCAGGCGCCGCAATTGTTGAGAGAGAAGCCCGATACCGCTTCGACGGTGGTGTCCACTCCCCCTTCCGAGTCAACCATCACAGAGTTGGCTTCACCCACCGAGCAAACCTCCGTGCCAGCTTCCGAAGCCAAGGCGGTTCCCAAATCATGGGCCGATCTTGTTCGCGCGAAATCTACCCCGTCGGCTGCAGCAGCCGTGCAACCCGCGACCAACGGCGCTCATCTCAACGGCATCTCGGCCGGCAATGCAGGCGCCCTTGGCGAGGTGTTGCGGTTGTATTCAGTTGATGCGGAGCACAAAATTCCTTTCCTTGAACCTCGCGGCCTTGTAAATACTGGTAACATGTGTTATATGAATTCGGTAAGTGACCCGTCTCACCAAGTGGCTGCTCAACTCTAACTCCTGCAGATTCTCCAAGTACTCCTCTACAGCACCCCGTTTTATGACTTCCTTGATCAGATTGGAAAGCGAGCATTGCATAGTTTTAAAAGTGATACACCTCTTCTCGATTCCATGTAAGTTGATTTCACGAGCCGTTGAAGACCCCTCTAATACTTTCAGGATCGAATTCATGAGGGAATTTAAGGTAATAGACTCGACTGTTTCAGCAAGCCAACTTCGGTTACGGCTGAAGGAGCATGAGTTTGAACAGTTCGGATCTGCATTCACTCCGGAATATGTATACGATGCCATCAAGCGTGTTCCACGGTTTTCATCCATGAAGGTAAGTTTGATACCCAACAGATACCGATGAATCATACTAACCCAACCAGCGGGGTCATCAGCAGGATGCGGAGGAGTTCCTAGGGTTCCTTTTGGATACGTTGCATGAGGAGTGCGCTCGAGTTATCTCCAACTCATCTCAAAAATCCACCCGATCGTCTTCCGTTTCTACTACCCAATCCCAACCCGACACGGACGAGAGCGACTGGTTAGAAGTTGGTCCCAAGCAAAAATCCTCCGTGACCCGCACCTCCGGGCCCGCCCTCGCCAACTCCCCCCCCACCCCAATCAGCAAGATCTTCAGCGGCCACCTCCGCTCGGAGCTCCGCGTCCACGGTCTCAAAACCTCCGTGACTCTCGAACCCTTCCAACCCCTCCAACTCGACATCCAAGCCCCCCACATCAACACCATCACCGACGCCCTCCGCGGCCTCACCAAACCCGAAACCCTCTCCGGCGACTGGGGCTCCCCCCGCGGCGTCCGCACCGCCACCAAACAAGTCTTCATCGAACACCTCCCCCCCGTCCTCCTCCTCCACCTCAAGCGCTTCAGCTTCGACCGCCCCGCCTCCTCCCCTACCGCCCCCTCCGACACCCACGGCGCCCGCAAGATCTGGAAATCCATCAAATACCCCCTCGACCTCGAGATTCCCCGCGAGGTACTTGCGCCGTCCCGTCGCGCCGCGCTCGGGGCTCGCGTCGGGAATACGGGGCTGCGGTACCAGCTCGTCAGTGTCGTGTACCACCACGGGAAACACGCTGGCGGGGGGCACTACACTGCCGACGTGCGCCGCCAGGATGGGAAGGACTGGGTGCGCATAGACGATACGGTGGTGCGGCGCATCACGGCGGAGGACGTGGTCGGCACGGATAGCGAGGAGCCGAGCGAGTCGGCGCAGAAGGGTGGGGCGAAAGGAAAGCATGACGAGGCTCAGCGCAGCGCGAACTTTTTCGAGCAGGGGATGTTACCGGAGGATGGAGGGGAGGGGGAGGAGAAGTGGGAGGATGTGCAGACGAATGGGGTGGGTGCGCAGGGGCAGACGCCGACGGGGATGCGGTGGGCGGAAAAGGTGAATGTGACGGGGCCGGGGGAGAGGCCGGGGGTGAAGGAAGGGAAGGTGGCGTATATCCTGTTTTATCAGCAGGTGAAAGATTAAGGTGGTTCGGGGGTGTGGCGGATTGGGGGATGGCGCTGTTGTGGTTGTAGGTTGGGTCGGTTCGGCTCGATGCGGCGTCTAGTTGGTGTTCGTGGTCTGTTGAACGGAACAGAACAGCGGCGCAGAAGATCGAGCAAGCAGGCGGGCAAGCAAGTAGGCGGGCAAGCAAGCAAACATATTTCACCCCGCCGCCCTCCCATCGCCGGGCGACGGCACCTATCGTTCGTACAGTCACTCGGTGGATGAGGGAGGTCGGTCGGTCATCTGCCGACGCCGCCGCCGCCGAGACAGAGAGAGCGAGAGAAGCGCGTTTATATAAAAGCATTAGTCACCATCCGAAATTCGAAAATTATATTCTGAATGGGTTGGTTTGGTGGGATTGAATGTCTCTTCGATCTGCTTGTCGCTTTGACACAGGGAAGTTGGAGGTGGAGGTGTGTTCAGCAACCACCTCCAGTCTGGGCTGGGTTCCAAAGTATTCAGCGCGTGGTCACAATCCGCATATCCAGATATCCATCTTGACGGTTCATGCACGCTTTCATTTGATTTCATTGCGTGCGGGCCTCAAGTGGCCCTTTCTGGCCGCAGCCACCCCGCTGTCCGCGGTCCATGTCAATCCGGCCCTCGTCAATCATGAGCTCATGGCAGTCAACTCCTTGTCTTCCACGGCCACGTTCCTGGCCTCCTCCAGCACCTCTTCGACGGCCTTTTCGACGGCCTCCTCAACGACCTCCTCCACGGTGTCTTCGACCGCCACCTTCCCCGCTACCTCCCCCCCGGCTATCTGCCACCGCTTCATCACCTCCGCCAAATCCTTCACCCCCTCGTTCTCCATCTCCGCCTTCAGAATCTCATCGCACCGCTTCCCAAACTCTTCGATCTCCTCCTCCCTCGACTATAAAAATTAGCTTAACCGCACAACTAAATCTTTAAATATATGTCCTCCTCATCTCGCTCATCATCCTACCGCGGTATCATTCAACGCCACCGCCACCGCCCCCCGGTGATGCCCGTTATACTGCCGGATAATCGTATTCGAGCTGAGTTCCCATAGTCGTGCGTAGTGGTCTGAGCACGCCGTCACGAGATAGGCGGAATCGGCGCTGAACGCGCAGTCCCACACCCACCGCTGGTGCCCGTGCAGCGTCGTCTCCAGCGGAAACGCCTCCGCGCTGTTCGTCGCGCCGTGCCGGGTGTCGCCGGGCGGCGGGTCAGGAGCGCCGGCCTGTACGGCGGGCGGGGTAGGGAGGGCGTTCTGGCGCTGGCCGGGGACAGTGCTGTGGGCGTAGGCTTGCTGGTCTTGGTTGGTAGGCAGGGGAGGCTCGGTGGGAGGTTGGTTAGCGGAGAGGTCAAGGTCGGTTGGGGGGTTGCCGCCCATGTCGGCGGGATCGGGGATGACGTCTTTGAAGGCTTCGGGGTTGACGGTCCAGATGCGGGCGGTGTGGTCGGCGGAACAGGTGGCGAGGTGTTTGACGTCGGGGGAGAGGAGGACGCGGGTGATGTAGGTGGAGTGGGCTTGGAAGCGGCAGATGGGGGTGACGGAGGCGGCTTCGGTGGATTGGTGCATGCGCCAGACGAAGACCCAGCCCTGAGGGGGTTAGTTGGTGAGATTAGGATTGACGGAGGGCGTACCTTGTTGTTGCCGGCGCAGAGAAGAGTGCCATCGGTAGCAACGGTCACGCTGGACATGGGGGTGTCGTCGGCTGGGATTAGTTGGTGTGTACACTTGTTCTCACTTAAGTCCCAGATGCGGACGCTTCCTTTCCGGTCACAGCCGATCAGCTCGCCTTGATTCGGGTGGATGACGACGTCGTTGACCGCGACGCCGTGGACGTAGTTGCGCTGGACACTTCCCGTTCGCGTATCCCAGATCTTGACCGTCCCATCTTCGGAGCTGGTCACCATCCATTTTCCTTCGCAATGGAAGGCGACGCCGGTGACGTTGCTGGTATGTCCTTCGAAGGTGAGAACGGCCGCGGGGTTGGACGACTTGATATCGTAGAGCTTGACTGTGTGATGCCCGGCCGCAGCAAGGTACCGCTTGTCGGGGCTGATACAGAGCCGGTTCACTTGGGAGTCGGGGTGGGGGATGGTGCGGGAACAGATGCCTGAGAGAGCCTCCCAGAAGCTATTGTGCCAGTTAGTCGCCGGTTCTACGAGTCTCCTAGGTCCAGCGCGGAGTGGCATTACCGGATGGTGTGGTCGTAACCAGCTGGAAACAAAGTTAGCCATGCTCTCACAGGAAGGCGGGTGGGATGACGTACCAGTACAGAGAATGACACTCATCTTGAGTGTATAGATGGAAAGTTCTAGGTGATATGCAATTGAACTCAGAAAAGATTGTATCGGCGGAGAGAAGAGAGGGTTTGTTTTTGAGGCTCCGGCCGCTTTTCAAGCTGTGTCGGCGTTCAGTCTTGCTGGTGTGCGCATTTACAGCTGTCGTTGCCTCGACACTGAAAGTGATATCAAACGCGCTTCGTAGCCTTGGATCGCTCGCGTTCGGCGTCGGCTTCGGCTTTCTGGGCGGCTTCCCACTCGATCGCGTATTGCCGCTCCCAATTTTCCCGTGTACCCCAAATAAGACGAGCAGTGCCCTCCCGTTTCATCGGTAAACAAATGACCAACGCTTGTTGGGTAAGGTCAATGGTCGTCGGAAGTTGGGCATGGTTATGGGGGTGCGGACGGTGGGAGGGTACAGGGTGCAGTGCCAGATATGAGGCTGTAAGGCGACGAGAATGTGTGCTGGTGTGGCAGCAGAGTGTAGCGGTATAGTTGCAGGGTGACGGGTTGTAGGGTGGTAGTTGTGGCGTTGTGGTGTTCGTCTTTAACTCTTTAGTTTTCCTTCCCTGGCGATCGGGTATCAGATTGCGGCGGCAGACATATCCGATCAGTAGCTTCCTTATAATGCACCGTCTAGGACAACAATACGTGCTTGCATTAGTCCCACATATCATACGGGGAAATAAATTATAAAGGTTTGATTGGTGGTACCTGATTTTCTGAACGGCTTAAATCTTAATACTCACCTTCCTTCCAAAAATGGTGGATTTGAACGTCGTTATCCGAGTATTTCCGCTTCATTACTTGAAACGCTCTGGTTTCATTACCGCAGTCCCTGAAAAACAGTCTGCCGTGCTGTCGAAACCTTCAGGTTCTATTTATTGCACAGCTCGTCATGTCAGGTCCGTACGCCTAACCCGCAGTACCTTCCCAGAACCTGGAGTCCGTTTTTTCACTTCCAACCCAGCTCTAGCTTTCACTCGTCGACCTTCAGAAGTTCCACCCTGAAGGTAGCCCTCCGCAGATTCGCGCAACGTTTTGTTGCGCAAGAAATATACGTATATACAGTATATAAGGGAAGCCCTGAAGACTCGGAAAATGATGCACACTGAACGGTGGCATTATTTGCATCTTAAACAACGCCCGATAACCGTCTCTCCGATCGACAACCAGTCCCAAATATCCCTCGTCGCCGTATCGTCCGAAGACGTCTCATCACCTTCCTGCCGCGTGACTGTGCAGGCAGATGTGTGTCCAGAAGGACAACTTAGTCCAGGAGAGTAAAACCCATACCCCGCCAGCCCTGCACGGGACCGGAAAACTCGCCATATCCAGGAGGGTAACACGCCGTCGAAGTTTCGAGCGATTGGGAGCTCGATGTGAAAGTACAAATCCTTCCCCAAGCAACGAAGTACAAACCAGGGTGCACGGCATAAGTTCCGTCGACACTCGGGGTAGCACGATTCGGTGCTGGAGTGAATACTGTCGTAAGAGGACCCAAGGGGGTTGATGATTCACGCCCCATCGCGAAAACTGGAGGAGGGATTTCCAGAACAAAATCCCCAGATATTATTGTCCAAATCCACCATCTGCGAAAACTACTTCCTTATGGAGTCCTCCACAGAGAAGTTAATGGGTCAGGAGTCAGGGGACGGTCGACGGAGATGTTTCGCGGGCATTGGTGATCCTCGGCAAATCTTTCCAAGATGTTTTGTTAACGAAGTCTATTCCGGATTCACCGTCAATCTCAACTAGTTAAGGGTAGCATGTTACTGTGGCAGTGCGCACCAAATAGACTGGACAACAGTTCACAACACTACAACATGATGCGTCCAACCCACGGGCCATAACATCAGCCTGTGGTTGGTCAACTCAGACAATTTGCAGCCGTTGAATGGATTCAGCAATGTTATTTGATGACTCGTTACGGAGTACTTCATCCAGTCCCCCTTTGCAGTGTCACTCCAGGTTGATGACAAGGCTGGTGGTCCAAGGCGCCCCAGCTGAAAATCTTAGCCACACCGAATCACATTTTCCGGTCGACTGCAGCGACTGAACCGCACATTTCCATGATACATTCCATGTACATTTTTAATTTAACGCCATTTTTGACTAACGTAATCCACCAGCGAGCCGGCCAAACCACCGAGTCGGACAGGCCAAATCTCACCAAAATCGGGATATTTCATAGCCCCGTATCTCAACCACAGCATTGTAATAAAGTCCAAAGATTGATAGATAAACTTTATTATTCGTTTTAAGCCTCTACTTAAATTCATAGAACTCTGGCTATTGTAGTTGTATATATACCTTGGTCTCAGTAGATTTTAGCACCTAGGATCTAGGTATATATTCAACTGCAATAGCCAGAGCTCTATGAATTTAAGTAGAGGCTTAAAATGACTGCTAACTTAAAGTTTATCTAACTATCAATCTTTGGACTTTATTACAATGCTGTGGTTGAGATACAGGGCTATGAAATATCCCGATTTTGGTGAGATTTGGCCTGTCCGACTCGGTGGTTTGGCTGGCTCGCTGGTGGATTACGTTAGTTAACTATGGTATGCTTCCAGAGCATACCCATCCAAATTCACATCCCTTCATTATTCTTCAGAAACTACTTGAGAAAGAATGATCGGGATCAGATAATGTTTGTCAAGCCCTTCTGACTATCTATGTGAGCAAAGGATTCTTGCGTGACGACTAAGTAATAACTTCTGATCCGCAAAACATCATCTTCAATCATAAGCGGAGAATATACCGTAATATGCAGCGAACGGGATATAACGCCTCTCTGTATTCACCCCGCTAGCTCTACCGGAAAGTCTATCGGACGTTCCTGCTTTACCGGACAGTCTACCGGATGTTGCTGCGTGGCTGGTTGGCTAGGAGTTCGTTTCCTCCACCAGAACGAATATACCGCGAAGCAGATTGCAATGATGCAAACCAGGGGAATGCTAACACTTAGGCCAACGATAAGTCCCAGATTCCTATCATCGTCATCGCCACGGCTATTGTTACTGTCATTAGGATTGTAGGGCGAAGGGCCTGATGGAATCGGTGTTCTCGATGATAACGACGTCGACGACACGACCGAGGTCGTTGCCTGGGATGAAGTGGTAGTGCTCTCACTAGCAGTTTGGAATGTGGCTGCCGTTCGCTCAGGGCCGTATGTGAAGGTCGTGCTTGGGGCTCTATCGGCAATGCTTCCCTGATTGTCGAGAAAGATGCCAGCACCATCGTTACAACAGCGCGGACGGTTTTCACAGCAGAGAGAGCCGTTATCGCATATATGCACACGTGGAAAAAAGCCAGTTGTTTCATCTTTGAACTAGTTGTTAGCTGCAGACCCTGTGTATGCTTTCATCCGTTCTTTGCAGTCATAGAGTTCCAATTCTCTTCTATAGAGGACGACTCCAGGCTCCAGAGTACTTCACAGTGGACTCACTATAGAGACAAATCTGCGCACAGGTTCCCGAGTCGTATGGATCAACCCTACATGGTCCTCTCACAAGAATTCCCGGCCCGTCGCCAGGGTTGTGGCATAGTCGATTAGACAGACAGTCGGCTTCTATACCGCAGCAAGCATTCGATCCGGGGCATCTCGTGTTGTTTCCACGAGGATTTCCATCGAACCCGTAGCAAGTTATGCGACCAGCGCCGCGAACACCTTGTATAGCGGCCGCCAACACGAACGCCGGAATCCAGGTCGACCGCATTTCAAGTCAAAAGCATCAACCTCAGTGTTGTTATTCAATCAATATATCATTCATAGGGGAACTTTCTTCAACTAGATTTAGAAAAGGGGGCCTGGACGAGAATGAGCTGAGCTAATGCCCAGACTGCGGCGCCACCGAGTTTATCAACTGAAAAGAGTGAGTGAAACCTGAGCATGACCAGTCGAGGCGTACATATCGCAGGGGTCTTCGGACACTTGCACAACCATCACTTCTGCTGACGATACGGAGTAACCAATTACGAATTGAATTTATTGTGTCACCTTGGCAGCAAAGGTGTAAGCGCCATTGCGAAGAGCTGAAGCCATTGGACACTTGTCCCGCATTTGGTTTGTGTTCCCGAAAGGGTTACATTACGCAGCACCCCTTATATTGTCCCTTGCTTTCCAGGTATACTCTTTGGTGGATGTGTCCATAGCATTCTTTTGAGGAACATTGGCTTTGATTTTTGTGTTCGTGATCTTGTATTCTTGCTCGATAGGGATACTTGAGCCTTCTTCAATCATCTTCAGCCGTATTGGCCCAGTCAGTGATGTTTCAATACCTAGTCCAACAGGCTGGAACAGTTTTCGGAGCACCTCGCCGGAGCCTCATACGGTGCTGCATTCTATCATTTCTATCACTCGCACTCCTTACTCTATTTTGCTGGGAAGGGCCAAGCCGACTCGTCAAAGACAAAGACTTTGACGAAGCATCCTTGGACCCATATAGACACATCACACAGATGGCAGAGAAATACTCAGTCGATATTATCCACCCCCCCTACAAAAACCAGTTCTGGGAGGTTGGCCAGCGGTCGAGACAACTCAGCCAGTGGCTCTCGAAAGCAGATGATCTAGATCAGAACTCTAACGAGAGAAAGGCCATTCTAGCGGCAGTAGAGACTGCGGCTACAGCTCTCTTCCCATTCTTGAAGGGCTCTCCGAGACAAACCAACAGCAAATTGCCGCCCTTGGCCCGTCTGAGGAGTTCTTTCGAGAAGGGTTCTCGGGGAATCGTCATTCCTGTGGGTGGAGGAGATGAATCCGTCCGCTACGCCAGTCACTTGGTCGTCTCGTTGAGGCAGATTTTTGGATGCCACCTTCCGATCCAAATTGTCTATGCTGGTGAGAGCGATCTGTCGAAGAACAACCGCGACACCATCTCAGCGCTTGATGGTACAAAGGACATCGAGTTCTTAGATGTCTTAACCATCTTTGACGACTCGACGCTGCGCCTCGAAAAAGGGGGCTGGGCCATCAAACCGTTTGCCGCGCTGGCGTCTCGATTCGAACAGGTAATTCTCCTGGATGCTGACGTCGTATTTCTACAAACACCAGAAACTCTCTTCGGACAGCGCCCATATATCGAAAACGGTGCCTATTTATTCCACGATCGACTGCTTTGGCAGCACGCCTTCCGTGACAGACACGACTGGTGGGAAGACCAAATCAAGAAACCATCACCGGCTATGTCTAAGTCTCTTGTCTGGACCAAGGACTACGCAGAGGAATGCGACTCGGGGGTCGTCGTCGTAGATAAGGCCCGACCAGAAGTCCTCGTGGGGCTGCTCCATATCGCGTGGCAGAACACCTACGACGTACGTGAAGAGGTCACATACAAGATTACGTACGGTGATAAGGAATCATGGTGGCTTGGCTTTGAACTTGCTGGATCGGGCTACGAGTTCGAAGCCCACTATGGATCCATGGTGGGGTGGGCGCCCACCAACGAGGACGGCGATGCCGAAGACCAGGTTTGCAGCTTCGTGATTGCGCATCTGGACGGAGACGAAAATTTGATCTGGTACAATGGCGGCTTGCTCAAGAACAAGCTCGCGGAGCCGCAGGAGTACGCGGTGCCGAAGTTTTGGATGGTCAACGGGACCTGGGAGAAGGGCGCTACGAAGCAGGAGATGAGCTGCATGGTTGGTGCTGAAGTAAGGCGTCTGACGGGGGAGCAGCAGAGCATACTGCGGCGGAGCATAGAGGTGGCTACGAGGGTGGATGAGGTCTTGGGCCTAGGGTGATGGTGTCAAAGTCTCTTATATCGCCGAAGATGGACGACAACTCGGTGGCCGGACATGCCATATTTCCGTAGCTAAAGAGCTAGTATCGATTAGGGTTACGTAACATAAGATGTAGGTTACAGAGATTTGCCATAATATCGATCCACTTATGAAGGATCGATTGATTGATTCATGATTGATTCGTGAACCCGTTCGGGCCAACCTCAGTCGGTCCACGTCGGGAACTAGCTGACTAGTCTACATTGTATGAAGCGTCCTGTTCGTGGTCTGTTCCTGTATCCTCTCTGTTCCAATCCATGTGGCCGAGATGGTCGATGATGAGGGCCGTCTAGGTTATCTACCATTGGGAACTCTGTTCTTGCTTGCGACGCAGCGTTGCTTTGCGATTGACGACATCCCAGCATATTATCTGGATCTATCGTTGTGTGTTCAATCTGTTGGTCTCCTTCGCGACCTCTCGGTCTGGTTTCCATTGGTCAATAGGTCCGTCCTTCTCTTGCGAGGTGTATGCCCCTAGGAGGTGTACTAGGTCACCGTGTCGTCTTCCGGCTTTGACTATCATGGTTGCTCTCTGTGTACTCCATAACTCGCACTTAAGATGGTGATGTACTGTTTCCGTGAGGTTCGAGTTAAACAGACCACTCGTCTTTCTTTCCCGAACAGTATGGATATCGACTATGAAAATTTCCCCGGGCTAGCTCTATAAATAAGACCGGCTCGCTCTACCTCCTATATCCGTCAATGTGGTGATTGTGTTTCATGTTATTCACCCGAACTATAATTTGCCCAGGTATTGATCAGTCGATTCAGTGCGAATTATTTTATATAACCACAATATTGGCAGATCTAACCGCCATATTTTATAAATATTCTTTGAGCAGGATTATAGCGCAGAGATGGGTACCAATTCAAATATACAGCTGTGAATGCACTTTCGCTTAGGTCGCGTCTTAAGCCGTCTTCGACGGGGCCTCCCAGGCTGCTCAAGCACGCACCAATTGTCGAACCTTGCTATATATACCCTTCTTCTAGATTCCTAGAGGGCGTCCCTTTTGGGGATTTAGCTTGGTTGGGTAGATTCATCACCAATGCTCTCATCGTGCAAGTGCAGCGAGCATATTCTGACGCCCGTTTTCTCGGCGTTGGAGACCTTGTGCAGCGGGACCAGACCACGAAAGCAAGGAAAAATGTCTTTGCTTTAACGGGAGCCGTCTTATTTATGGTGCGGCTGATTCGCGCCGGATGGGAGAAAAAATGCTGAGGATCGACTATATAGTCCCTTCGCAGAGGACGCCAGCACAAAGTCAAACCTTTCGCCATATGTCTTTCCGCATATGGAAAGTTTCACGGTATGGAAGGGAGATTATGCTGAGCAATTTTGTTTCAAAGAATACCAAGTTGAATTGATCCAATAGGGTTTATCTAACCTTCAAAAATACTGGAGTAAAATTATAAACGGCATACCCGCCGCCAGTACCGGCGGCCCTTCTACAGCTAGTTAGTTAACTACGTGATGTAGTTCATTCAAAGGGAACCGGTCAAGACTTTGTTTTAGTAGCATGGAAGCGCGTACTATGGTGTAAAATTGCCTAGAAATATTATTGCCCTGGCTATTCGGGACCAGGGTTGTGTATGGATAGTCTACACGTATGGTACTGCGTTCTCACTGAAAGCCTTGCGATCGTCTAAGGAATCTTGGAGAGAGGCTTGTCGCAAGGCTTTCTGGCGCAGTTAATTTTAGGGTCTTTTGGCCGCGTACACTCACATGGTCCCGCAAGCGGTGCGAGATTGGTGCCTGGAAAAAAACCAATCTGTTTCCGTCGGCTTGTGGCTTCTACTAACTGACTGACAAGCTATGGAGTGTGCGGCACCAATGAAGCCCACATGCATGAAGAAAGAGTAAGGCGAAGAAGATCCGTGACTGTCGTTCGAATTGCCTCACAACAAGAATTGAATTTGCCTTCATAGAATTCCACTCAGATACTCAACCTTGCTGAGGAATTTTAGATCTGGGATATGCATGTCTTGCCATAGAAGAGGCTGCCTCCGAGACGCCGCAATTCGCCTCTCCCCTTTCCATCGCAATCCGAACACGCACATGAGCAGAACAAGCGGTACAAATTTGGAGCGTCGGCTGTCTTCTAAAATCCCACGAGATGCTGTTTTTCTATATCCAACAAGTCACTGTCTCCAAATTCCCACTCTCCCCAAGAGAATCAGCCAATTCAGTTCGACATGTTCCATGAAGAAATAATATAGGGCCCCTCCAGGATACGAAAAGCACAAGAAATGCTATGTCGAAGCGGAGTTGGAAACCAAGACAATTTAAGAGCAGAATATGTACCTAAGGATTCAACGAGAGGACGCCGGATAAATTTTTAGCGGAGAATCTTCAGTCTATGACGGAAAACTTGGGCTTGGAACGGACCCTTAGCGATCGATGCGCGAGATGAGAACCGTCGAGCTCGCTCAAGACACCGCCTTCCGAAAGAAGGGACCAACGAGCATCGTGGATACTTCTCATCCGATGACCGGTTCGGATGGAGGTGAAGAGGAGTAAAAGGTGGCCGAAACTGGGTATATTGGAAGGAACTTGGGGCATCCGCATACACGCACTTGGCAAATGATACCATTGCAAGTATGGGAGATGTCTCCTTTAGTGGAACTGAAGGCCGGTATGGAGGATCAATATTGGAAGGACGACGAAACCATTCGGTGTGGCTATCAGATAGCAGATTGATCTTTGAATGTTTCCGGATGTATAATAATGGAATGATATTGATATGTTACAAAGCCTGAGACGATAACCCCGCGCTATGCTGCCTCGTAAGCCATAACCTCATTACATCATGAAAATCAAATGCTCATCGGGGATTAGTATCCAAAATCATGAGAAGTCGTCGCACTTCTCAGACGTCCATCATCTCCTGCCCCTGAACCCCTTCAATATTGACCTTTTTCTGCGCCGGCCCCTCGCTAACCTTCTCGGTCTGCACGTTGCTCACGTCCGCCAACGGCTGTCTCGGTGCTCCTCCCATCGCCTCCGCCGGCCGCTTCACCCCTGGCTGAAAAGTCGGGGGCTTGTAGGAATTTCGATTCGCGAGTGGGCTGTTCCGGTTCTGCGGCATTCCGACGCGTCGATTTGTGTCCGGTTGGGCGAAATTGGAGGGGTGAGGTTGCTGGCCGTTTGGATGTACCGGATGAAATGGTCGAGGACTCTGGTTTCGTGAGACGGGTCCTGGAGACTCAACTCGATTCGGCGCGTTCGTGTTCGTATTTGCACCGCCGATCTCCGATCTTCGTATCGGTCGGGAGACGCTATGGTTGACTAGGTGGGACCGGCGAAGAGAGGAGCTTTCGGCGTTGGGGTTGAAGGCGGGGATGTCTGCAGGGAGGGGTGCTGCGGAATTGAGTGCCTGCTGCACGGCCTCAGCCGCGTGACCAGTCACAAATCCAACCAGCTGAGGCTGGTCGTTTTGTCCCTGCTGTCCCTGCTGTCCCTGCTGTCCCTGCTGTCCCTGCTGTCCCTGCTGTCCTTGCTGTGATTGTTGTGGCAGCTGTGGTGCGTTTGCAGCCAGATGGGCAAGTGCGTCAGCCAACCCAGTGCCCCCGGTTCCAGATTGTGAAGGTCGGACAGGATTTGGGTGATGGACAGGTCCCCCGTTCCTAACTTGTCGGCTTGCGTTGGGTCCTTGAGCAGCTGTGGGCAGTGGCTTTTGCTGAGGTGGAGGTGGGAGGATGAAAGTCTGGCCGTTGTGTATGACCGAGTGCCCTTTGCCTTGTTGCCCGGGGGTAGTCGACTGGCCCGGAGGACTAGGGGTTTGCTTTTGAGGAGCTGCGGTAGAAACGTCGCCGGGTCCAGATGTAGAAACTGGTCTCTGCTGTGGAGGCACAGAACCGGCATGATTGGCGTCAGGCCTTCTTGCCTGATTTAGATGAATCTGCTGTCCTCCTTGGACTGGAACTTGTCCCGGAGGGGTTGTTCGCGCTTGATGATTTGGATGATTCGATTGAACTCGTTGTCCTCCATGGGCTGGGGGTTGTCCCGGAGGTGTATTTCGTGCTGGAGGATTTGGTTGAACCGGCCGCTGCTGTTGGGGCTGCTGGGGTCGACCCTGCTGAGCTTGAGCTTGGGCCTGTGTATGTTGCGGCGGCTGTTGATGCTGTTGCGGTTGGTTCGCGTTGGATGCCCTGTTTTCGGGCTCTGCTTTCGGCTGAACTTCTAAAATCACGGCTCCGGCGGGGACAAAGTTTGACTCATCGAAGTCGTCAAACGCGTCGAGGGAATACCCGAAGCTATCAAGCTCAGGAACTGTTGTGGATGCAGGCTTTGCGGCTGTCTCAGCAGTTCCATTGCGAGGATTTGTCTCAATTGGTTGAGGTTTTGGCTCTGGCTTTCGATAATCCACGTGTCGGTATAGGTTGTCCTCCGACCATTTTGCCGGTACGACTTTTAACTTGCTGACACGGGAGAGATAGTCTTTGTCGTAGATGCAGTTGCCGAGCAGGTTGCCGAATGACCGAAAGGACCGCTTCATGGCATCTGTCACTGCTTCTTTCTTCGCCTTCTCGAAAGCTTGTGATTTGCTTTTGGAATTCTCGCATTGGCCGTAGCCGATATCCTACAGATGTTAGCTACAATCATCATGGGAATGTGATCTCGATTCAATTACCTCATGAAAGGTGCCATCTTTCAATGTGACTCGGACAACGGCTGATAATCCAATGTTTATACGGGAATCTTTGAGTTGATCCACCTTTGCCACTGTCAGTCGCTCTGCAGTTCCGTGTAGAATACAGTCAAACCGAACTTACGAAGTCAACTTGAAAGTTTTGAATTGAGCTTGACCAGCCATTGAAGCCAAACACTTCATTGGCAAGGTTGATCAGCTTCTCTGAAGTCACATAGTGTAGCCGTTGTCCTCCTGCTCCCGGTCTCGTGGAGATATATTCCGGGCCTAATTGTTTGTCTAGCCGAGATTGCAAAGTCGCGATCTCCTTCGCGGTATATTCATTGATACGCGGTACTTTGTCTTCGAAAGGGTTGGGTATATTCCGCGCAATACGCGCCTGTTCCTCGTGTCTGGATGTGGTCGTTAGTCGTACGTCGACATGATATGGAACCAAGACTTACGTTGGCATATTGAATGATTAGTTCATTCCAAGTTGTTCAAGATCAGAATCAATATGGAGAAGGATGTAGGAGTTCACCTCAGGTACTCGAGGGTGAAGAGGCGAGTTCGAAGGCGAGATGTTGAGTTGCGCGAGGAAGACGCGACAGAAGTCTTGGCCCCGTGGGGGCAAAACGCCAAATCACCTGACCTGCAGGCAACCATTGTAGCCTGATAATTAGATGCCTTACAGCCTCAGCATTTGTTTACACTTTACGGTCTCAGATGTTTGTTTTAATATCGTAGATATCATCCTTCACCTCCGCTTGATTTAATGTTGTATGACAAGATCCAAAGTTCGCCATCACCGATTTCTAAGTGGTCTCGTGCATATCTCTTCGGCCGATCTCCAGAAGTCAGTGATGTCATGCTGTAGAAGGTACAGAACCGACCATCGCGACTGTAGTTCCACTGATTCCACCAATCGCTGATGCTTCGTAATGCTCCGCGGCTACAGAGGAGATGTCTTTCTACCATGCGCTACTAAACGATTCTGATATTGACAGTCATTGATGCTCCAATTCTAAACCACCGCTCGTTTCTCGTATTCCTCATTTCTCAATCATGGACGAACAGGTCGAACGCCTGGTTTCCAAAGTCAGGGGTAATTGTCACCATTAAAGTCCCTACAGCGCCAATAACCAACAACCTTCCAGCCAAACTCGAAACTCTCCCCGAATCCCGCCGCCTCCTCATCGCCGTCTCCGGCATCCCCGGCTCCGGCAAAACCACCCTCGCCTCCCGCGTCTCATCCAACCTCAATGCCATCCATCGCGCCTCCGCCCCGGGCCTCGCCGACTTCCCCCCCGCCGGCTTCATCCCCATGGACGGCTACCACCTCACCCGCGCCCAGCTCTCCGAGATGCCCGATCCCGCTGCCGCACACGCCCGTCGCGGCGCCGCGTTCACGTTCGACGGGATGAGCTTCCTGGACCTCGTGCGGCGGCTCCGCGAACCGATCTGTCCTGAGACGACGACGCTGTATGCGCCGGGATTCGACCATGCGGTGAAGGATCCGGTGGCAGACGAGATTCCGATACCGAAGCATATGCGGGTGATTTTGTTTGAGGGGAATTATTTGAGTTTGGCGAGGGTGCCGTGGAAGGAAGCGGCGGGGATGATGGATGAGCTGTGGTTTGTGGAGGTGGATTTTGAGGTGGCGAGGCGGCGGCTGGTAGCGAGGCATTTGAAGGCGGGGATTGCGAAGGATGAGGAGGAGGCGAATCGGCGGGCGACGGATAATGATTTGGTCAATGGAAAGGAGATTGTCGAGAATCGACTGGAGGTTCAGGAGATGATCGTGAGCAACGAGGACGATTTGTGGAAACCTGAAGCGCAGGGTGTATAGGGGTATAAAATTCCGCTGTCAGGGGCAGGATCAAAGAGTGACCTATATGCTAAGAAAACATGGATACCTTCAGTACGATAGCAAATGACATGATAACGAAGCACTAAGAAAGTAGCCTTACCATGTATGACTTTGTTTACTACTCTTAGTATACGATTTCTTCCCGTACGCTCTACACCTTGCTTGGCCAGAGCACAATTCTATAGAGCTTCTAGGCCTCGGTTTTTATTTGAATCGAAGGTTCAGACGTGTAGAAAGAGGCAAAAAAAGAAAATCGAAAAAGAAACACGGCAACAAGATCTCAAGGGGGACCAAGGCGATTCACAGTCAAGAGAAACGCAAAGATGATGCCGACGTATCAATTCGGCTCGGAAGGAGCTTATCAGCGTCGAAGAAACAGACCATACCACCAGGTCATCGGATTAGAAACAAAGGGGTATTAGATACGATATTCAGACCTTCACTCCTCCCAGCTCTTACTCTACCCACCCCTTCTCTGCTGTCCTTGCATCTCCTGCATCTCCACCCCATTCCCTCCACTCCCACGTCCCTCTCCCTCCCGCTCCCCCTCCGCTTTCACCCCACCCCCCTTCCCCTTCCGCACCCCCAACCGCTGATCACCCTCGACATAATCTTTCTTGAATCGCAAATACGTCGGGCCGCGTGGGCGCACCAGCACCGCGACCCAGTTCCGCCAGAGACTCCCCTGGTCAAACGGACGATGCCGTTCCTTCTTCGAGAACTTCCGCGAGTTGAGATATTCGCGGGTGGTCTCGCCGCGCGCCATGAGGAAGACGTGGTAGCCGAAAAGGCTGAGAGGGTACGGCGTGGCGAGGACGGCGTAGACGAGCAAGGCGAGGGCGGCGCGCTCGGGGGCGGCGGCGGCGACGGTGGCGCCGAAAGATAGATTGGCGCGGTGGGCGGCAACGAGGAGGTGGGCGAGAGAGGCGGCGAGGAGGGCAGCGCCGAGGAGGGAGGCAGATGCGACGAAGGCGAAGAAGTAGCGGTAGTTGCGGCGGCCGACGCAGTTGTTAAGCCAGACGCAATGGTGGTCTTGGGTTTCGACGCAGGAGTCGCAGAAGCGGCAGTGGTGGGCGCGGGGGGGGCGCCAGATGGTGCAGGTTTTGCAGTGCTTGGTGGGGACTTCCATGGCGGTGTGGTGGCTGGGGTCGGTTTGGGAAGGGGGGGAGTGGGTGAGGCGGGAGAGTAGGGAGGGTTTGCGGTGGGGATTGGAGAGGACGAGGGACCAGGCGGTGAGGGCGGGTCCGATGGTTAGGAGATCTTGGTCGGCGGGTGTGGGGGGGAATGGATGGAGGTTTCGAGGTAAGATCTAGACTCGTGAGCTTGGTTTTCAATGGAAATCAGTAAACTTACCCCGGGGTCCGTCACGGAGGCGTGAAGGAAAGAGGATATGCATATTAAGTACAGATAGGCAAACACAATGGGTATCGCTGGTGAAACATGAAGCCAAAGGAAAGGCGCGCTGTAGACATGTTAGCATTCATCGAGTTGCCTGCCTTTCAAACTTACGAGAATCCGAAAAAGATCGCTCCGGGGATAATCACGAACAGGCCAGTGGCAATGTTGACCGGCCTCTCTCGCGTGTTCTGGAATCGACCACCCCAGAAGAATACCATGTTCCCCGTAAAGTACTCATAATTCTTCCCCAAGTCTTTCTGCATGCGATTGATTTCTTGCGCTCGAGCTTCGCGCTTCATCTTGTCCGAACGAGGGCTATCGTCCTGTCCGCTAGGGCTAGAACCCCCCGAAGGAAGCTTCTCATGTCCGCGACCCGAGTTCGAAGGATTTCTACTGCCTCTGCTAGGCAGGATGAAGCTTGATCGGAAGCTGCGCGGGCTTTTCTGAGGCGGGGCCTGGTTCGATTGATTCTGTGTATCCAAGTGCAAGTTCTGCGGTGCGGGTCGTTGCAGAGGAGCGATGCTCTCTCCTCGGCTCCGCAGCGTTTCCGCTCCGGTAGGCGATGTGTTCCCCGTCGTTTGAGCCATATATGCATCCGCTTCCGTGAAATCCGATGCTCGTGACGGTGGAGGCCGCAGGTCGGTCAGGGTATGCGAAACCATCGCTCCCGACACCGCCGCATCTCGCAAAGTCGGATTGGAGCCGGTGCTCGCGTGGGACCCGGCCGTTGGTGACGTACTCATTTGATCTGCACTCCCCGGGTGAGAAGTCGTCGATGCGCGCTGTCCCCGCTGTGCCTGTAGTCTTTGCGAGCTCATGGGTCGGAAAAACGCATGAGACGCCAGACTTGGAACATGCGTCCTGCTATGGCTTGTCGGTGGCCGTGTTCCCGTGCTGGCTGCGCCGGTACTTCCCGCAACGCTTCCCCCAAGTCCACTGTGATATGCTTTCCCGCGTCGAGATGGGCCCGCGGACCATGCGCTTGCTCCGCCGCGGACGGATGATTGTGCGGTTGTCGCGGAGGACGGGCGCGATGGCGGGATACCGGGGTCTCCAGGGGGTCCGGTGGTTCCTTGAACTCTATGCGACGATTGCGGAGGTCGGTTGCTGTGGCTGCTCAAAGGGGGAAGGGGTGCGTCGGCCTCTTCGGATGGGGTGTCGGACATTCTGGAGGAGGTAATGCTGGGTTCTGGCGCATCGCCGGTGCCTTGGGTTTCCATTGCGCTGGTTGGTAGACCCTAACACTGACAATGATTGTGGAGGGTTTCGGACTTGTTGCCTATATCATAAAGCCGAGATATTGAAGTCCAGGGTCTCGTTCGACAGGTCCTCCACGCATAGTATACCTCGTCACAACAAGAAGTAATTATGACAATAAAGTTCCGTCGTGCGCAGAATCGTGCAGATAAGGCGTTGGCTGTGGTGAAGGGATTGTAAGAACTGAAGATGATACAAAGAGAAATTAAACTTTGGATATGGTGGTCAAGGCATGGGTGCAAGGGCAGGTTAGAATATCACTAAGATGTTAATATGGAACCAAGAAAAGAAGTGAAGTAACAGGCTGGAGCCGGTGAAGGAGAGTTGGAGTCACTCAACACTCTAAGAGGCTGGCAAGATGGCGTTATGAGAGAAGCACTGAAGATGGAGTTGGATGGGCGACACATGACGATCGTAGCCTTCAGGGGAAGTCATGCTGCACACCCCTGTTTGTCTATCACAAGGCATAAAGGCACCAAGGCCATAAGGCCGTAAACTCCCGAGCCGAGCTTGGCATTCTTCCCTGGAGCTCAATTGATGAACGCTTGGCTGGCGTGACATTCATGACCTCAAACCTGACCACAAACCTAACAATTGACCACATTCACCACCACACCCACCACCACGCCTCCCTCTCCATCTCATCCTCTCAATCAATTACTCTCTACTAATTCCATCTCCTCCCACCATGTCCTCCATCATTCCCCGCGCCGCCTTCCGCGCCGCGCCCCGCCTCCGCGCCCCATTCCGCCCGTCCACCGCCCTCCGCGATGCCACCGCTGCCAGCGAGCGGGAGCATAGCAAGACGGCGATGAAGAAGGAGGCGAAGCTGGATCCGGAGCTTTATGTACGTGATCCTTGGAGATAGGGGTGGTGGATGCAATTGAGGAGAATCAATGGCGCGGAGAGGGAGAAAGAAAGTGAGAGAGAGGGCTAACGTGGTGTTGTAGATCCTCGCCGCGGTCATGGTTGGTGCGGGTGGGCTTGCCGGGTGGTATTTCTGTACGATGATTCGCATCTTTGGAGATGGCGGTGGTGCTGACTTGGTGATGTAGCGACGAACCTGACGTCCGGGAGCTCAGAGTCGCCGGTTGGGAAGAAGGAGGGATCCGAGCCGTGGAAGACGGGCACTGATGGGAAATATCAGTACTACCCCGGCGGCGATGCGTCGAAGGGGGCTCGTGATGCTCCGTCTGCGGTGAATGAGTCGATCATTCCCAATGTCACGCTGCCGAAGGTTTGTGGTGGACCCAACCCCATTTAACGAGCGACTACTAATGACATCTTTAGTCACTTCACGATAAATATAACAAGTACGGGAAGGACATCTCCGAATGGTGAGCGTGGAAAGTGTACGGAAAGCGTGGAGGATGTGGTTGGATTGTATCGATAGGATCATTGGGCCTGGTTGTGGTTTCAGAGTGTATATATGATGCCGTCATTACCAGAGCTAGTTTAGGGGATCGAATAGACAGCTTGATTGGATTCATCTCGCCTAGATTGTATGTATCTCGTCTACAGCGAGGTGCGGCTGCTTCATTTTTGCTGGCAGCTTGAAGCTCAACGTCCCAGAATCCTACAATAGCCTCCGATTGATCCTGGAGGAGGCGTTCCTCGGCTTAGCCCTCCATGGTAATGATACAACTCGTACAGAAACGAGGGATTCGATATCGGACAATAAACATATCCCTACATCGCCAGGCCCTCCTTTATCAACCCCTACCGATACCTCTGATGCAACTGCCTAATCTGCTCCTCCAAACTCAATCCCTGCAAACCTCTCCCATCACCTCCCACCGCCCCCACCGCCCCCGGGGGCACCGGCACCTGCTCCGCCGCCTGCAACTTCGCCATCTTCCGCCGCTGCTCCTCCTCCGGCGTAATGGCCTGCCCGGTGATGGGATCGAACACGTCGGAGCGCTGCGACGCGAGGCGCTTGAGGTTGTTAGCGACCTCGGCGGTGGAGAGGTTGGTGGTACTTTGGCGTTGGTCGGAGAGGGCTTTTTGTTCGCGCCAGTTGGGGTCGAGGAGTTCGACTGGGATAAGTTGTTAGCATTGCTTCAGATAATATGGTATGGTGCTTGAAAGGGGGGGACAACTTACTCTTCATATGGTTCTCCCATTCCTCCGCCGGGATCACCTGCTTGCAATTCGGGCAAAGATACCCATTCTGCTGCTGTCGCTTCGCCTGTGCACGCGGCACATAGTCGCTCCGGATCTTCATCGTCCCCGGACCGCCCTTCGCGGCTGCCTGCGCTTGCTGCGCGCGTTCGTTGGCGGCCATCTGCTCGCGGAGGCGGTCGTTTGGCGCGTGGGATGCGGCGGCCATCGGCATGGGGGGGCCCATTGGTTGGGGCGAGATGGGCGGCTGGGGGATATGGGGTGGGGGGAAGGGCGTGGCGGCGGCGGGGGAGGGGGTGAAGTAGGCTTGTTGCATGTCGTCGGTAGGCATGGCTTCTTCGATGCGCATGGTGTGCGGTGCGAGGGACATCATGGCTTTTTGTTCGAGGGAGGCGGATTGGAGGTCGTTAAGGGAGGTGGGGGGAGGGAGCTCGGTGTGGTCGTCAGTTTCGTTGAAGAGGACGGTTTCGACGACAACGAAGTCGTGCCAGTCGATCTGCGCGTAGGAGAACCGGTCGGCTTCTTCGGCTTCTTCTTTCTGTTGGCGCTGTTGTTCTTGGTATTTGACCCATTCGGCTCGCCGTCTCGCTTTCTCCAAGACGCGATACCGGTCCGTGACGTTGCCCTGAAGCTGCTGTATTCGCCCTTTCTCCGCCTTGCCACCATTCACGACTCCCCCATTCAATAACTCCGTATATTGATCCACCAGCCGGCTGAAGTACTGATACAGACTGTGCTGCGGTCGCAAGAAGTCAAACTGATAGTTCCCCGACTCCTTCTGCGATAACTGCGTCATCCATCCTCTCCCGTTCTTCGCAACGTACAGCGCCGTCAACTTCACCACATCCAGATCCTGCGCGCTGATGTTCGGCATCCGCGCACTAAACTGAAAGTCCGGCGGCGGTTCCGGCCCTTTCGGTTTCTCCGGCGCCTTCACCGCGCCACCCTCCTCCACGCGCCCAGCCGACACCGCCGTGCCTCTGCCCTCCTTGACCTCGCTGAGCCGCCACGCATAGAAAGGGTTGTAAGCGTCGTTTTCGCTGAGGAACGAGAACTTGGGATTCTGCTGTTCTTTGGTGCGGATTCGCTCTTCGAACACGGTGCCGTTTCGGGCCACGTAGCCGGCGGTCTTTTCGACGATGGCGCGAATGTCTTTGGGGGGCAACACGACGCCTGGAGGAGGCTTGCTAACCACCTCCTCGAACGAGGTGTCGGCGGCGGGCGCCATTGTTACGCGTTTGTGATGGATTCCTGGTTACTAACAGCGCTTCGTGATAAGGTGGTGTTCGTTGGAGGTGTTCTAGAAGGTTGATTGTCGCGATTTCGGGGTTGATGGGGTTGCAGATTGACATTATTAGTATCAGAATCGAATGAATGAATGATCGAATCGAAGGACCCGCTTTTTCTTTCCAGCCCTACACCTCCTCAGCTAAGAACAATGCAACTCCCCCCCAGTCCCTTGAGTTTCGAAAGTAAACATGCTGAAATCAATATGCCGAGTCTCCTGCGGCGGAGTCTTACCTGTTTCTACTGCGGAACAAAATCTAACCTCAGATTTGATGGCAAGATCAGGAAGTTCCGCTGTCAAAGTTGCGAGGCGGTAAATTATCTGGACGAGGTATGTGTATGCCTCGACAATACTCGAGAAGGTCTAATCGTTGCTGTAGAAAGGCCAAATTACAGATCCTCCGACGAATGGAACTCCGCAGAATACGCATTATGCCATTCAGGTACCGCGTCCGAGGTCCCCTGAGCTGGACGCGCAAGACACCTCCCTGTTCTGCTCGACTTGCTTGAAGAACCAATATCTCGTCACCCAGGCACTCGCATCATATCTACCCTCGACGGATGATCCTCAATATGCGGAGTTCGAAGCATCGCACCCGGAATACAAGGCGCAGCTAGAGGAGCGCTATCCCCAAGTATGCGCCAAATGCGAGCCACGAGTACGCAGGCGCATCCAGACTGCCCAGTATGCTGCTCGGTCGGATCACCTCCGACGAGTCATGGAGCGGAATAGAGGTAGTTCAGGAACATACACTACTCCTACTACTTCGGGAGGTTCATGGAAAGGCGGTCTCGTCAATCTTTGCGGGTTGATATGGTGGTCCAGCGCCTTGGTCCAGATTGTCTGGCACTTGTCGACCTTCTTGGTTGATTGGGAGGGCTCAGCACCCACTGTAGACGTACGACCGGAAGCAGGAACTTGTCTCCAGAATGCAATTACGACCGCCGCCCTTGACTATGGGTGTTTCGACTCCGTCCACAGGGGTGCAATACATGCGCTCATGCTTGGAATCCTCGTCATCTGGTGGAGTCCGGCGTTGAATGTGAAGTTGAGAACATCTAGGGCCCACCTTATGCGCGTAGGACAACATATATTCATGCAAGCAGTCGTGCTAGCTATCCGGTCGGTGGCTTGGTGGACTCTGGCATATCCAACAGTGCTTGGACTTACCCTCCCTGCGTTTCGCGGCGCACACGCGTTCATGGTCCTTTTCATCATCATTGTAAGTAAACCTTGTTTGAGGATGGCCGAGATGCTAACAAGGATAGGGGATGTATCTTGGGTATACCGTCATGTATCTCCAGAAGCCGCCTCCGATCAAATTCAGCACCAACATAGAACCCCTGCTTCCAGAAAGAAGCCAGGACAAGCCTGAGGTGGCATCCGAGCTCAATCATCTCGAGTCATTATACCTTAATAAATCTCCGATGCGCTTCGGATCGAGCGAGACCGGACAATCAGCTTTTCCTATTGAAAATCTGGGATCTCCGATTACACCCTCTCTGGATCGCCAAAGTGCTCGGACACCATCCATATACGCCAACACTGAAGCGGGTGCATCAGATGACGACACCGAAACCACCGCCGAATACGATCCAGATAACAATATGGACTGGACACCGACGCAGCCGGATCAGCTCAGCCTTCGCCATCCGGCGTTCAGCCCTCCCCGATCCTTCCAGAAGTCCACATCCTTCTCCCCGCCCAACGCCGCATATAACCAAGCGCTCGGCGTCTCCTCTCCCAACCAATCGTTCACAACTGTCGGCGCCTCGCAGTCCAACCCCCTCCTCGGAAGCAACCCATACGAACCCTCCCCCTTCCGTGGTCCGCTTCCCGCCGCCCCGATCCACCCCAACCACAAAGCGCGCAACCCTCTTCTCCGACAACAGTTCCGAAAAACGGGCGAGCAGACGCAGGAGCAGTTCTTGGGGCAGCTGATGAGCAATTTGGGGAGCTCGAAGCAAGTATCGCCGCAGGGGGGAAAGAAGCGCGCGGAGATGGTGCTGCAAAAACCGCAATGGGTGATGGAGGAGAAACCGAAGGATACGGGGCTCGAGTCGTTGTTTGATCGGGTGTTTACGATTGGTGATCACCCGGCGCACGCGGGTGGGGAACAGGCGGTGGTGGGGGCGGAAAAGGGACGGGCGAGTGGCCTGGGAGGTGGGCAGCAACGCTCAGTGATGGATTCCATGACAGGAATTGTGGTGTTTGGATTACTTGCAGCGGTGTTAGGGTCCGCAGGATGGGTGTGGAGTGTCTTTGGGTCAGGGGCCGGTTCATCTAGCATAGCCGTAGAGCAGTAACTTCAATGATATCGCGCAATACGCGCTTCCTCCTCCACGTCATCCATCGCCATGATTCCCCCTATCTATCCAACCCCAACCTCCGCTCCACCTCCCGCACGATCCCCGTCCACTCATACATCGCCCCATTCCCCGTATCCCCACATGACAGCGTCTTCTCCTGCGGCCGCAACAACTCCACCCATCCCCCCACCTTCACCCCCCACTCCCCCTCCAACACCCCCACCTGCCGCCCCGTAATCGGCTGCTCCCACATCGCCGTATTCATCGCCGGCGCCACCAGTATCAGCTTCTTCCGATACCTCCTGGTCCGCGCCTCCCCAGCTGTCTTCTCCCCCGCGTCCACCTCCACCTCCACCCCCTCCGGCACCGTCACCGTCGGCCCCAGCACCCCCTCCTGCTCCGGCAACAAGTCCACCAACCCTGTCGTATCCCACGCGCGAATCACGCTCGTCAGAAGATTATCCGCCACGCCGTGCACCATCTTCGCCAACGTATTCGCGCTCATCGGCGCCACCACCATAACATGCGCCCATTTCCGCAGCTCGATATGCAAGATGCTGTTTCCCCGCACCCAGGGGACCGTCCACTCGTCCGCGTCCTGGTAGATGGCATCGACGCGGGGAATAGCGGCGAGGGACTCAAGGGCGGGTTGTTCAGCGGATTGGGACTGGAGGAAGTGGGTGGCGGAGGGGGTGAGGAGGAGGCGGAGGGAGACGGTAGGGTGGGCGGCAAGGGCGGCGGCGATGAGGGGGAGTTTGATGGTCGCAACAGAGCCGGAGGCAGCGAGGAGGATGTGGTGTTTGTTGTCGGTGGCGTGGGTGGAGGCGAGGAGCGGGAGGCTGGCGAGGGGGAAGGGGTTGGGGGTTGGTTGGGTCATGTTGGTCTCATGTCGAAGGATGGTTCGTTGGGTTTCGAGGTCGTGGAACTCGGAGGATATATGTGGATGACGATGGTACTACCAGTTGAATTCCACCTCTCTACCAGGCTCTTGAGGACAATGAAGAGGATCCTAATATTTCACGAAGATTACTTGCCACGAGTTGAACATGTCGTTTTGTGAAATCTCCGAAAGGGCGTGAAGGCATTGATGGGAAGTTGATATAATTACACAGACCGATGGATCTCATTTGGTTGGGTTCCCTTTATGGTATGCCGATTTGACCCGCAATATCCCGTCCACCATAGTAGGAGTTATCATCTGCTCGTAAGTATGCGAACAAACGGGCCAGTGTGATTGTCACGATATCTGTTTAACATATATTCTGGATGTTTCTGCTGGACTACGCTCTGCGTCTAAGCCACCAATGGAAGACTGGCAGCACCTTGTGGGTTTCAGCTTAACCCGAACTAGTTGGGCAGCCTAGCTTCCTCCAGGGGATTCAAACAACCTTTAGGGGTCAATTAGAGCCACCGTATACCCAATATCAAGTCCAAGGTACCTTCTACGTCTGCCTTTCTACGATCGTGTTTGGCGAGCGAGATTCTCGACGAAGAATCAGCCAACATGTGCCTCGCTTCTCTCCATTCCACCAAGATATACCCACAAAGTCAACACTCCCGTCATCGGTGAAATAGGAACTACGTCCCGCAAACCAAGAGTATCTCCTAGCCACGGCCAGGATGGTGATGCTCATCATGCCGAACCATCCCGCGTCGCATCATCTGCCTTGCGTTTCCGCTTCGTTCCAAAAAGTGGATCATCGATAATCGCCTCCTTCACGGACGGCTTCTCAACTTCTTCAATCTGTCCATGATTCCTCATGTGGACTTTCCTCCAATTGACCTCCCCGCCGTCCGCTTCGCGCGTCTTGGCGGCGTTCAATTTCGCCGCGCGGATGCTGACGCGGGCGTAGAAGAATAGCAATCCCGCCATGGTGAAGGCTGCTAATGGAGCGACGATTGTCTGGGAGCTTCGTGTCAGCGGGATGGCTTGGAGGTTGGCGTTCGGAATTCGCGTTCGGGAAGGGGTGGATTACTCTTGAGTTGAGGGGAAATCCCCTTCGAGATCCTGATACTGGTCGGGAGATCTCGTTGGCCTTGTCAGGGCTTCGAGGCATGGACAAGCGGCCTCCCATTTTGTTGTGACTTCTTGTGACGCATACACCGAAGGATTCGCTGTTGAATGGTCTGTTTAGAAGGGTTGGTCTGGTTACAGATGACAATTGACTTCTAAGACAGCATTTCTTGCGTGTTCTGTGCTGTTACCACATACTTTTGCCACCCGTAATTACAACAGCAATGTAATAATACAGGACTCATCTAACCACAGTATTTCGACAACATCATGGACAACAGAGGAGCTGATGCATCATGAATCTGATGGATGATGTCGAGTTTGAAATACGGGCCGTGCTTGGGAACTGCACGCTGCTGACCAATCAGCAATAGCGCCAGCCGGCAATATAATTCTGGACCCTCTACCTTTAACCACATCTTCATCTTACGGCGAGATCAAGATATTCCCTCTTTCCTGCTTACAAGTTAGCCTACCTGCCCTTTAGTCCAGACCTCTGAACCCTCCGGATCCCAAGCACATCTTAACTCCGACAGGAACCAGCGCGATATCCCATCCTAATCACGTCATTGTGCTTCATTCTCCCTGCAGCATTACCGGGTATTTGTCAAGAGAATTCACCCGAGTGGCAATCTCCTCAGACATTCGCAAAGGATCTATAAATTCGTTAAATACACGTGAAATCCGCCAAATCCGCCAAACTGTCTTTCATCACCCCAATCCGTGTCTCACTCCCCCGGCTCAAGCTGGCAAATCAAAGACTTTCCGCCGTCTCGCAGCATTTCTCCACAACAAGAGACCTCATGGCGCCCATCACGAAAGAATGCGATTACCTGGTGATTGGCGGGGGTAGTGGGGGTCTGGCATCTGCTAGGAGAGCCAGTGCCTGGTATGGTGCCAAGGCGATTGCTATCGAAGCAAAGCGATTGGGAGGCACATGTGTCAATGTTGGGTATGTGAGGTGTCCCTGGATGGTTGGGTTTTACTGACAAGTTCGATAAGATGTGTGCCAAAGAAAGTCACTTGGAATGCTGCTCATATTGCGGAGACGATACACCAGGCCAAGGCATATGGGTTCTCTGTACAACATACAGCTCCATTTGACTGGAATTCTTTCAAAAACAAGAGAGATGCATATGTCACGCGTCTGAACGGTATTTACGAGCGAAACCTCGGAAATGACAAAGTGGAATATATCCATGGATTTGCCCGCTTCACCGGCAAGCAAGAGGTGGAAGTCACGACAGATGACGGAAGCAAAGTTCAAATCAAAGGCAAGAAAATTCTCATTGCTGTCGGTGGTCGACCAGCGCTACCCGACCTTCCTGGGATCGAACTGGCCCTTACTAGCGATGGATTCTTCGAGATCGAGCAGCAGCCGAAAAAGGTGGCAATCGTCGGTGCAGGATATATTGCCGTCGAGTTTGCAGGCATGTTCCAGTCGCTCGGAACCGAAACTCATCTGTTCATCCGCCATGACCACTTCCTACGAACCTTCGACCCGATGATCCAAGAAAAGGTCACAGCCGAGTACGTGAGGCAAGGGATCAACGTACACAAAAATTCAGAAGCAGCCAGGATCGAAGATATTGGCGGCGGCAAGAAGCGGTTCCATTACTCCGACAAGGATGGTGAATCGAGCGTTGATGTGGACGAAGTCATTTTCGCCGTTGGTCGGAAACCCGAGATCGATGGCATGGGACTTGAGAACGTCGGCCTGAAGCTCAATGAAAAGTCACATGTCGTCGTGGACGAGTATCAGAACACCAATGTCGAGAACGTCTATGCTCTTGGAGATGTGTGCGACAAAGGTTTCGAACTGACTCCTGTCGCCATTGCAGCCGGTCGACGCCTTTCAGATCGCCTATTCGGAGGAAAGACTGATGCCCACTTGATCTACGAAAATATCCCTTCTGTGGTCTTCTCGCATCCGGAAGTTGGTTCAATCGGCCTGACTGAACCGGAAGCTCGGCAGAAGTTCGGCGATGAGAACATCAAGATCTACTCTACTGGCTTCACTGACATGTACTTTGCCATGATGGAGCCAGAAGACAAGGGGCCAACAGCATATAAATTGGTGTGTGCTGGTCCTGAAGAGAAGGTGGTTGGTCTTCATATTATGGGATCTTCCAGCAGCGAGATTCTTCAGGGCTTCGGCGTTGCTGTGAAGATGGGTGCGACCAAGAAAGACTTTGACCAATGTGTTGCAATCCATCCGAGCAGTGCAGAAGAGCTAGTTACATTGAAGTAGTGGTCTTGGTTCGGCTTGGACTAATAGCGTACAGACCGACCACCAAAACACTTCCCTGTTAGACTGTGACATCCCTATTTGAAGACATGCTCATAAGGGTGCTGTACGGTGAATTCTCCTGAGTGTCAGGATGACCATTGTCCCATAGAGTTAGATGTTGCCTAGTGACTGGTTTAATTAACTGACACTTTCACTTTAACTTTTTATGCACTTTTTGATTCACTTCGCTTTGCGCCGGTTGATAATTTTCACTCCAGCCTTACCACAAGTCCTTCATTCACTTTCCCTTCTCCTTTCAGTACCACCATGTCATCGTTCGGTTGAACTCATCGCCTTTTCTATGATATTCCACTAACCTTTACAACTTCAATATCCGAAACCTCACTATCTTCTATTTCCCCCCCACGGTACAGCGACGTCGAACTCGCAACCATGACTGACCTCGCAATGGACATGCGGAATTCCACAATTCTACCTCCTGAGACACCGAAGGTGGCTAAAAGGTCCAGAATTCCGGTAGCTTCTTATCAGGAGATGTCTGATTTCGACTCCCCGGGAGCCCGTATGACCCCAAGTGCGATTCCCGTCAATCCAACTTCATCAACCCTATCTTCAATCGAACCAGTCTCACCTCTCTCACCTCTCTCATCCCCCATCTCTTCGGCGGATAGCCCTCCCTCTGAAGATTCATCACTCCACCTTGACTTGGATATCATTGAATGTGCCCTGAGTCCATTTTCTTCAAGCTCTGAAGATTTGACGAGCTCATCTCAAGCGTTATTCAAAGAGCTCGGCTCTGAGATTGCAGACATCATGGATCTCTACGGTGGAAAGCGGAAGAAATACGAGTCTGGGGCGACGCTCCGTGCACCTAGCAGCGGTGTCTCCTCTAGGCGCCAGAGCCAAGCGACAATCACTCAAACCGAAGGACCTCGCGTTGAGAAAGCGAAGCGGCGAAACTCTCTCCCTCCTTCAAAGCATTTACCAGAGCCGGGATGGCTGACAAATGAAGGCGATGACAATTATGAGTCTTCTGACTGGGAGACATTGCCAGGTGATGGCGAACCAGCACATCCTTTCACTTCGGAGGCTGACAATTTCACTTATGGTGATGATTCTCACTTGTCTGAAACTACGGGCATTCAATGGGAACCCTCCCAGAAACGCAGAAAGCACCACAAACGATGCAAGAGCTGTTCCTCAGGATTATCTGAAGGGAGTACTGCCGCAGGCAATGATGTTGGCGAGCAGGACAACATTTCAGCCTCGCCAACAGGTGTCGACGCCATCCTTGGAAAACCACTCACGTGGACTCAGTTCATGGACCTTCTGAACGAACCAGGGATGGAAGCCGTGAACAACGTATATGGCGTTAATCAGAGTCTTACAGCGATCCGAGAGTCACTGGAAAAGTTCGATCCAAGCGGACGAAGACTTCTTTCATATCCGGAGTTTGCCTCAATTCTGCGGAGGTCTATTCTCATTCCCAGTTCCAACCGTGCATCTGCTCCGGTAAATGCACTGCCGACGAGGACGTCAATTCACGATGCTTCTCGAGCGAACCATGCATCACGCTCATCAAGTGCACCGCAAGCGAGGGTGTCAGATTACGGAGTGACAGCGGTGCAACAAACCCAGAGCTTTGCTGTTGACTCTTTTAGTCAAAGGCAAGGACAAGACATTCACACGAACGCACGAAAAGAAGCTCCAGGGGCCCTGTATCTTCCCCCCCTTGATTTCTTGAAACCCGTCAAATACAGTCCTGGAAAAGTCAAAGACCATCGAGATTCAGTTGGTGTTGAAACGGTGCCGGCCCCTGACGACCACCAGGATCAAATCAAGCTAAATGGCAAACAGGCTCTGCTCTCTCCACTACTTGCCGATCAACCTGCAGAGCCTATGTTTGACCGACAGAGCGTTCATGGGCATGATGAACAACTGGAAGATGACTCACATGCAGAACAATCAGTCACGGGACGTGAATCCTCCCTTCAGACCATCAACGAAGATGAAGACCCATTCAACGACACTCAACAATCCGATATTCTACCACCAATCCCCCCGCGCAATCCCAAACGGCTGTCTTCATTCCGCAACTTGAGTGGATCTTGTCCTTCCAGTTTTCCTCGTGCGCCTACTCCTGATACGCCTAGCAAAGTACCTCACAATGCCTCCTCTAGAACAATCTCAAATGCAGGACCTTCAGCTGGCTGCGGTAAACTAGAGGGCACTGAGAAAAAGCCGACGGGGACCGTGGCGCATCGCTCTGTGCAAAGTCTCCGGGAAAGGTGGACTCCAAGACGATCTGTATCGGACAGTGTCGTGCCTGTGCGATCGTCTGCGCGATCGTCTGCACCGGTTTCTACTCAGCAGTATCGGCAGACGAGCTCAACCACTGGAAGTTATATAGCAGGTGTTGCTACAGGGAGCGCCCAAGATGCAGTCACACCAAGAACTTCATCTGCGAATCCCGCGCATAATCAGCAAACAATGGGACTTTCTTCCTCTCATGGTCAACCGGGCTCTGGCTACGACCAGCATGGCAACCAACAAACCGTCGCCGCTGAACCCACCGAGGACAGTGATGACGAACCCCAGACCGCCCCTTCCCCACCGCCCTCGAAATTCACCCCCGTGCAGCTCCCCATCAGTACTAAAGCTAGCCAACTCCTCGTCGGAAACTGGTGGGTCCAGCAAGCCCAAGACCGCGTCATGGCGGAGCGCGAGCGCAAGCGGCAAGAAGAACAGGAGGCCAGGCGCGCCGCCAAGCGGGAGTCCATGCAGCGCCTCACCTCAGCCGTCAAGCGAACCACCCAGGGCGTCAAGCGCCGTCTCTCCTTTGCCAACGGCTTCGGTAGCCCGCGGAACAGCTTGGACACTCCGCGGAAGAGCGAAGAGTCGACGGATGCATCGCCTAAGCAGCCGGAAGGTGCGACAAGCCCGGTCAACGCGGTGGATGGCTCATACCACCCTCCCCGCCGCGTTGACGGCCAAGAAAACCTCCGCGAACCAAAGACACAGCCGCAGGGTCCGGCCTCAGCTACCCCGAGCACTCTTCTCTTCGGAAACACAAGCACTGCGGTCGGTGGAGCCGCTGCAACCTCCCCGCTCCCTTCTAGTCGTATCCCCCGTCCGGCGTTCTACGTCTCGCCACAGTTCGACAGCACCCTGTTCACCAGTCAACCGCGCAATAGCTTCCGTCGACATATCGGCCCCGAGGCGATGCGGCGGGCGCAGGTGGGGCGCGGAATTGAACACCATGAGAATCTAGCGACGGCGACGGCGGTCCCGGCTGAGATGGCAGCGGCCCCAGTGGAGGAGGTACCAGCGCCGGAGCCGCAGCCGGAGAGGGTGTGGCGAGCGTCGCTTGTGGAGAGGGGGTGGATGGCAGTTGAGGGAACAATTGTGGATGAGAGGAAGGTGCCAAGGAAGAATGAGGAGAGTGATGATGCGGAGTCGTTTGATGCGAGGCGGCATTGAGTGGATGTGCCAGAGGTGACATGTCGTTGAAGGGCGTGCTGACGAGGCCGTGGTGATTCAGCAGGACTGGCAATCCGTTTCGTTGTGCGGCATGCGGATATTGCCCTCTTTGTTGACTGACTGGCCTTGATGGATTGGTGCTCTACATGTGGCCAGAGGCGGCGGATGCCCAACTCGTATTCCCTTTTCTTCATATTACCCTTATCTTATTGTCCCCGTCGATTCCCATTTCCCTTTTCATCCGTCACCGTTTCTTCACCCCCCTCTCCTCCCCTACATGTACACTTATCCGCGTTTTCCCTTGTCAGATCGAACTACAAGATGACCGACTTCTTCAAACAGCTCGCTTCTTTGGTTCACAGCGAAGAGGTACATATCATCGGATGCTACCTCATAGGCAGTTATAGTCGGACTTCAGCATATGCTATCAGTCAGCATAGCTTATATGGTATTCTCCATAGCTCTAAAAATACAATAAAAAGATCCCTGAATTCTCAATGATCGACGTGATCATGATCTACCAGTGACTTTTGCTATTTTAGCATCATTGGTAACATCGAATCCTTTCCATCCCGATTTCTCATCTCATCGTAGTCCGTCATTCATCGTGTATCGTCAACCTACGCATCCATCACCTCCCCACCTCCATTTTACGAATCTCTCCATCCGGGACATACCCATCACATACCGCCTCCAGACTATGCACATTCAACTCCTCATACCGCCCCTGCAACTCCCCCCTGCACGTCCCCTCCACCTCCTCCATCACCCTCCCACACCACCTCTCATCCACCCGCACCGCCGTCGGATTCCCCGGACACTCCACACGATACCTCCATCGCGCCAACCGTCGGTCCGCCTCCTCGCACTCCACCACCATTTCCCACCGCTGCGGCATCACAAACACCCTCTCACTCCACAACTCCCCGATAAAAAAACTCGCGTTCGTCGCGATGAACGTCTCGAGGAATAGATCGCTGAGCGCCCAGCGCGCCGCCTTGGGGTCCATACCGGAGTTGGGCCAGATCTGTGCTTCGGCGTCGAGGTCGCAGCCGACGTGCGGGACAAGGAAGTCAGTGAGCGTGCGGGTGTAGAGGCGGCTGCCGTCGGGGCGGGAGGTGAGATTCCAGGGTTGTTCGGGCCGCTCGAGGGCGAAGTAGAGGGGGCTGGGGCCGATGTGCATGGTTGAGCGGCCATGCATGTCGAGGTGGATGAGGGAGGGGTGGGTAGTGGTGGTGAGGGTGGTGTGGTGGTTGATTTTGGGGGTGGTGGAAGAGTTGGTGGTGGGGGGGCAGGAGCGGAGGGCGGTGGTGAGGGTGGGGAGGAAGAGGAGGGGGATGGTGAGAATGGACAGCATTGTGGTGGTGTCTGTCGATGGTGGGCTAGTTAAGAAGTCCTGGAGGTCTTTGAAGCAGAAATGAATGAGAGGGCCGAGAAAGGAAATCTTTCAGAACTGGATTGTTTTATCGGAACGGGCTTGTTCTATCAAAACTTAGTTGGTTTATCGCAACTTGCTTGATCGAGTTCTAAGGATGATAGCAACCGCGGCTGATAACTCTGCTTCTCAGGGGAATTTACACTGACAGGTTTTCAGTGTGAACGAAACCAGCGATTGGGAGAAGCTGTCAGTTCTTTCTGCGAATAGTAATTGAAAGATTTTGACTTTAAGGTGACTATGATTTGTGACTCAGAAGTTTGAAGTAATATGGAAATCCAAGTGTGATATATACATTCTGAATGGCATAATCAAACATTCAGTGATGATGACTGGCTTTGTTTGCATTATCATCAATGTGGACATGCTGTCGGTGGAGCGGTTTGTGAATTGTCTCATGCTGTTGGTAGCAGAATTCACATTCACCATCATTAAGCCCATTAACATGTTCACGCATATGACGGGACAGATGCCAGTCACCTATTTCTAATGGACGTGAGCCCACGATATCTGTGGTGATTTGGTCAGTCAGCCTAGAATCCCGAGTTCAAAGTCAATCTACTCCAGAAGTTGTTTCTACGCCTAAATATCTGTGTCTCCATCGGACTTTGAAGTGTGCTGCAGCAAGTAATTCCTTCGCGTCCCGGAGTGCAGTGTTAATATCATCGAGTCTCGAATTATGGTGGGATATTACTCCTGTGCTCGGAGGCTCCCACGTGTCCTCCACTCTAAGGCAGCAATCGGATTGATATGAGGCACCCATCGTCGTTTTGGCATGGCTCCCAAAATCGCCTCATCAGCCAATCGCACCTACCGGAGCGATGATTTCAAATCCCCTTCACGATCCACCAGATCCTCACCACGATCAGCACCGCATGTACATTCCCCGTCCCCCCTCCTCCGACATCGACATCTCTCACAGTAAATTCAAGGCGCGCTGGTGCGTCCCAACTACCATCAATACCCGGCTCGCCGACGCGATATCGGCAGCGTCAGCAGAACGGGCTCACGGACGACTGGGGACAGAATCGATGACACACGGAAAACGGGCGGAAATGACCGACTTTTGGCTGCGTGGAGATGGAGGCCGGAGGATGTAGGGTGGTGGGCTGGGATATCAAGGCGGTATCCTGGGTGCGCCGCTGTCGGGCGAGAGTCGACGTACCAGTGACCGTCTACCGGGAGTTACCATATTAAACATCCGGGATGGGTGGTGAGGAGTCGCATCCCTCAGCGGCATCGCATCTCCGCTAGATTTGGTCCTGTCATTCTGTTAGAGCCAGAGAGAGCAGGCAAAAATTTTCCAGTCGAGTCGTCGAGGCTAGAATATTGGGAAGGTGAGGCACCCGTTTCTTCCCGATGAAAATGCTGGATGGGATGGAGGCTAGAGAATGAGGATGAGGCTACAGCGGGTAGGTTGATCTTGGAGGATGGGTCCGAGGGACGATGTTACGGGATGGAAATTTTATTGTTGGATAGTGGGAAGGGTGGGCGGGAGACGAGGAGGGATGAGAAAAAGAGGAGAGGGAGTGGGCGAATTGGAGGGGGGATTATGGCATCCGCTTGGGATGGGGAGATTGGTGGCCGATGGGATGGACGAAGCCGAACACCACAGCAGCATCACCACATCCAAAATCCAGAGTTACGAACGTCTCTCCCGTCCCAAGAGTCAGACTTACCCAGGAATATGAAATAATTATCCCCCATCAACGATCAATCCAGTCAATAGCCAACCTCCCATGACCTCACTCCTACTCCCCTCACCCCCAACCCTCACCCACAGCATTCCCACCACCCACCACTCCACCAGCGCCAGGTAGCGTAGCGCGTACCCACCCAGGCACGCCCCGCCATAGATAAGCCCTCCCGCCAATCCCACCACTATCAGCGCCTCCTCCATTCCGTGACCCTACACAATTAGTCCGATCGCAAATAGGCGCATCCATCGCCATCCCGCGCACGGGCTGCATTCCCAATGCGCCGGCGCCGACCACGCGCCCGGGGAGCATGGTTGGCTAGAGGAGGGAGGAGGGATCTGCACCCCCTGGACCCTGGTGTTTCGGTGCGTATTCGCAGTGCAGAGGCGCGAGATGCGGTAGAGAGGAATAATGCGATGCGATGCGAAGCGCGGTATGGGGGGGGTCGACGGGAGGGTGCAGGATCAGCAGTGAGAGAGCGCAGGGATGGGGCGGATGGTGCTGGTTGGGGGTGGGTGGTGGGCGAATCAGAGGGGAGGGAATTGGCGAGACACAGCAGATGTTCGGCGCTAGGTTGCTGGGTTGGTTGGGTTATGTCATGGAGGGAGCTTGATTCCTTGACGGTTGATGTACGAGATGGATTGTTGCAGGTAATGCCGTGGGGTAAGGTTTTGGGAGTTGGGAGCATATGGAGGCTCTGGGATATATGAGGGAGGGTGAGCGTGAGGAGGAAAGGGGTTGGATGGGTAGTACACGATGATGGGAGAGGTGATAAATGATCTCATGGAGTGTCTAATTGTAGTACAGAGACCAAGTTCATGGAATAAATCATTTGGTGACATCGCAATGGTTATGATGCTAGTATCATTCTCACATGTCCGGCTTCACACGAACAAAAAACTTTCCGATGGAGGGGTAATGAGCACAACCACCATTTAGCCTCTTAGAAAGGGTCTAAATCTAGGATGGCAGTTAGCCTTAACTAGCCAAGTGGTCTGAAATACGATTAACCGGCCACCAGCACAAGCAAGCTTTCCTCGAAAAGGGACCGGAGAGGGTGGGAGAGAGGATGTGGCGGATAGACGAGGTCAGAGCAGTGGGAAAAAAACGCCCACCATCAGACCATGACACTAACAGATTTCCCCACCCTCTCTCTCTCTGAGGCTTCTTTCTGGTTTAAAGAGCCTCGCCCATCTCCGTTCGAGGATATTGATTCTGCTTCTTCTTGCTGCTTGATCTTGCTGCTTGCTCAAAGATACTCCCTACCGCCCACGTCCCATCGCACGCATATACGCACGCACCGCCATTCTTGGAACCACCCAGTCTGACTGATTCGACAAGTGGGAGAAGTGAAGATTGACTGCCAATTGCTTGGAATTCCATTGGGAATTTGCACGCGAACAGGTCATATAGGTGAGATGATTTCTATTACTGTTCTGTTACTTGTCACGCCGAATCCACAGCAGCGAGAGAGAAAACGGGAGGGAGAGAGTCACCAATGTGCCACCAGAGTTTTGCCAAAGAGCCAGAGAGAGATCGAGAGCCAGAGCCAGAGAGAGCGAGAGATCCAGCGAGAGGAAGCAGCAGGGAGCATCACCAACCCGCCACCAAAAAAAGATTCCCAAAAGTCCAGCCCACGCCACAACATGTCACAAAAACCAGCATCGTGCAAAACCCCACATGGGCGACATCTCGCATCTCGCACCGATTGAAACTATGCGAAACCGGCCATTTCCTGCAGCCCTCCGGCCGCCAATGCAGCAGCCGCCGCAAAACGTCCCATTCCTTGTCCCTCCCACTACGACCCCGCGCTCCACCAGTCTAACCGTCACTAAGCGACGTCGCTGATTCGACGAGACACGGCGCTCTTATCACCAAGCACCCCGAGCTTCTTAATTTCTGGACGTCGGAGTGCAGTGTGTTTCTCCGGTGTGCTCGAAATTGGGGTGCTTGGGGAGGCGAGGCGGAAACGCACTATCGGCTTTTTCGATGCTCTGCTCGGCTTGGAGCTCGATTGGACTGGCTGAGCGGGTTGGTGGTCTGGTATCAATTGGCATGGGAATGCACACGAGCTCCCACCGCGACGGTCGGCCATGGTTGAGCGCATATCGGGAGGGTGTGGGTAACAAACCTGGCAATTGGTGAAGAATGGCCTTGAGAATGCGAGAAACCGAGCCGCTGCGATCATCATCATCATCGCGATACTGCCATCAGCAATCAAGATTGACATTGCAGCAGTATTGCCATCGCTGGAACGTTTTGTGGAGATCAACCGTGCAACCGGTGACTTCATTTCTCTCCCTCTACTCTCGCTGCTGAAACACGGAAGCCGGAATTTCTCTTCTCGGAATTTCTCTCTCTTCTATCCATCGTGCTTGTCAACTTGCTTCTTTCTGTCAATCTCTATCTCTCTGCCAACTCCCCTTCACAAGAATCACCGAGTTCTGCAGTAAAGGCATTGGAATTCATTGAGATTGTCCTTGAGAGCTGCTTGAGCTTTGTCCCTGCGCTCCGACCTCCTCTCCCGCCTCTTTTTGTGCCCCTCTTCATTCTTACGCCTGCATAAATTACTGAGACTATCCTCTCCCACAATTCATCTTTACTGATCCACCATTTCTCCCAATAGATCCACCCGCTCCCTCCTCTCCCCATCCCCAGAGCCACACATCCACGCTCCCTGGCGCCCGAGTGCGCCAAAGCAGCCCCATTGCCGCCGATTTCCTCCCAATCGCACGGTTCTCCCTCTCGCTCGGTCCTCCCTCGACCGACCGAACCCACTTCATCCATCCAAAGCTCTAGATACCTCCTCTCGGCCAACTGCGCCGAAAGCATGGGTCGGGTTTCTTTCGACGTGAATATCAAACAACACGAGTACGAAATCGACGATGTGGACGATGGATCGTCACACTCGGTCTTCGAGTATCAGGACACCGCGGAGAATAAGTCCTGGGCCGGCACGCTGCCCTTGAAGCAGGGGTTGTATGACCCGGAGCTTGAGAAAGATGCCTGTGGTGTTGGTTTTGCTGCGTACGTCTTCCCGATCCCAACCATGCCAAACTGCTGGAGATATGTTGCTGATATGCGGATGATAGCCATATAAAGGGTGTGCCCAGCCACAAGATCGTGAGCGATGGTAAGCTCTGGAACTATATAACCTCCGAAACACAGCTGATGTATTCTCTTCAGCCAAAAATCTTCTATGCAACATGACCCATCGTGGTGCGGTCGGTTCCGATGCCCGCGATGGTGATGGCGCTGGTGTGATGACCTCCATTCCGCACAAGTTCTTCCAAAAGAACTTCGAGCGGGAGCAGGGGATCAAATTGCCCGCCCTTGGAAAATATGCCGCCGGTAACCTGTTCTTCAAGCCGGACACCGATATCTTGAAGGACACCATTGCAACGTTCGAGGAGGTCGCGGACTCCCTGCATTTGCGCGTGCTGGGGTGGCGTGAAGTCCCCCGCGACTCGAGCATTCTTGGGCCTGCGGCGCTCTCTCGTGAGCCCATCATTCTTCAGCCTTTCGTCGTCCAGAAATCCGCGTACGGTGATGGGACAGCGCCGAATGATGACTTCGACGAGAAATACGACAACACCTACTTCGAGAAGCAATTGTACATCCTACGGAAGCACGCCACGCACAAGATCGGTCTGCAGAATTGGTTCTACCTATGCTCCTTGAGCAACCGTAACATCGTCTACAAGGGTCAACTGTCGCCCGTCCAGGTCTACGAATACTATCATGACCTGGTCAACGTCGACTATGAAGGCCATTTCGCGCTCGTCCACTCCCGTTTCTCAACCAACACTTTCCCCTCCTGGGACCGTGCCCAGCCATTGCGATGGGCCGCTCACAACGGTGAAATCAACACGCTCCGCGGCAACAAGAACTGGATGCGTGCTCGCGAAGGTGTCTTGAAATCCCAATTCTTCGGCGACGACCTGGAACTGCTATACCCGATCATCGAAGACGGCGGCTCCGATTCCGCGGCCTTCGACAACGTGCTGGAACTCCTCGTCATAAACGGCGTCCTCTCTCTCCCCGAGGCGGTCATGCTCATGGTCCCCGAGGCTTGGCAAGGCAACCGCGCCATGGACCCTGCGAAACAGGCCTTCTACGAATGGGCTGGCTGCATGATGGAGCCGTGGGACGGACCCGCGCTGTTCACCTTCTCGGACGGTCGATACTGCGGCGCAAACCTCGATCGGAACGGCCTGCGTCCGTGCCGATACTACGTGACCGACGACGACCGCATCGTGTGCGCGTCCGAGGTCGGCGCTATCGCCATTGATCCGGAGCGTGTTATCCAGAAAGGTCGGCTGCAGCCTGGTCGTATGTTGCTTGTTGACACGGTGGCGGGCCGGATTGTGGACGACACCGAGCTGAAGCAGACGGTCGCAGCACGGCAAGATTTCCGCTCGTGGGTCGAGAAGGAGCTGATTGTCATGCCGAACGTTCACCAGCGGCTGTCCGAGTCCGACACGGATATCTCCTTCAAGCTCAATGACTATCGGCTGCAGGAAGACCCGATGCTCAAAGCATTCGGATACTCGCTCGAACAGGTCAGCCTGCTGCTTGGACCGATGGCTGCAGACTCCAAGGAAGCACTCGGATCCATGGGCAACGACGCCCCTCTCGCAATCATCGCATCGCAGCCCCGTATTCTCTACGAGTACTTCCGCCAGCTCTTCGCGCAGGTCACCAATCCCCCCATCGACCCCATCCGTGAAGCCGTCGTCATGTCGCTGGAAGCCTACGTCGGACCACAAGGCAACCTCCTCGAGATGAACCAGAGCCAATGCCACCGGCTGCTCCTCCCCTCGCCAATGCTCTCCATCGACGAGTTCAACGCCCTGACGAACATTACCCGGCTCTACCCCGCCTGGACCGTCCGCGTCGTGGACATCACGTTCCCGAAATCAGAGGGCGTGCAGGGCTACATGGACGCGCTGGACCGTATCTGCGAGGAGACGAACGAGGCCGTCGAGGCGAATGATAGCGTTTTGGTGCTATCTGATCGCGCGACGTCGGCGGACCGCGTGCCCGTTTCGTCGCTACTGGCTACGGGTATGGTGCATCATCACCTTGTCCGTAACCGATGGCGGTCGAAGATGGCGGTCGTGGTGGAGACGGCGGAGGCGCGTGAGGTGCACCATATGTGCGTTCTCGTCGGCTACGGCGCTGATGCCATCTGCCCCTACCTCGCCGTGGAGTGTATCCTGAAGATGAGCCGCGAGGGACTGATCCGCAAGAAGCTGGAGCCGAAACAGCTCATTGACAACTACAAGCATTCGTGCGACGGCGGGATCCTCAAGGTCATGAGCAAAATGGGTATCTCCACCCTGCAGAGCTACAAAGGCGCTCAGATCTTTGAAGCGCTCGGTATTGACGACTCTGTCGTCGATCGCTGCTTCACGGGAACGGCCACCCGTATCAAGGGCATGACCTTCGAGCTCATCGCTCAGGATGCTTTCGCCATGCACGAGAAAGGTTTTCCGTCGCGCCCCATCGTCGAGATCCCCGGTCTCGCCGAGACAGGAGAATACCATTGGCGCGACGGCGGCGAAGCGCACGTCAACGACCCCACCAGCATCGCCAACATCCAAGACGCCGTGCGCAGCAAAAACGACAAGTCCTACGAAGCGTACTCCCGCTCAGAATACGAGCAAATCAAAAACTGCACGCTCCGCGGCCTCCTCGATTTCAGTTTCGAGGAGCGCGCCCCCGTCCCCATCGACCAAGTCGAGCCGTGGACCGAAATCGTCCGCCGCTTCGTCACCGGCGCCATGTCCTACGGTTCCATCTCCATGGAATCCCACTCGACCCTCGCCGTCGCCATGAACCGCCTAGGCGGCAAGTCGAACACCGGCGAGGGCGGCGAGGACCCCGAGCGCTCCCAGCGCCTTGAGAATGGCGACACCATGCGCTCCGCTATCAAGCAGATCGCCTCTGGCCGCTTCGGCGTCACGTCGAACTACCTCGCTGACGCGGACGAGCTGCAGATCAAGATGGCACAGGGCGCGAAGCCGGGCGAGGGCGGAGAGTTGCCGGGCCACAAGGTGTCGGGACCGATCGCGAAGACGCGGCATTCGACGCCGGGCGTCGGGTTGATTTCGCCACCGCCGCATCATGATATTTACTCCATTGAGGATCTGAAGCAGTTGATCTACGATCTGAAGTGCTCGAATCCGCGGGCGAGAGTCTCGGTGAAGCTAGTCTCTGAGACCGGTGTCGGTATCGTGGCGTCTGGTGTCGCGAAGGCGAAGGCGGATCATATTTTGATCTCCGGCCATGATGGTGGTACGGGTGCGTCACGGTGGACCGGCATCAAGTATGCGGGTTTGCCGTGGGAGTTGGGTCTTGCTGAGACGCATCAAACCTTGGTGCTCAACGACTTGCGAGGACGTGTCATCGTGCAGACGGATGGACAACTCCGAACCGGCCGCGATGTCGCCATTGCATGCTTGTTGGGTGCCGAGGAGTGGGGATTCGCTACCACCCCGCTCATTGCCATGGGGTGCATCATGATGAGAAAGTGCCACCTGAACACCTGCCCAGTCGGGATCGCGACCCAGGACCCTGAACTCCGTAAGAAGTTCACGGGCACCCCCGAGCACGTCATCAACTTCTTCTACTACATCGCCAACGAGCTCCGCGCCATCATGGCCAAGCTCGGCTTCCGCACCGTCAACGAGATGGTCGGCCGCTCCGAGTGCCTCAAGGTCCGCGAGGACCTGCGCACCGCGAAGACCGCGAACATCGACCTCTCGCTCATCCTGACCCCCGCGCACACCCTTCGCCCCGGTGTCGCTACCTACAACGTCCGCAAACAGGACCACAAGCTGCACGTCCGTCTGGACAACAAGCTCATCGCCGAGTCCGAGCTGGCCATCGAGAAGGGCCTGCCGACCCGCATCGAGTGTGACATCGTGAACACCGATCGCGCGATGGGCGCCACCTTGTCCTACCACATCAGCCGCCGCTACGGCGAAGCCGGCCTGCCGCAGGACACCATCCACGCCAACATCCGCGGTTCCGCCGGCCAGTCGTTCGGCGCGTTCCTCGCGCCCGGCGTGACGCTCGAGCTGGAGGGCGACGCCAACGACTACGTCGGCAAAGGCCTGTCGGGCGGTCGTCTGATCATCTACCCGCCGCGCACCGCCGTGTTCAAGGCGGAGGAGAACATCCTCATTGGCAACGTGTGCCTGTACGGCGCAACCAGCGGGACCTGTTTCTTCCGCGGTGTTGCCGCCGAGCGGTTCGCGGTCCGCAATTCGGGTGTGACCGCCGTTGTCGAGGGCGTCGGCGATCATTGCTGCGAGTACATGACCGGTGGCCGCGTCCTGGTCCTCGGGCCCACCGGCCGCAATTTCGCGGCGGGCATGTCGGGTGGTATCGCGTATGTCCTGGACATGACGCGCGACTTCGAGAACAAGGTCAATCAGGAGATGGTGGAGCTGTCCGGCGTGGACGACCCGACCGAGATCGCGTTCCTGCGCGGCTTGATCGAGGATCACCACCACTACACGGGCTCGGAACTCGCGGCGCGCATCCTGCTAGACTTCAGCCGGGCGCTGCCGCGGTTTGTCAAGGTGCTGCCGACGGATTACAAGCGCGTACTGCTGGAGGAGGCGGCGAAGGCGGAGGAGGCGAAGAAGGTGGCGTATCCGCTGCCGATCCTGGCAGGGAGTGCGCGCGAGGAGCCGCGCAAGAAGCAGGAGGCGGAGGGGAAGGAGCACAAGACTGAGCTGATGGATATGGAGGACAGCATCATGGACAAGAAGACCGAGGAGCGGAAGTCGGCTCTCATTCTGGACAAGACGAAGGGGTTCATGAAGTACAAGCGCCGCGCGGAGAAGTACCGTGACGCGAAAACCCGGACGAGGGATTGGCGCGAGCTGTCGACGCGGTTGACGGAAGATGAGCTGAAGTTCCAGACAGCGCGCTGCATGGACTGTGGTGTCCCCTTCTGCCAATCCGACACGGGCTGCCCGATCAGCAACATCATCCCCAAGTGGAACGAGTTGGTCTTCCAGAACCAATGGCAGGACGCTCTCAACCGCCTTCTCATGACGAACAACTTCCCGGAGTTCACTGGCCGCGTCTGCCCGGCGCCCTGCGAGGGTGCCTGCGTCCTCGGCATCAACGAGGACCCCGTCGGTATCAAGTCGATCGAGTGCGCCATCATCGACCGTGGCTTCGAGATGGGCTGGATGGCCCCGAAGCCGCCCAAGGTCCGCTCCGGCAAGACCGTCGCCATCATCGGATCCGGTCCCGCCGGCTTGGCGACTGCCGATCAACTCAACCGTGCCGGCCACACCGTCACCGTTTACGAGCGTTCTGACCGTGTCGGTGGTCTGCTGATGTACGGCATCCCCAACATGAAGCTCGACAAGGGCGTCGTGCAGCGTCGCGTGGACCTTATGGCCGCTGAAGGCGTGAAGTTCGTCACCGGCTGCTCCGTTGGCGAAGGCGACGTGACACTCGCATCGCTCCGCGCAAGCAACGACGCCGTCGTTCTTGCAACCGGCGCCACTGTCGCGCGTGACTTGCCGATTCCCAACCGCAACCTCGAGGGCATCCACTTCGCGATGGAGTTCCTGCACAAGAACACCAAATCGCTGCTTGACTCAAGCCTGGAGGATGGAACATATATCTCTGCGAAGGACAAACACGTCGTCGTCATCGGCGGCGGTGACACCGGCAACGACTGCATCGGCACGTCCGTCCGCCACGGCGCGCGGTCCGTCACGAACTTCGAGCTGCTGCCGCAGCCGCCTCCAGAGCGGGCGCCTGATAACCCGTGGCCGCAGTGGCCCCGCATCTACCGCATCGACTACGGCCACACGGAGGTCAAGACGCACATGGGCAAGGACCCGCGCGAGTATTGTGTGATGAGCAAGGAGTTCGTGGACGACGGGAGCGGAAAGGTGAAGGGGATTAACACAATCCGGGTGGAGTGGACGAAGAGCGCGACGGGCGGATGGGACATGAAGCAGATAGAGGGGAGTGAGCAGTTCTTCCCGGCCGACTTGGTGCTGTTGTCGATGGGCTTCTTGGGTCCGGAAGACCGCGTGCTGGGTGGTGAGATCGAGAAGGATGCGAGGAAGAACGTGAAGACGCCGGCGGGTCACTATAACACCAACCTTGCGGGCGTGTTTGCGGCGGGCGATTGCAGGAGAGGGCAATCGTTGATCGTTTGGTAAGTTGACCTTCCTCATCATCATCGTTCGCCCGGAAACCATATACTGACTCGGTAACAGGGGTATCAATGAAGGTCGCATGGCCGCTCGCGACGTCGACTCCTACCTCACTGGCGTCGGCACTCAACTCCCCGTCACCGGCGGCATCGTCAAGCGCGCACCATTCGAGCTCCTATCCAAAACCGGCGCAGAGGAGCTGATCACCGCGGCCGCATAAACGCACATAACGTCTTTCATGCCATGATCGAACGAACCCACGACATTTTTCAACGTTTGAGATGAATTCGCATGCTCATGCCTACGCTTCCCCGCATCTCCTGGCGCTTTTTTCGCGGCGCTTTTCGATTATTTCTCGTGGTGCGCTGCTCTACTTGATACCCGTTACGATAGATCGGGTTCGCCGTGCGGCTTCTGGGCCGTGTTTGTTTCGCATGAAGTCTACCATCGATGGAGGGAAGATACTGGGATGTCTTTGGACATCGGGTGCTGGGCACTGGGATAGACGCGCAGGAGGACAAGTCATGGACTGCGAACGATCCCTGGGATGGGACGAGGCAGGATTGCGCATAGATGGCAGTTGATGTTCAAGGGTGGAAAAAATTGATTTATAGCTAAAGCGTTGTTCGTTGCGTACTTGTTTGTTTGCTTGCTCGGGAGGTAGATCTGATGTACCTTCTGTATCAATCTCAGTTAAAACATAGCTGCTCGTCCTGCATGTCGTGATCTATGTAACCCATTTCCTGTCGATTCAGGTCTTCAAGGCCATTTATCGTTGACAACATTTCCCTACGGCCAAATGCCTGCCTCTAGGAAGTCTTGAATCCACAAGGTATCTAAAACGATCGATCTCGACTGAATTACTCTAAACTCATCAAAATTGGTTGGTCAATCCGATGGTTGTGGTCAGCATCAGACTTGCACGTGATTCGGAGACTAATTCCCCTGATTCCTCGGCGAATTTCTATTTCTCCAACCTCGTCGAACATCTCACCACCAGTCCACCTCATTCTTCGTCCAACGTTCGATTGATGTCCTTACCAAGACCTCCCATCCATGCATTCTCACATGGGTAATTTCTGAGTATCTTGCTCATGGCTTAACAATGGCAATTCCGGGTGGCATTACGTAAGGTGCCGCGAACCCTGAGCCTCCACGACAAGCAGGAAGTTTGGTCTCTTTTCCGATATTCAGTATTGTCAGTCTATCCGTTGTCTCCGGACGCAGTCTAGAACTCAGCTCCATCCTCTAATCCCATGGTTTGGGGATTTTTTTCCGTTCGGGCCTGTTCTGTCCGCGAATTCCCCCCTGATATACGTGGCGTGATCGTACGTTGGACAATTCTCACGAGGCGGAGAAAGAAAGTTGTCGATACTGCCAGGGTTTGTACCTGCAGCTACGTCCATTTCTGGTGTACCATTCATTCTCTATGGTTATGGTTTGCTGGGCGATGCTGCGACTAATCTGCAAAGGACGTTACAGTCTGCCAGGTATCTAGCATGTCCCCAGGTCTCGAGGATCATGAACTGGGAAAGGTAAAGCATAGAGGAAGTGTACTCACCATCTACGAAATAGGCTCGGATGCAGCGTAGTGCGCATTATGCTCCCCTCGTATGATTGTTCTTGGGAGTCCGGTGACATGACTTGTCTATAGGGGGATCTCATACTCGATCACGTTCCATTTCTTCATACAGTTTATGTGTTCTTTACGGCTGCATATATGCCAGTGATATCTCACCACACACCTTCATCCATTATCTATCCGATTAACCAGAAGTTCACTCCTCGTCTCAATACCACTACAAACGTCAGCTCACTACACAGCATTATACTCACCTACCCAATTTCAACCATCAGTCTACTCTCTTGAGTCCAAATCCTAGAACAATTGTTGTCAAGTATATCTGCGCAAGTTGCAGAAAATCGTAACATGGCGAGTACCGGAGATCTCGTTCGCACATTCGAAACGTTATTGCGAGGCGATGTCGCGATAGTTGGCGGCAAGAACTCCTCTCTCGGGGAGATGATCAGCGCCCTCGCAGCAAAAGGGATCGATGTACCCACTGGCTTTGCAACGACATCAGCTGCGTACTGGCGCTTTGTCGATGCCAACAATATCCGGCAAAAAATATCCGACCTCATCTCGGAATGGCAATCGGGAAAGAGCCAGCTTGCGGAAACTGGTCAGGCCATAAGGAAGTTGTTCCTACGTGGTGACTGGCCAGAGGATACGGCAACTGCCATCAAGAATGCCTACTGTCAGCTTTCAGCCAGTGCTGGAATCGAGAATTTAAGCGTCGCCGTACGTTCCAGCGCAACAGCAGAAGATTTACCCGATGCAAGTTTTGCCGGTCAACAGGAAACATTCTTAAATATTTCAGGCGAAGCGGCATTGTTGACCGCCTGTCGGCGCTGTTATGCTTCACTGTTCACCGATAGGGCCATCAGCTATCGTCAGAACAAGGGGTTCGACCATATGATCGTTGCACTTTCGATCGGAGTCCAGAGGATGGTTCGCTCTGATCGGGGAGGTTCCGGGGTAATGTTCTCCATCGACACGGAGAGTGGCTTCGACAAGGTGGTGCTCATCAACGCAGCCTACGGACTCGGGGAAACGGTCGTGCAAGGCGCGGTCAATCCCGATGAATACCAGATCTACAAGCCACTTCTTAACGATCTCAAACTGGTTCCAGTCATTGAGAAGAAAAGGGGAGAAAAGCAGATCAAGATGGTATATGGTGGGGAAGATATGCCAACCCGTACTGTGCCGACCTCGAAAGCAGAGCGAGCCTCGTATGTGCTCAACGATGAAGAGATTCTTCAGCTAGCACGGTGGGCTTGCATCATCGAACAACACTATGGTTGCCCGATGGACATGGAATGGGCTAAGGATGGAATCACAGATGAACTATTCATCGTCCAAGCCCGGCCAGAGACTGTCCATTCATGTGGAGATGCAGCTACTTTCAAAACCTATAACGTCGGCAAGAGAGGCACAATATTGACGAAAGGGCTTTCAGTCGGTGAAGCCGCCGTATCTGGTCGCCTGTGCCTCATTGAAAACGCTCGAGACATAAGCAAATTTGTCGACGGCTCGATATTGGTGACGGAAACGACTGATCCGGACTGGGTGCCAATCATGAAACGGGCCGCGGCCATTATTACAGACCACGGCGGGCGAACTTCACATGCCGCAATTGTCAGTCGAGAACTGGGTGTGCCGGCGGTGGTTGGGACGGGCAATGGTACCTATGTGCTACATTCCGGCGAGGATGTAACAGTCTCTTGTGCTGAAGGTGACGTCGGCTTCGTTTACGATGGCATCTCGGAAATCAAAACTAAAACCGTGGATCTAACGGGATTGCCTCCGACTCGGACCCATGTCATGCTCAATCTCGCGAATCCCGCCGCCGCATATCGCTGGTGGAAATTACCCGTCGACGGCATCGGCCTTGCCCGCATGGAATTCGTGGTCACCAACGCGATCCAAGTGCATCCCATGGCTCTCGTGCATTTCGACCTGTTGAAGGACCAAAGAGCCCGGAAAGCGGTCGAGAAGCTCACCATCGGCTACGACAACAAGCCTGAATACTTCGTCGACAAGCTATCGCGTGGGTTCGCAGCGCTGTGCGCCGCTGTCTATCCCAAGCCGGCCGTCATCCGTATGAGCGACTTCAAGACAAACGAATACGCAAACCTCATCGGCGGCGAACAGTTCGAGCCGAAGGAAGAAAACCCAATGCTCGGTTTCCGTGGTGCCTCGAGATACTACTCCCCCCGCTATAAGGAAGGTTTCGCCCTTGAATGCCAAGCGATCCGCCGTCTCCGCGACAAGATGGGCTTCACCAACGCCATCGTGATGATCCCCTTCTGTCGAACGGTCGGTGAAGCGGAGAAGGTGCTGGAAGTGATGGCGGAAAACGGGCTGACTCGGGGAGAGAACGGGTTGAAAGTCTACGTCATGTGCGAGATCCCCTCCAATGTCATCCTCGCCGACCGCTTCATGGAGAAATTCGACGGGTTCTCCATCGGCTCGAATGACTTGACCCAGCTGACCCTCGGCGTGGACCGCGACTCGGGCGAGCTAGCGGATCTATTCGACGAGCAGGACGAGGCCGTCCGGTGGATGATCTCGACGGTGATCGCGCAGACGCGGAAGACGGGGAACAAAATTGGGCTATGCGGACAGGCGCCGAGCAACCACCCGCAGTTCGCGCGGTTCTTGGTGGAGTGCGGGATTAACTACATCTCGGTCAGCCCAGACAGCTTCGTCGCTGTCAAACAGCATGTGATCGTTGCCGAATCAAACAAGGCAAGGTTGGGGAGCGACGCATCTGCTACACCGTCGTTTTTATGAATAACTCTGGCTTAGGGAACCGTGATGACGGGATAGGCGAGCTCTTCGGTTTGCATGGGGTGAGGGTGGAGAAGGGAGCAGTCTCGGTTGATGCGTTATCCATATGTGCGCTTGTAAGCCTCGAGTTCGGGTTTGGCGCATGGAGGGCAGAATATCATTTACTTTTATCATTGAATGCGAAATATTCTACATTTTCAGCAGTTTTCAACCTCATTCCGGGAATAACGCGAATTCGAAAGACTGCCTTCTGTGGTATTACCCCTGAATGCAGTCATCATGCGAAATGGCACGGTCCCTAGCTACAACAACGCCTGTTTCCTATAGTACGGCTTCTTGAGTCTGTTCCCAATTTATCATTGGCTACCTTAGGACATAGAGCCGTGAGGCCAAAGGGGCACTGACAGCCTTTAAGTAGCGAGCCACTAAACCAAGCGAGCAAAATGTATCATTCCATCCCCCGGGACTTCCCATCACTGATTAAACGCTTCAATAAGCAAAAGAGTGCCTCTGTTCACACTGTTACCGATACCCCTGGAGATTTTCTTAAATCACAAGTATTTTACTAGAACCGCTCAAATGTCTGCATTAGCTCCTCACAACTCGCCTCTAACCTGCTCAATCTCGACCTTCAGCGCCTTCGCGGTCTCTTCCAACGTCTTTTTCTCCTCCTCATTCAATTCCACCGGAATCGTCCTAATTGCCCCTTTCCTCCCCAGCACCACCGGCAAACTCACGCAGCACCCCAGATCCGGCTGAAACGTCGTGAGCGGCCGAACATCTCGTTTGTCGTTCAGTATCGACGAGCAAATACTCGCCACGATCGCGCCGATGCCGAAGCTGATCGTCCCTTTCGCTTGGATGATCGTCCGGGCGACGTGCTTGCACTGGTCGGCGAGCTCGATGCGGTCGATGGTGTCAATAGGCAGCGCCTTGTCGATGGGGACGCCGCCAAAGGTCGCGGCGGACCAGGCGATAAATTGAGTTTCGCCTTGCACGCCCAGGACGTAGATGCCTATTGAATTTGCTTTGGCCTTGAGTACTGTTAGCCGGGATTTAGTGTTGCGATGATAAAAGGTGGTGGACGCACGCCAGCCTTGTCGGCCAACAATCCGCGCAGTCGGACGGAATCGAGGAAGGTCCCTGATCCTATGACCTGGGACCTTGGGAGTCCTGAGACCCCTAGTGCAATGGTGGTAAGTACGTCGACTGGGTTCGCTACCACAAGTAGGATCGTGTCATGTCTGAAATGTGGTTTCATCGCATGGATGACGGACTTTAGAGTTGAAATGTTCCTGTACTCGAGTTCAACTGAAGTATGGCCTAGATACGCATGTTAGCTGTTGTTCTTGGATAGGGAAATGAACTGAACTATCTGTATAGACTTACCTACGTTCTGCTTCGATCCCGCAGTGATGATCACGATGTCACACTCTCCAGCCTCGTGATATGTGGCGGATCGTATTCGCGAGCTGCTCTTAGTAGAATACGCAGCATCACTAAGATCATGAGCCTGGCCATCTCTTCGATCTGTCTTGATATCAACTAGAAGTATCTCGTTCGCAACGGAACCCAAGAGTAGGGCATATGCTGCCGTAGCGCCAACAGTCCCGGCACCCACAATTGCAATTCGCGTTATCATATTTGTTTTGAAACCGTTTGAACGGAATTATTCCTTTCATATTTCTAGATGATTTCCGAAGACCCCTCTCCTTTTATCATGTTTGTTGTTCCTAGCCACCGGTGGCATGATTATATTGGTACCGCACGAAAGGCGCCGGCCCGAAGCGGAAGTGTGGAACGCTGGATATCGGACGTCCAAACCGATCATACGATCTTAACTTGCATAGACTTTAAAAACCAACGAGGTTATCACCAGACATCTGATGCCTTGCAAAACGATGTGGTAAAGTCATTCCCAAGGTCTAGAGTTTAGACCTTTGGGAACGTCCATGTTGGAGAGTTGGGTGGGTCTGTCGAGGTTCGTCGTCATCAGTCATCGCCTTCTAACTTTGAACCTGCAGTATCCCAAATGCGTCATCACCATTCCGACTGCGTCGGTCAATTTTCAATTCCGGGAATATATATATATCAAGAGATATGAAGCTTTTGCATTTGATAAGGCGCTCGAAGACACATGAATGCAGTCCAAGCTACTTAGAGTAGTTGAAGGATAGGATAATTAGCAGAGTCCATGACTCCAGGTGCATTTTCTAAGCTAGCATGAGTAACAGCTATAGCGATTCCCGTTCATCAAAGCTGATCAAACTTTCTTCGCAGCCATCATCAGAAAAGCCACGCCGAATTCGAGTTACGATCCTAAGGTCGTAGCCATTAAATCTGGAATTAGACCGCATACGATTTGCCCCCCTTTCTTGATATATCCTTCAACTACTCCTCCAGACCACGAAACTCCTCTTCCAGCTCACTAGGGGTAGCACCCCGCACGCAAACGTCGAAGTCGATGAGGGTTGCTTCACCATCGTTTGGGCTTCTCTACGGTAGGCATTGTTGCATAATCCGCGATAGAAAGGTGTAGGTGAGGTTGAGTCTTGTTGAATAGGACTCAGCGTGATGAGTAAACGCCCCATCTTGGGGAGTTAGGATAGGCCTTCATGCATCAAGGGTTTGTAGGAACTGTCTTGAAGAACGATCTATTGGTCGACTGGACTCTTGGGCTGATGAGCCTGTGGTGATCCTGCAGCTCCCTTGAGTGCTGGTCATAGATAGGTGAGCAGCATACTCTCAACCTTTAGTATTGGCCAGGTTTTTACTCCAGCATAGATGCTGATGAATGTTCGCACCAACGGAGGTCTCGCCTGTGAGAACAGAGCTCAGCTACGCTGAGTGTCCCTGCACCCAATGAAATGGAAAGAACAGGCACATCTGCCCCGCTCAAACGAAGTGAACTCAAGTGAACGAAGTATCTTCTAACAGAGAAGGAAACACTGAAAGAAGATAACGAGGTGAAATCCCAGAGAGGCAATGCTCGGGGGTTGGCACCCCATTCACTTCGCTCATCCCCCGGCCATCCATAATCATAATAAGGAGGGGAGGGCTTGAGAAAAGAGGCAAGGACGTCGTTAAGGTAATGATACAGGCGGAAAACAACGACATCATCAGAGAGATACTCACATCCATCAAGCTAATGCCTGAGACCGTAGTATTCACTCGTATCTATGCACATTTACATAATAAGGATTATGCTGTGATATGCAACAAGGACCAACCAGACGGGGGACAACCGTGGAAACGAACCTGGTGAGCGCGAAAGCATTGCAAATAGACCGTGCGAATGCTGTGTGCAGGAAAGTACCTGGGACCAGGATCGTGAGAATGTGATCGTGGAAGAGAATTGTGACGACCACTCTCCCGAGAACCTGCCTCCTGTAGTAAGAACTAGATATCGCCAAAGACGATCTAGAATAATATGGATTTCCTTCCTACTGTGGTAAATAAGGAGAAAACAAAAGGAACCATACCATCTGTGTATATATCGTGTTTACAGCCCAGCGCATAGTTGATGCGCCATGCGGGGGATTGGAATTCTGCCTTGGTGCTGATGATGGGAGGCCATCGCGCACACAGCCTGCTCTTCGTAGAACCAAATCTTTTCGTATTGTATGTAGCGGTCCCAGTCTTTGTCTTTCCTGAACATTTTACCAAGTAGCGGTCGATGCAGTCGGCTTATGATCTGAGTGTAATTCCTCTCGTTCTCAAAGGTCGCCAGTCCATGACGGATGAAGAAGTTGAGCATCAAACAGGAGTTTGCGGGGCTTAAACTCTTCATCATCCAAACCCAATGAGGGGGCTTCAAAGGCACTTCTGGACTCTGGAGGCTTTCAATTTGCATTGTCCTGCTTACATCCTTTCAATTAATTCGCCCGGCATTCGAGCCTGCATACATTATATGTATGAGAGCCAGTTACGTGTGTCCATGCACCGCCACTGGAACACAGTGCTACTAGGAGGCTTCAATTGTAACATCCACAGCTCGATGAGATTACATCTGATTGGACTAACTACCCTATTTAAGTTGCCTTCACTCGGTCAAGAAGCCCTTTGCTTTGTACTTCTTCTACCTTGTTGAGCTCAAAGATGGTTGTGTCAGAGGAATTCCATGCGGCTCGTCCTCTACAGACGGATTCCCTCCCAAGACAATATAAGCGGCTTTGGCCCTGTGCTAGCTATCTCTATATGGCATGATAGACACTACTCCCCGACTGTGCCGCCATGGCAGATCCATTCTCTCTCGTTGCCAGCCTGATCGCCCTGGGTACAGCGGTTGGGGCCGCCTCAAAAGCTATCCCGAAGGCCCTCGACTTAAAATAAGCGCCTCGGCGTCTGATTGACATCCAGCATAAGGTCTGTCAATACGGTTTTCACTCCCCTAGACGCAAATTTCGACTCACAAGCTGCGCAGATTGAGGATCTAAAGGTGGTGTTGCGAACCGTCAAGCGAATTGCCAAGGACGCATCCATAGATGCGGACGACGACGCTATCCTTCGTTTCCAGCAACTCTTTATCCGAGAAAAAGAAGCTGTTGAAGAGACCAATGACCTCGTCAAACCCAGACTCGTAAAAAACCCAGAAAGTCTTGGGGAAGCCCGGCTCACGACAAAAGTTCGGAAGATCAAATTCCTCAGGGAGGAAAAACACTTGGAAGAGCTAAATGCGCGGCTGTCTGATATTATTCAAGGCTTCAGTACCGCCCTCCAATGTATTACGGCGTAAGATACGGGAAGTTTCATATTACTAGCTGAGCTACACTAACCAGTCGTAGTTTGGAACTGCTGAGCCTGAGAGTTACTCACGGAGCTCTTCAGTTCGGCATCACCCAACTGATCGAGTCTGATCGAGTCACTGACCAAGGGGAGAGCTCAAGAGTTCATGAGATCCCCGATACAAGCGACACGTTATCTGTTCTTGATGATGAATCCACAGTTGAGAATACCGCTAACGAGACCCTTGCGAGGGTGGAAGTGATGATTACAGAAGAAGAACTACTGAACCTCTGCAGCTGTTCATGCCATACTTACTACGCGGCTAAAGTGCCGAACTGGCTCGGTGATGCGATCGGAACACTCCTAGTAAGATGGTATCGAAACCCACAAACATGCTCGACATGCTCTCGGAAAGACTGCAGTAGGGTCATAAGAGAAAAAATGTTGTGCGTTCAATACTACTTCCCACATTGGATGATACGACGCTTGATTGAATTCAAGGCCGCCTGGAATGCAGCTCAACAACTATCCGTCTCTCTCTCAACGACTAGAATGATACCAGAAGGTTCAAGTATCTTTCAGTTCGCTCAACACAACAACGTGGATGGTGTTAGGAGGTTATTTATCCAACGGACAGCTTCGCCTTTCGATATCAGTATTAATGGAAGAACGCCGTTACATGTAAGCCATTATCTAGTAGCCAGATAAAGCGCCACGATCACGCTAACAGGATTACCTTAGTTTGCAGCAACTGCGGTGAAGGCCGATATGATCAAATTCCTTTTAGATGCAGGAGGTATACCTGATGCTGAAGATAGCAATCACTTGTACGACTACTCACCCTGTCCACCCAAGTTCATTCTGCTAACACCAAAACAGAACACCCCATGATATCATCTGGGAATTATATCTACGAAACCCAAAAGAGCGCGGGTACATCCTCGAAGCTGCAGGCCTGTCGCCTAGTGACACGTCCACTAGCCTCGAAAAGCAACAGTTTACGGGCGTACATCGCATCGTCCTCGGTTTGCGAGGCCTGGTGGACTTGGATGATTATCTTAAACTCTCAGCTACTGAGATCGACAAGCAAGACTTGACTGGGAAGACTGCACTTGCCTGGGCTGCTTCACGGAAAGGAGACTCACGTCTAGTACGCATTTTGCTGGATCATAACGCATCGGTACGAATAGCCGACTATCGATATAAGACGCCGCTACATTACGCTGCAAAGAGCGAGGATCCCAATTCAGTGGCGTTAATCTTAGAGGCCATCAAGCAAATTGAACGAATGGTCACAGACCCGAGAGGCCGCGGCATTGAAGCGGGCGACGATAAGAACCGTACACCCCTCAATTATGCAACGCGGATGAATCTCTTGCCTCACACCCAACTCCTGATTGACTACGGCGCGGACCTGGAAGCGACGGGATCAAAAACAAAGCGAACAATTCTCCTCAATGCCTTGTACTGGAATAGTCATTTGGTGCTTCCGGTTCTCTTACAGCACGGGGCGAGAACAGACGTTACCGATGCGGCCGGGGCCACTGTTTTACACCACATCACGCAATTTTGTAGTCTAGAAACAGTACAAGTTCTAGCGAAGCAGGATCTTGGATACATCAACCGCAACGCTGTCGATTCTACTGGACGTACCGCAGTGGATGTATTCAATTCCGAAGACGTGAGATGCAGTCCTGACAAAGAAAAAGAAAGGAGTCTTGCGGCAGAGGCTTTTGCTGCTATCTTGGCAAAGGCTAGTCGTCCTCGCAGTGGGACGAGTAGTGATTTTGGCCTAAAGCTGCAAAACGTCTTTGAAATAAAGGAGATCAACGTTCTCGAGCGTGAAGAAGATTCTGATGATGAGAAAACCTTACATGACGAGAAGGGGGTGCGGAAAGCCGAGGCCACAGAAGATGGCTGGTTCGATGCAGATGATGACGATGATATCTTCTACGATGCGCTTCAGGAGCTTCCTACAGATCATGTTGTAATTTAAGAGTTGATGTCTCATCCTATGTACATTGCTCATCATGGTGCCCCTTCTGACGAGCAAGCAAGCATGCACTCAGTGTTTATGAAGACATGGGATCTAGACGAAGGTCGGCAAAGAATATCTTATCTGCAGATATGCTTCCTTTCATAGCGGGATACCATACGGGACTGGGGTTTCCGGTTATGCTTGCCTGTTCGCAACATGGTTTGTTGAAATGCGGAACAAAACCGGTCTGGACCTCCTGCATGCGCAGTTGGATCTGTTCATTACCTAGTATATGATGGTGGCCATCCCTAGAACGGATCGCTGCAGGCTCTGAATTATCTGGAACAGAAACTCCTGATTGGTATTCTACCAGAGGCCTCGGACACTGCTACATACGTGATAGACTACGCCCAGCTCCTCTCTGTCATTGAGGGAACTGAGACGGCGAAGTACCTGGCGCGAGCGGTTCGATATGCGAATTTTATGACGAGTGGTGCTATAGAGTACCGTGTCTAAAACAGTACACAGATAATTATCACCAATATTTCTCGTGACCATCTCACTCTATGCCCCCAACCGTCTCATGGCCTTACAGTTATAAATTATACCGATTTTGGTGAAATTTGGAGTGATGCACTCGCTTGTGTAGTACGTTATATACCGTAGGATTTAGGCTTGGCAATTATGACCAAATGTATCAAATTGACCGCCGTATCCATCCAATCGCTGTAAAATGCACCTCTTATAACTCACAATGGGACCCACTTTTGAGTAAACCTAGTATTGTTACCCGATTGGGGAAATGTGGCAGGCAGCATTCTGCCTTGCCTAGGTTTGTACATGTAGTCGAACATAGGCTCTTCATGTACCTATACACCAGCCATCAATCATCTAGCCCCCGACTTTGATTCCTGCCTTTAGAATTATTGTTTTTGCCGCGCCTCTACATATTCCGCGACGACCCGAAAGCTTGTCGGTCACATGTGAGACCTTTTTCCCCTTTCCCACCTGAAAAAGCTTCATTTCCGACAACTTTCCTAGCCCGTGTCTATTCGATTCGCAACGTGTGGACCGCCCTGGCCAGAATACACCAGTCCTACTCACTCGCTACATAAGTTGTTATTAATACCGTGAGACTTTCATTATGATGCGAAGCGATCTGGAAATCGTGAAAGAGTGCGACAAGTACGTGTGACTGGCTTCGGCTCGCTCTATACCGCATCAACCCTTCTAAGCTGCCATAACTGACATCTCACCGCTCCCTTGCAGCTTCCCCTACTACGAAGTGGGCAGTGCCGATGCTTTTGCCTCAGCTATAGAGCCGCTGTGGCTGTTCTATCTGCCAGATGATCCGGAGCCACATGGTTTCCTGATTGATTCGGTCGTGAAGCGCATGCCTTGGACAGCCAAATTCCGCATCGATCTCTCCCCGCGCAAGGAGGTGCATCTTCTAAAACCGGAAGGCAATGATGACTGGCAAGCTGCCTGCGCCGACGCCATTGATGAGCTGCTCGATCTCGCGCGCGCAGAGAACGCCTTTCCCCACCTTGGCAAGAAGCGTGATGAGCAGTTCCCCATCATTGGCGCAAATTTTGACATTGGCATTGAGCGCTCGGCTATGAGTCTTTTTGGCATTGTCGGCCGCGGCGCGCACATGACGGTGTTCACGCGTACGAATGAGGGCATTAAATTTTGGGTCCCGCGCCGCAACGCAAACAAGTCGACATGGCCCAACATGCTAGACCAAGCCGTTGCAGGTGGCGTGGGGCGCGGCGAGACCCCGTTCGAGTGTATTGTCCGCGAGGCGGACGAAGAGGCTGCCTTGCCCAATGAGCTGGTGCGGCAAAACATCGTGGCAGCTGGCACGGTGACCTGGTTCAACATCTCTGACGAGAAGGCCGGGGGTGAACTAGGGCTGATGAACCCCGGCGTGTTGTACGTCTATGACCTCGAGGTTGGCGAGGACATGGTCTTTAAACCGGTCGACAATGACATCCAAAGCTTCCACTTGATGAGCGTGGACGAGGTCAGGCATGCCATGGGAAGCGGCGAATTCAAGCCCAGTTGCGCAGCCGTCATGATAGATTTCCTTATAAGACACGGATTCATCACTGCTGACAAGGAAAAAGACTATGTTGAGATTATTTCGAGGTTGCATCGCAAGCTTCCCTTCAGGACAAGCCCCGGATACTGAACGGGTAGCACTTGCAGACTATCAGTGCTTAATCATTGATACTCATCTTAGTCTCATTGTTCAATCCGGCTACTGTAAGGTGGATATTCGAGAGATAACTGAAAAAAAGGTTGCAAGAGTATTAGGATACTTGGGAGAGGGTGAAGATATGGTCGGGAAGCAAAGGCATGCCCACCAACTCAAAGAACGCCACAAAAGGAAGAAACTTGCTTATCAACGAGAGGGACTTCCTCCCGAAGAAACACCCCACCCCCGTCCCCCCCCGCTCCCGCCATAGAACTGTCAGACTTAGAAAGAAGACTAACCCTGCCCGAACAAAGATTCCACCTCGGAAAGCGATCGACACGCCACTCCTTCCACCGGGCTCGACTCGGATTCGAGGGGCGTCATCTACACCGCAATCCACTCCGAGCGAGGGAACCCCCCATCACCATTCCAAGGGACACACCACCTGCCATCGGCGAACGAAGTCATCCAGTCCTGAACGACGTCCAAACGACATCCCGCTTACCACCCGTCATCGGGTCGGCGTTACGACATCTACTATCGATCTCGTACCCAGGGCTTCTTCCATGCCGCATTCGCCATCGTTCCCGACCTCCACCTCGGACATCACGGTCACTCCGGATCGTTTAGAAATATCGGGAAGATTCGTATCCACTCCACTCGGAATCCACCACTAACTTCGGTCCAACCTACTGTCCAACCAAGCTGACTACCTGCTCTCTTTCTGGGGCCAGATGGCGTTTTTCATGTCGAGAAATGGATCCTATCTCTTAGTGTAAAGTCGCTGAGCGATTGGGTGAACGAATCCAAACCAAGGGTCTTGAACGCTTTGGGCACTGCCGTAGGAACCGTGTGCAAGATGAAAGCGGAGCAGCGCAGTTTTGATAACGGGATTAGGGCTAAAAGCAGCGAGTTTGTTGCATTGGGTCGAAGACATGTTGCCGATGTTCCGGAGCTTCAAATGGGACCGTGGATTCTCGCTCTGCAAATTGAATGGAGGAATCGCTTATTGAGTCAACATCGCAGAAATTGAAGAGGAGGCGCGGGAAATACAAGACCGCAACGGAAATTGATCGCGCTTGGGTGAGTATTATGGTGTTCGACTTATGACAGGGCCTAGTACCGTTTTCCCATCATTGCTGAGTGGTTGGTGAGATTCCCCCCCGGCGCTAGCCATATTGGAAATTAAATGCTCAATTTGGTCTATTAGCGCATGTTTCCACTTCCTTAACTAGTCCTTTTCCCTAAGATAGAACTTCAACGCCCAATTTGTTCTTTCTCTCATAACTATATCTCAGCATAGATGATATTGCTCCCTTCCAGATTGTCTCTACGCTTCCTATGAAGAAGTATACAATGCTCTCAAGGATAGTCAATACGTCTATCTCCAAGGCCATATTAGTCTATCCTCGAGCCGCTTCCTGCTTAAACAAGCGGTGCGCCGAGGAGGAACGAGGTATCAACTCGTAGAGATCCATCAGGCTTTGAATGACGTGTACCGCCTTCTGTCCCTCAATTTTAGCCCCCTCCTTAACCCCAGGGTCAAACGCTTGCTGACGTCCTACGACAGCTACACACCTCTGTTACCGTGCCAATCCCTACGTCTACACCAGCTACGAATGCTATAACTACTTCCGTACCTATGTTGATCCCTACACCTACTCTTGTAACTTCCCCTACTCCATCTCATTTGTCTCCACCTGTCTCTGTTACTGTGTCTATCACTACGGCTCGATCCTTTCCACAGCCTGCCTGGCAACCCCCGTCGTTGGAAGAGTTTTTGCTGACATCGAGCGTCGACGGCTTCAGCCCACTCTGCATGCCACTCGAGACCGTGTGACGCGCTAACCACTACGCTAAAAGGACACCAACACGACTAAACCAAAGTCAATGTTGATTGTGGCAATTCAGTATATAAAGGTCTTCTGCCCTGGTAGTTCACGAGTGCCGCAGCCAACTCTGACAGACCGAAGTTGATTTCATCGCATTTCGTGATGGGAGATTTTATTATTGCATGTGGCTGGGGCCAGCTGGGCGCAAATGAGAATTGTGATGCATTCCGTGCGCCCACCATGGATCCAGCTAAGATAGAAATGTGTGAACATGTCGTGATCTGGGGGACGATCCTAGAGTAGCAGTAGGTTAATAGACTTGATTTGATGGATGATGCAGTCATGTTACCCTAGAATGGCGCAACAGGGTCAGTAGCAAACGTGATTGTCTGGGATCATCAGTCAAGACTGAGCTTATCCATTGCGATATCTGACCCCAGCATCGATAGATAGACAATAAATAGATAATAGCAAAGTTGCGTGATCTGTAAGCTATATTAGACAATACGCGGGGAGTTTTAAAGAAGTGCCGAATATCCGGAGGGATATATAAAATTAGGACTGAACGACATTCGAAAGAAAGTAGACTCTTAAATTATACTTTGAACTCATTCAACAAAGGAACACGATAGCAAATATGGCACCCTCAGTAATTGTGGCACCCGCAGTGACGGAACAGGATGTTCCAATCGTTACCAAAGGCAGAGCGCAGCCGTTGGTATCGTCAGGCCTCCTTGATCAATTCGAGCAATTCGATGTAACCCCAGTCATCGGCACGGAGTTCTCAAGTGCCAAACTGGTCGAGTGGATTAATGCTCCAAATGCAGATGAACTCTTGAAGGAGTTGGCCATCAAAAGAAAGCACCCTATACCAATACAGGCGTGCTCTAGACTAACGGACTCGCAGTCTCCCAGCGCGGTGTCGTTTTCTTCCGTGCCCAAGACGACCTTACGAACGATATTCAGAAGGCATTGGTTCAGCGACTCGGCGAACTGACGGGAAAGCCAAAAACTTCGGGCCTACACATTCACCCGATCTTAAACTCTAGCCGGGAGCTTGGAGGATCCGATCCGGAGATCAGCGCAATCAACTCTGTCCAGCGCAAGAAGCTTTACGGCACCGCTGCAGGTGAAGAACCTACTGCAAAGCCGCAGAGCGCTGCACGGTGGCACTCGGATATCGCGTTCGAGCCAGTCCCCGCTGATTATTCCTCACTTCGACTTATTAACCTACCCAGGACAGGAGGAGGTAGGTAGAACCAAGATCATCGCTAGTGGCGCTAACAGACATTATTAGACACCCTCTGGGCATCCGGATACGAGCTCTACGACCGTATCAGCGAACCATACCAGAAGTTCCTTGAGGGTCTCACGGGAACCTTCGCTCAGCCGGGATTTAGCGCCACTGCAGCTCGCGGTAACTTCGAGCTCTATGAGAAGCCCCGCGGTGCACCCGAAAACGTTGGTAGCGCGATGAAAGCAGTGCATCCCGTTGTGAGGACCAACCCTGTGACCGGTTGGAAGAGCCTTTTTCCCGTTGGTGGCCATATCCAGTATATCAATGGCGTAACGGAAGAAGAGTCCGAGGCTCTCCTGAGCTGGTTCTTAGACTTGGTATACAAGAACCACGACCTGCAGCTCCGCTTCAAATGGAAGAACTCGAACGATATCGGTAAGCATCCCTTCGTCCCAGAGGAGTTAAGGCTCAGAGCTGACATATGACTAGCAATCTGGGACAACAGAAGCACCTTTCACAGAGCAACCTACGACCATGACGGTCAGGGTGAGCGCTTGGGTAACCGAGCGGTAGGATTGGGTGAGCGACCGTACTTTGACCCCAATAGCAAGTCACGCAGGGAAGCTCTGCGCGAGCATGCTCCTGGTGAGAAGATTGTGGTATGATTGAGTCCGTGAAAATCTCCGGAGCTCATTCGCGGCTTTACAGTCCGCAGCCACCTATTCATGTTAAACCAATTAGGAAGCCAAATAGAACTTATGATGAATGAAGTAATAGCTTCTGAACTATGTCCCGTGCGTGATTGAAAAGACTAGAATAGCGACCCTGTGCAGACATTGAGGTTTGGTGGTTCACGAATGCGGATAGCCCATCGGAGTATTTCAAGGTCCATTAAAGAAAAGTGTGAGGAGCCATTCAAGACGGGTTTTGGCAGGAAAAGAATGAGGATAAGAGAGAGAGATTCATACGCCTATCAGGCCTCGAATCAATTGATTGAGTTGAGTTGAGTTGAGTTGAGTTACTCCATAGTCATATACCTCTAAAGGCCACAAGGCCTATGAGGAAAACACCCTATAATTGTCGCATTTCGCAGGGGTGATGATTAAACACGTCCACCGCTTAAGCTCAGTTACTGCAGAGTCACAACGCAAGTTGGTATTGACGATTTCCATTGTCTCTCCAAAAAGGAGATCTGGCTAGAAAACAGTTGAAGATAACTAAATACATGGGAAAAGACTAAGCAGTCCGAAATAGGCTTAGCCTAGGGGTAATGGGCAGTGAAAAGAAAGTTAGGGCAGTAGAAACCAACAGGGGCATCTTGGGACAATAATCCTCCGAAAATCGGGTGGGAATATCTCACCAGCCTTATTTCTATTTACTAGAGGTGTTTTTAAGAGCACCCACCGAGTTTAAATACTTCTAGATTATCCACAACATTTCCCAAACATTGTTACGGTCCCAGGCCTGTGGCCTGCGACTGATGTATGTGTGGCTGAAGCTAGGTGTGGCGAGAGGATTATCAGGAGGTAGTCATGTGTTGATAGATGTGTTAACGAAGTATTAGAGGGGAGGTATATGCGAGAGAGATTTGTCTCTTGCACAACAGAGAGAGAGAGAGAGAGAGATTTCCTCTTCTTCCCCTCTTCTTTAGTTTAGCTTGAATGAAATCAGTATTTGCAGACCTTGCAGACTAAACTATATCAAACATCTCTCTTTCTTACCACGTCGGTCACGCTATCAATTGAAAATTGCAGTATTCTACTCCCAAACCCTCAATCAAAGATAGAGTAAAATCAAATAGATCGTGTACCGTGCCCATACTGACTGAAGTTCGGGCTTTTTTCAACCCTTTCCCGCATCAACAACATCCACTGTACACGTATCAACCGTTCATCCACCGAACTCTCTACCTCGTCATCAGCGAGTCTCTGCTTGAACATATTGGGAGCACCAATCCAGACTAACACTTCTCTAGCCAATATGTACTAGTAGGAGATTCGCTACTCTTCCCGTGGCTGCACAGGTCGGGAGGAATTCCGACAGTGTCAGGAGAGGCAGGGCACCAACGTCCCCTGTCACCTCCTCACTCATATCCAACTTCCCAACTCAACCCACATGTGTCTCACCCACATGGTGAAGCCTGGGCCTGACTCCATGAAACCTGCTCCATAAACGATGGATTCTCGATACGACCCTACCTACGTGATAGATGGGGGCAGGTGTAGCGGATTGGGTCGGCACAACTACTATCCGCAGATCGTATCCGCATAACAACATCCTTAACGGATGATAGATAGAAGAATCAATGATCACTTATACCAAAACATATTCGTGTATGCCGTGCATAGCCCGTGATTCCATCATAGAGAATGCTCCGCGCATGTAAAGCACCGATTATGTGAGGGTCATCTCAGCAGGAGGAAGGGAACAGTGGATGAACATAAACGGGAAGAGGAACGGGAACAGGAACGGCATTGCTACAATGAACTCGCACGACATTTGTTTTAATCCCTTTCAAGCTCCTCCTCAAAGGAAAAATTGCTTGCTTTGAATGTTTCCAGTTTATCACACATAGCGATCGCACAAGTTCATTTCTTTTCTGAATAATTTAGCGTGATAACCAAGGACTGTGGCACGCTAACCACTGTCCTATCCATAAAAGGATACCAACATGACTAAACAAAAGTTGGTAGTTATTGATTGTAGCAATTCAGTATATAAGGGTCCTCTGCCTGGGTAGTTCACAAGTGCCGCAGCCAACTCATGACAAGGACCATCAAATGAGGTGGTCATGGATTACAGGCTAAAGCCCAGAGGCTAGCTATGACTTAACTAAAACCCCCCTTTTTCCTCCCCTGAGCTTGCTATGTGTAACGGTGATGGATATGCCGATTGCCACAAAGCGACTAAGTAATAATGAAAATTTTGGTTTGAGCAAGTCTTGCAAACTTAGAGAAGAGAAGGGAAAGTTTAATTTACAAATGTAAGGATAACGTTGGCGTATGGCGTTGTGTAGCCCACTGACATGACTGACCAACATGATCAAGTACCTTCGTGAAACACTCCTCTAAATCCCCCATGCCTTCAGGCTCCATATTAGAAAGCCACCCTTGGAGCATCTTCGCATGTTTTCAAGTCGTCTTCAATTGACATTGTCGCGAACCTCCACGCCCTACCATCCCTAGGATTTTTGCAATAGCAGTACACGCTCTAGTCCCGCCTCCCTCGATGTTTGGTTCAACTACGTGGCTTGAACAATTACTATAAATCAAAACGGATCCCCTCATTGGTGGTCATGAGCTTTTCCTATATCAGCCGGCCGCTTGACGGTTATGGTGGAACCGGCTTGTTTCGCTGCTGCCACCCTTGCATAATATTCATCATTCTTCCGCTTCTGCATGACCTTCACGCTCTTCCGCATAGACTTTGCTGGTCCGTATAATTAGATTGCAGCTCTATGTGCCGCACAATAGTTGATCAGGTCGCATATGGGTGCGTTTGGATCGAAGAATGTGTATTTTCCAGGTACTGTTATGGTCCCAGGCCTGTGGCCTGGACTCTTGAATATGGCTGACGCCACAGGGATGTGGCTAGTGGATGGCATAGAGGATTATCAAGGAGATAGTTATGTGGGAGCTGTGTTAAGGAGCTGTGTTAGGATAGCAGAGAGAAGAGTTGATATCTCGCGTACAGAGGCGCTGGGAGATTTCTTCCTTCTTTCTCTTCAGTTTAGATTAACGAAACTTGGTAATCGCAGATCCTGCGCATCCAGACCGTGTCAGGTACAGCTTTCATACGAGGCAGGGTATCGACAATTTTCTGAGTGAGTCTGAACGTCCACGTTGCATGCTTGGGCTGCAACGGTAGGAATCGCTCTCCGCTCGTAAAGCAAACGTAGCACACCCATCTTCAAGTAAGGAGATAGAGGTAGCTACCAAACTCCTCGCAACGTTCACGCACAGCCCTGCATAGTCTCTCATAGAGGATATTGCAGGCAATCCATTTGCCAGTTCTGATGCTGAGGATACCGCGAAGTACTTTCCCTGCATGTCTGGTGATGGCATTGTGTCGAGGGAGGGAGTCAACTACTTCAGTGGCCCGGGTGTTGACCCGTCGAAAGTCCGTTAGAGTGTGCGGGTCAAGTTCACCGAGAACCTCAGCAAGTCGGTCAGCAGGAAGGACATCAAGAGTGCCGAGATTCGTTGTGAGTGGTGCCTTGAGAACGCGGCTTTTGGGCTGGGATAGGACGGCGACATCGGTATGTGATTGGACAGCGTGTAATAGCTGAAACGCATCTCAGAGTGGGTCTAGTCATCTTGACTATACTGTAAGGTGTTCTGTAAGATGTTGGAAGGGGGTTCATGGTGTTGTAGGGCTAGTCAGCCCTAAGAGATGACATTGGAGCCATTGAAGAAGTGCGAATGAAGAGTGGTTGTGTTTTGATATCGAGGTTGATGTAGCGAGGTGATGTATATAATAACATCCACGCGCGAGAGTGGACAAAACAAGCGAGAGATCACATGCATTATCAATTGGATGCAATTAGATATAGTAGTGTGTTAAAAGAGATATAATCCACAAGGACTCACATGCTCATATGAAAGGCAAAGCAAAGTGGAAATGCTCAAACCTAGGCGCCCTTGACCTTTTAAACCCGTTGACATGCCCAGTGTTGATACAGACCCGTACACAAACGTCCCGTCCATCTTGTGCCCAAGCGGTTTTTTCCAGACCACCTGTAGAGTCATCTCCTGTAGCATCATCTTCTTCCCCAAGCAATCATGCATACCCAACCACAAACTGCCGAAAGCCACACTAATCCGTGATGCGCCAGGATTGGAACCACTTCAGATGCTTCCACTGCGCACTATCTCCCTCCATCCCAAAGCAAATCGCCCTAAACAGATAGAACAACCCGACCACCGCGACGTACAGTGGGAAATACACCACCCACTGCCACTTGGCCAGCCGCCACGTCGCCCAATCGACGCAGAACCCGGCGGTAAGGATCGCAAACCAGAGCGCGGGGTAGTAGTGATGGACGTAGGTGACGCGGCCCATGATCATGAAGGGGAGGTAGTGGAGGAACCAGCCGATGACCGGGTAGAGGCCGGCGTAGTGGATGTGGTCCATTTCGCGCTGGGAGAGCTCTTTGTAGCCGCGCTGCCAGCGGATGACGTACCAAGCGACGAGGAGGCCGAAGATGCCGAGACTAGCAGTGCTGCCCCAGTAGACGAGCGGGTTGCCGAGGAGGAAGTATTTGACGACTAGGAACAGGATTAGAGGAGCGAAAAAGAAAAGAATGAAGGGAGGGGCTTACTATGACTATCCCAACCACACATCCGGAGACCAACTCCGAGGATCGGCCATTTCCAGAACATTGACGCAAGATCATCTTGCTTGTCTGGATCGGGGACCAGCGCGTTGTTCGACGTCATCATCGCCACGTTCAAATGGACAAAGTCGCGGAAGAACGGAGACTTATATGACCCCGGATCGCCCGCCGGCAACCTCTCGTTGACGTGCGACTCAATATTCCAGTGCGTGAACACATCTCGGGGCTTATTCTCCTTCACACAGGTAGTTTCGATTTGCTTGAAACCCCACTGCGGCAGGTTGACATTGCCTGCGCGGAGATAGCAGCCCAGGTCGACATGCTTCAGACGGAACGCGGTGGTGAGCGTCCGGATCTTGGTGTAGTCCCTCGACGACGCATCATCGACGACTTCGATTTTCCAGTGATCCTTGGTGTCACCGATAGTGGTGTTGCCGTAGCACGAGACTTCCCAATCGGCCTTCGTAACGGGCGCAGCAACGGTATGCGAGTGCAGGTTACGGCCTGTCTGCGCGTGGATCAGGCGGATGATGTCGTTGTTGCCGATGAACTTGATCTCGGCTTCCTGGTCGTATTCGGGTTCGTGGCGGTTGGGGTAGAAGAACCAGTCATTGTTGGCGTCCTTGTGGTGGTAGCAGGTGACCTGCTGCTGGGAAGAGCCCTCAGGATAAGTCTGGACATGAGAATGGAGGAGACCACCACCGTAGCCCATATTCTTGAGCGTGGCGCGAGAACCGATGGCGACTTCGAGCGGGCTATCTTTTCCGACTTCGGTGCCCCGGAGGTTGGCTTGGAAGAGGGAGCTCATTTGAGCATCGCCCGGCCCGCTGTTCTCAAGGACGAGGAAGTGGATGTAAAAGGAGAACATGTAGACCATCGTGGGGATGAGGATCAGGCCGAAAACCCGGAACCCAAGATGCGCCGCGAACTCGACTTTGGGCATCTTGGTATCCCCGAACTTGTTCCATAGGTCCTCGATGGTATATAGGCCAACCAACGCGGTGCAGAAAAACCCAACCCATTTCACACTGCAGACACAGCCGATCGACACGCCGGTCAGCATCAACCACAGGCCCCACTCCGGGCTGAACGGGTCACGCCGATATTGATGGAACTTCGCCCAGCACAGGACCGTCGTGAACGTGAAGAACAGCAGCATCGAGTCCAGTAAGATAAACCTGCTGATCGTCGTGTACGAGTTCTCACATAGAACTGCCAGCGTGACGAGCCAGACGGTTGCGCGTCGGAAGTTCAGCGCCTTGGCAGTGTAATAGGCGAGAGGAACGCAGAGGGCTCCGAACGTGGCGTTGAAGAGTCGCATGAACGTGTAGTTGACTTCTTCGGGGTACGTCTCGCCGGATTTGAATTCGAAGGAACCGTTGTAGCCGGCCATGTAGCCAGAGAGACCAACAAGCATCTTGCCAAGCGGGGGATGTACGTCGAAGTAGAATTCGCGTTTGAGGTAATGTGAGCCGAACTTCCCGAAACTAGAAGGAGAGCCATATCGTCAGTCTCATTGTTATATAGAATTGATATCCGGGGACAACGTACTGTGCCTCGTCCCACGTCACGATGGGTGAAAGACCAATCTTCCACATCCGCGTAAAGAACGCAAAACCGGTGAATATCAGCGGAGCAATCAGGAACTCCCACTCATCGAGGAACCGTAGGATGCTAAAGCCCTGTGTAATTCCATTAGCGTCCGCGATCTCATATCTCCAGATGGTGCCATACCTGCTGTTTCGATTTCTCCTCCTCCTTACGGTCTACCACCGCGGTGGCATGCTGTGACGCACCTCCCACCTGTCGTCTCCGCAACTCATTATCTGCGCCAGCCGCGCCGCTCGTGTAAGCTTGCGAGCTCGACGCCATCGTCGAAGGGCGAACTTGAAAGTCTGCCGGGATGATCTAAGAAAATCGGATTGAAGGAAGAAGTCGAAGCCCGGTTGCTGCTCAACGCAGCATGGGGAAAGAGAAGGGGAGAATAGATGAATTAGAGAGCGTGACGAAGGAAATCGAAAAGGTGAAGGTCGAATAGAAGGAAGAAGGGTCCGAACCTCGAAGTAATGACCCCTTGGATGCTGGTACAACGGTACAGGAGAAGGCTAGGGAACCGAAGCTGATGCCGTACTGCTGAAATTTGTTACGGGGGTTTGGTTTCCAGTGAGCTGACGGCAATATTGGTGTTACAAATGTGTTGCAATGGGCTTAGTGTGTAACGTTTCAACAGGTCAGAGCGTATGGAAGCAAACACCTCTATTAGACGGTGTCAGCAATACGAGCCGCTAATCCAATTTTAGAATTGCTGGAAGAAGCCAAAGTGTCTTCTTGATGTCGTGATATTACCGTAATCAAAGCGGTCCAGCAGAGTGTTATTCTTAAGCAACGATGATTTAAATTCCATCAACCAGGTATGATAAATATAATTGCCAGATCTATTCGTCCCTACTGTGAAGGAATGTATTAGTAGATCTACGCTGGGTACAGACTTCCCAACCCCCGAAGCGTACTATATACAAGACAAGAACCACGATCAGATCCACTTCCTAAGTTCGTCTATGAAATCCACTCTAAATATCGAGCCTATGCGCTCACGCAGCTCTACAAATCCAAAATCATAAAAGGTGAGCCACCGTAGGGCTATTTAACAAGAAATATTGCATCAAGATAATGTCTCAAACAGCCTTCCTTTTCCTCCTCTAATCTCTACTCCCGCCTCCCCCTCCGCCATCCTCCTCATCGCCATCATCCTGCTTCACCTTACTGTACTTCCCACTCCCTGAATCCCCCTCCCCACTCCCCTTCGCCCTCTTCACAATGCTACTAATCCAGCCTCCCACCCCCTCCTGCTCCACGCTGCCCGCCTGCGGCTTCCCCCGGCCGCCCTCAACGTCCACCGGCGGATCGATGTTCAGCCCGGGGATCGCGTTGTCGGCGGAGAAAGCCGCGGGGCCGCGGCGCAGGTCGATGCTCGGCACGGGCGAGCGGTTGCCGGAGAAGAGGGATTCGGCTTCGGCGATGGTTTCGGGGGTCGGCATGACGGAGGTGGCGTCGCCAAAGAGGACGTTCATGTCCTCGAGGCGGATGTTGGCGGTTTCGGGGTAGATGAACCAGACTGAGATAGATGTTAGCCACACTAGTACTCTCAAAGGCGGCCCGAAAATCGACGGAGCGAGGGAAGACTTACCAATGACGAAACTGAGAGCGCAGAAAAATGCATGCACAAGATAAAGCCGCCACTGGATCAGCTCCTGCAATACCGGCGTCATCATGCCCACCAACCAATTGAACGCCCAATTTGTTGCCGTGCTCAGACTCGCGCCCTTGGCTCGGATGCTGAGCGGCAGGATCTCCGGGGGGTACAACCACGGGATCGGGCCCCAGGACGCGCCGAACGCGGCGTTATAGATCATGACGAAGACGACGACCAGACTGGCCGTGTTATCGATGTCGATGAAGATGAAGTAAGAGACCGCGGAGAGCGAGAGCATCATCGCGACGGCGCCGGTGAGGAGAATGGGTCGTCGTCCGTACTTGTCGACGATGTACCATGGAGGGATTGTGGAGAGGAGGTATGTTATGCCGTTGATACCGGTCATGAGAATCGCATCACGGCCCTGCCAGCCGGCCTGCTCGAAGACGAGAGGGGCGTAGTAGGAAATGACGTTGATGCCGTTCAGTTGGGCGAGGGCTTGTGCGGACATGGCGATGAACACGCGCTTGTAGTACCGCTTGAACATGTCACCGTAGGAGCGCTCGCCTTCCTGGCGCTCCATGAGAACGTTCATCTTGATTTCACGGTAGTTTTCGCGGGCTTTCGGGTTGTGGATGTCACCCTTGCCGTAGAGGTTGGCGATGACGACAATGCCTTCTTCGTCATGGTCGTTGTCGAGAAGCCAGCTAGAGTGGGTTGTTAGTGGCAAGAGTTAAAGGAAGCAAACATACGGTAGCAAGGACTATGCCAGAAAGGAACAAAGGAGCTACTCACCGAGGCGACTCGAGAATTAGAAAACTCCCCAACCCAAGCAACGTGCCCAGGAAGACCTGCATGAACAACGGTATCCGCCATGACAAATCGCTATGAATGAAGCTGCAAAAGTAATCCACCCAGACACTTGCACAATACCCCGTGATGTTCCCGGTGAACTCGATGCACGCCAGCTTCCCTCGATTATGCGGCGGCGAGATCTCGGATTGGTAGATGGGAACGATGGTGCTCAGCATGCCGACGCCGAACCCGGCAAGGATCCGGCCGACCATCATCATCGGCATGCCGTTGGCGAACGCCTGGAGTGCGCCGCCAACCACGAAGACGATGGAGCCGTAGAGGATGGTTTTTCGGCGGCCGATGATGTCGCCGACACGGCCGACCATGAGAGAGGAGATGAAGGCGCCAACTTCAAGGATGGCGACCATGGTGCCGATTTCGGCTCGCGAGGGTTGGTTGAAGTAGTCTTTGAAATATCCGCCGCTGCATAACGGTCAGTATAGCATAAATGAAAGGGGGGTGGAAGACAATCATACGTGATAATGCCCGACATAACGCCCTGATCATATCCGAATAAAAACACACCCAATGATACAAAGACGCTCGTAAAATAACTGCAATTGGCATAGCCGTCAGCATCTCTTCATTCCCAAACCCATCCTAGGTGTGTTGTCAATCAATCCTTACATCAACTTCTTCCCATGCAGCCCATGGAGCCTCGACGGCCCATCTCTCGGCGACATGATGGCAGCGAGCAACCGCTCTCCCCGGGAGATCTTCCTCGGCGGCGGGCTTGGGATCGGGATATCCTCCTTCCTAACGACTCCACGACGGCCTCGTCCGCTCTGTTTCTCGTCCTTTTCGTTGTCCAGGTACCGCACGCGCTTGTGAGCCTTCCCTCGGGACTTTCCGCTCGACGGATCGAGTTCGTCCAGCTGGTGTGCAAGGCGGACGGTCAGCGGGTCTTCTTCGGCGGCGAGCTGGTCGACGAGGTCGCCGGTGTCGCTCCAGAAAGAGAAGTCGGAGCCGGAGAAGGAGTCGCAGCTGGGAGGGGATTGGTATTCGTTCGCGGGGGATGGATCGTAGGTGCTATTATGAGGATGACGGTCCGCCTTCTCGTTCGAACGGTCGATCAATGTAGTGTGGGAGTAAGATAGCGGATCGTGTTCGTTGTCATCGGATTCAAGAAACGGATCCTCGTCGTCGTCCGGGTCGTACGCGTGACGTCGGGGGGGATGACCGTTACTACTGCCCGGAGCGGCGGACGATAGTGTGTGGAGGGGAATGTTGGCGGGCCTCCTCGACGATGGGGTGGAAGTGGGAGGAATATTGTCGCCGGGTGGGCTGATATTGAGCCAGCCCTGCTCCCCAAGAAGGTTATAAAGTAGCCGTGGCAGATGATGGGAACCCTTGGGTTAGAAGGAGGCCTGAAATGGCGACGGTACGAAGTTGGGGATTAGTGTGCACGAGAGCTGGACAGCGGTAGGGGCTGATGGAGTAGTCCCATGGAAGGGATCGGGTTTGGTGTCCTGTGACGCTCTCTGGTGCCGATAGTGGATAACTAACCAACCCGATTCAGAACAGTGTGCAGTCTTGCCGACTTTAAATCAAGAGACTGCCAATAAGACAGGATGAAGAAGATGATGCAAGCTGTTTGGCTGTGCCAGATGATCGGACAAGTTAACAAGGCGCAAGGTTGTCGTTGGTTTCCTGGTGACGTTCAGGGTTCAAGCCACCACCGGAAATAACTGCAAGTACCGGAGCCTCGTGGTGATTTATATCGATGTCAGGTGCTTCAATGGTTTGAAACAAATAAAAGGATACAGAGATTAGAGCCTAAGTAGATTTGGGAAATAGTAAATGCGAAAGGACCCGTATATCTGCCCTTTCCTGCAATGTCGGATTGCACGAATTGGTTTCTCCCCTTTGTCCCCCAGCCTGCCGGGTATCAGTAGTCAATCAGAGGGCCCAGTCTTTTCCCGCCGATCACCTCCGCTCACTTTCCGTATCGGAATCAGAACTTTTGATCGCTGTCATGGGGTTACGGTCCTCAGTCCTGTCTCGCAAAGAAAATCGCCATGTTGTTATGTAAGTTGTGTTATAGAGTGTACTATCCAGCACGCAGGTGGACTACCTGTGGATGCCCGGTGGTAGACACAGTACACGTACCCCGGTTTGTCAAAGTCGAAACACAATCAAGTCCACAGAAGAGCCGCATGTTTGATGATAGATCTGTGTCGATTGAATATCCTCCGAGAACTGCCTTGAAGAACATAATGCGAGCCCCTTTACCCTGTGAACGCCACGCCGTCCATCAAGCCCTAACGCTTCAAATAATCCGTATCGTGTACTCATTAGATCCATCGAAATCTTCGTGGTATCGCTCATCAAATGCCGTGTCAGGTGCGAATGCGGCCTCAACGGTAGTCCGATAAAAGAAAAACACACCAATTTTCTTGTAGGTCCCCTTCATAGATTTTTCGGGGGCGAGGACCAGCCCTTCAAACGTCGAAGATCCTTCTATTTCACTAGGATAATATATAACAGGCATGAAGAAGACCTCTTCCGCGTGCCAGATGTTGGGAATGCAAGGATTCACTAGTATATCAAGCGGAGGTGCATCCGGATGAGGTCCGCCGCGTTGCCGGAGTCTCAGAGGAGCCGGCCCAGAATCCGGACTTGAGGAACGCTCTTCGTTCTCCAGCGAAAAGCACTTGTTGTCGAGATCACCCTTTGGAACTGATGCGAGGCGCACCTGTCTAAGGAGCCCACGAATCCGAAGATGACCTCCTTTCAGCTGGCCAGTCAAATCCTGAGAGACGGGCACCGTGATGACATCTAGTATCCGGGATATGGCACTCCAAGTCCCGTATCGCCGTCGAAGAAAGTAGATTCTTCCATCCACGGAAGCCCAGGACCAGGTAGGAGCTCGATAAGTTGATGACGGCTCCCCATCGTCATGGATGTACCAAAGAAGTTCGCAATGCAGATCCCTTCTCCACATTCCGGCAAGGTATTCGTCTTTAAGTCGAGGGACAAAGGACTTTGCAAGCCCGGAAAGCGCAGGAAACTTGTCAGTTGAATAAGTTAGGCTAGCATTACTGTACATTTCAACAATTCGGCACCATGCATCGTAGAAATGTTCCTGGGGCACAGACAATAGGTTAGAAGACATGGCGTAGAATGATGGATACTGAAAATGTACTTACAGTCGGAATGGTAAATGATAAGTCTAATAATGAAGCATATACTGGGTTCATAGCACCAGATGGCCATTGCGAGTCCATGACTGTATCAGGGCACGACTTTGGAAAAAGCTCTGATGATAGCTTTGAGCGACACTCCCAGTACATTTGCCTTCTAGCAAAGTGAAGAATTCGTGGAGCCTGGCCAATACTAAGCTAGCTGTAGCGTGGTCTTCATAGGCAGCTTACCATAATCTGTTCCTGATAGACCCAGGCACGTTGGTGTAAAGGTGCTTGAAGAACATCAGTGCCGTATTCTTCCAGTATTATCATGGCTCGCTTGGGAGGTATAGGTCCGACAGAAACCCGCGCGAAGTCTGCCTCCGGAGGCTGGATGTCTCTGATATCACTGGAGAGGAGGAGGCCTTCTTTCCCATCTGAAAACCCAGAAGCGGCTAGGTTGCAGACACCGTTTCCGTAGACTAGATGCATAGTAAGGCTCTCTTTGAGCCAGTCCAACGAGCCTGGCTCCTGCTGGATAATACAGAGGGAATCAATCCAGAGGTACTTATAGCCTAGACCAACCGTAATGCGCATGGCGTCGGCAAAAATCGGCGACAGGGAGGCAATCGGAATTGATTGAACCATTTGGTCATGATTGTCTCTGGTTAACACAAAGAACGGCGTCTTCCCCCAGCAATGACTTAGGGTAAGGTAATGTGTCTCAGAATTCAGATCGGAACCATAGCAAAGTCGAGCGGCAAATATAGAGCCGCTTTTTCTGACTTCTACTAGGCGCGTCGGCAGCCAGTGATCTGGTACTCTCGAACAGGCCTTATGCTCGCTGAGACAGCACGAAAGCCACTGTCTAGCCTGGTCCAAGGTACGCGGCCTACTAGTGCTCGTTGGGAGATCGAAGGTTGCCATGTCCTTCTTAACACCTTGTGGAGTGTAAGTCTTACTCGAGAGAAATGGGTGTTATCTTACTTTGGCTTGGTAGAGCACGGAACGGCAGGGTCTTCATCCACCTTTTCGACTGATAAACATAAAACGCGACGTAAATCTGCCCAGGAGTTTTGTCCAGATTTGCAATGTAGCATTGGGTGTTGAATGAGCATTGCGCCTCAGAATCCTTCTTCATGTAGCACAAGGCTTCCATTAGACGAAGACAGATATAACATTTCTCATTCGCCGAAGCCTCGAGGCTAGATATGTCCACATGATGGTCGAAGAACGGAAGCACCTTGTTCGGCTTGACATAATCCTCCTTGAAAAGAGACCTGCAAATCCAGCAAAGATAGGATGTGCTGTTCTGGTTCATCACAATGGTTCTTGACTGGCGAATCTGAAAACCTAAGCTCTTCCATGGAGGATGCTCACAGCATCAAGGTGGAAGAGTTCATGACAACTCCGAGACCAGGACTCGAGGGCGCTTATGAGGTGCGGCCTCTGATGCGGCCTCTGATGCGGCCTCGGATACGACCTCTGTTGCGACCTCTGCTGCATCCAGCAGCGTATGCGGAGGCGCCATCCTTGATTTCTACTGCCCAAGTCAGGTCCAGGTAGCCAAGCGCTTAGTGAATCAGGATCCTAACCATAAATGATACAATACCTATTGCTCAGCCACTGAGCCACTGTGACGGATCTGGTGCAGTGGCACCGTACATTGCTGGTGGATATTGACATTGACAGGTCAAATCACTGGTGTAACCGTTTAGCAGTGTACCATACGGGGATTGCCAGAGGTGAAGAGTACTAATATACGGTCCTGGTATGTACCTGAACAGCTAGTACAGATATGAATGACTTTGTACTATTCTGCACAGGGAGTACGGACCGACACCCGACTATCCTCAACTGGACGCAGCATCCCAGAGTGTTGCATGTGTATTAACAACCGATGGAACTCGGAGGGCGGAGATATCCCAAAACTTGGCACATTATATGCATGACTAAGCGTTATTTAATTGATATTGGGCGTTAACGGGAGTTACTCCAATCAGAGCCTCCGAACAACTCAAACATGCAACTAGCCACCACTCCATGCCATTCATCTGTCATTCAGTCTCGTCCTGTCATCAATGGACAATTGGTCGTGAGACGACACAGCCCACCATCCTCCGCAGTGCAGGCAACAGAATGAGTGTCCTCCAGTTCATCGAACAGTGATTTTCATAATTTATTTTTAGCAGTCCAATTGCTAACACTCAATACCTCACAAAGGACTGTTTCCGACAGTTAACCTCAACCAGTGCCCTCCCGCTCACTCCCACCACCATGTCGCAACAAGGAAACCAATCTGACGCAGGACCGGACGACCCTAGGGTCCCAACCGACTTGCCACCCGGCTGGGTCGCGCAATTTGAACCTACGTACGCCAATTGCCCCTCCGTAACTCAAGAGTGTTTAAGTTATCTGGCCTTCATTCCTGGCCATAACTGACTCCAAATACCTCCACAGCAAACGAGAATACTACTACGTCCAAATAAGCACTAGAGCGTCAACTTGGGAGCATCCGGGACATTCGAATTCACAATCAAGTACCCCCGCACAATCTACAGATCCATATCCGCAACCGCAAGAAGGCATGTCGGCGAATCCAGGCAGTGAAGGGGGTGGAACCCGTGGAGCAGGTGACGATCATGGTCAAGATCGCGGACTCGGCGTAAGTTATCCAACATTCCGTATCTGCCTAAAAAGCTGGGAAACTGACCGCTGTCTCTCCACCGCAGGGTATGGCAGCCAACATGCTCCTAGGCGGCAACAAGCACGGAAATAGTGGCCATGGATCTTCTCCACTGGGTAATATTGCTGGTTCCCTCCTTGGCAGTGGCTCCCATGGGAATTCACACGGCGGCGGCTCTCACGGATCAGGTCACGGCGGTAGCGGTGGTCTAGTCGGAAACCTCGCCGGCTCGCTCCTCGGTGGAGGAAAGCAGTCACATGGCCAGCAAAGCGGTCAGGGCCAGCACGGCTCTTCGGGTCACAGCTCAAGTGGAGGGATCGGTGGTCTTGTCGGCGGTCTGTTAGGTGGCCATGGGAACAAACAACATGGCCAGCAGAACTACGGGTATTCCAACGCCGGAAGCGGGTCGAACTACAGCGGAACAGCGCCACCTGCGCAATACAACCCTACCGGACCGGGCGCTTCAGGCAGCGGCTACGGCGGATCCAATCAGCACGGACAAGGTGGACAACACAGCGGACAGCATGGCGGACAGCATGGTGGCTATGGCCAGCAACAGCATTACGGTGCGCAGTCTAGCGGCCCAGGAGGCCCAGGAGGCTATTCACCTGCGCCGGCGCAGGCATACGGCGGAGCGTCCCAACACGACCAGTATTCTGGACATCAGCAGCATGGTCAGGGAGCTCAGGGAGGTCAGGGAGGTCAGTACGGCGCTCCCCCAGGCCAATACGGAGGCCCACCTCCCGGGCAACACAACCAAAGTTACGGTGGAGCTCCGCAGCATCATGATCAGCATGGACACGGTGGACAATATGATGCTCCGTCTCAAGGAGGGCAGTACGGCGGCCCTGCGCCAGGCGGTCAGTATGGAGCTCCTCAAGGCGGTCAATACGGTGCTCCTCAAGGCGGTCAGTACGGTGCTCCACCTCACGGAGGCCAACACGGAGGTCAACACGGTGGCCCGCCACAAGGGCAATACGGAGGGCCTCCACAAGGCGGCCAGTACGGAGGGCCACCCCAGGGCGGACAGTACGGTGGACACCCCCCACCGCAGTGGTAATGAGTTGCAAGTTCGATTACGCAGCCACGGATGCACAATGTCGGGTTGATACGCTCATATGCTGCTTTGAGAATGAGCCGAGCGAGCGCATAGAAATCGAGTGATATGATGGGTACTGTAGCGGATATCGATGCATACATGAGAGGGATATTGCTTTATGAGGAATGATGTCTCTTTTCCGCTTATGTGAAGGCCGCCAGGGCGACCTATTCTCTAACCTATTTTTTAACCTGTTACATACTTCCTAGCCCTAGAGACGCCTGTGCAAGTGCAATTGCAAAATCGTACTCATTGCTACCTGCTGATGATCGTCCACCAATTGTCTTTCTCATAACCACTCTCCAGTACCTTCCCGCCTGCTTCGACGGCTTCCTCTTCCAACTCGCCTTTCCTGTAGAGATGATAGTACCGATTAAACGTCTTCTCCGTCTCCTTTTCTCCCACATCCGCCTCGCCACTCCCTCTTCCCTGATCGCGACTCCGATCCTTCCGCTTCCTCGTAACCCATGGCACCATTACATCCTGCTCATCCCCCTCCCCCCACCCCCTCCGACTACTCTCCTGCTCCAATGCCCACACCACAACCAACCCCCTCCCTCCCTCCCGCAAACAACTTAACACACTCTCAATCGCCGCAACTCTCCTCTCCCTCGTCGAAAAATGATGCACCACCGCCACCGAGATCGCGAAATCGAACCGGCCGTCGGTATACGGTAGGCGCAGTCCGTCGGCGACGGAGACTTCCTGACGCGGGTAGTTCGACGCGGCGATGGCAGCGAGGTTGGCGGAGCGGTCGGAGGCGAGGATGAAGAGGGAGGGGTTGGAGGAGAGGTATTTTCCGTTGCCGCAGCCGACGTCGAGGCCGATGGAGCCGGGGGGGAGTGAGAGGAGGAAGGAGTGGGGGGTGGGCCAGGGCTGGGAGGGGTTAGTGGCTGTTTTGGAATTTTTATACTTAATAGAAAGATGATGGGAGGGTTTTGGGAAGGAAAAAACCGCGTGATAGTGCCGGAATACTCACTTTATATCTGGTTGATGAGAAGTGCTCGGCTATCTGTTCGTAGACATCATGGACATGCTCTTGCTCGTACGACTCGTCATTTTCACCCCCAGGCATATCTCTTTATCTCGATGTGCTGAATTATATTTTGAAGCTGGGCAATAATGGATTGGTTCTGTTCAAAAGTGAGATCAACAGTGCAGCTGTTCAGGGTTTGGCCACAACGGTACAAGTGTTGGACGTCATGACAAGAAAAATTATATATTAAGCATCGGAGTTACGTCGTGCCACTGGGTGTAAATTTCAGGTTATTAGAAGGCTTCAATTTCATGGCGTGAAGGTTAGATATAATTTTATATCGCATCAAACCTGAAAAGTTACCATAATATCAAAGTGCTGATATCAAGGGAACGACCGCACAGCCACAGCCAAACTACTACGTAAACATCATGAGATGACATTGGAAATTCAATAACCCTTTGGCTTTATCTCCGTAACCAAGCTTAATCCCTTCCTCAACCCATTTAGCCGTACCAACTCAACCCTCGGAAGGACTACCGGCATCATTCAGAGGTCTTGATCACCATGCAACGGCTTGGATAGTGTCGAATTAGGAGTTGTAAGCATTCCTCGACATTAAAATGCGCTTCTAAAATGGAGACTTAGGCTTAGGGGCGGGGGGAATATAATATATGATATCTACGGCATCCAGTCCACATCTGTAACTGGCCAATATCCGTAAACAATAAACATCGCAGTTGATGACTCTTTCAAGGTTCCATAGTCTACCGACCAATGGCGCGATATCAACTCAGAGTTCCTGGTTGAGCAGGCTAGAGTGTTGAAGGATGGGTTGAAGGAGAAGGGTCGAATTGTTCTGATCAGGATTGTTGTTGTCGGCCAAGTTCCGGTACTAGAAAACGAAATGATCAGCGTCAACATCCTCAATTCCTTCAAAGGGCAGCTCACCTTGAGTCCGAAATTCAACAACAGCGCCGCCGCCAACCCAAAACAAACCACCATCGGCCCCCAAACCACATCCAAATCCTTCCCGCTCCGGTTATATATTAAGAGGCTTCGGTACTGATACACCGCCCATCCCCACACCCCCGCAAACACCGCAAGCAGCGTATATACGATCGCCAACGCCCTCGCAACCGTGTTGCTCTCTCCCGCCGCATTATACAACCCCAGCGACAAACTCGCCAGCAACACCGACACGTTCTGCCACTTAATAAACGTCCGCTGATTCGCGAGCCACACCTTCGCCTCCACCTGCACCGGCCCCTTGTCCTTCAACCACACCTCCGGCTGGCTGACGCCCGGGGGTAGTCGAGGCTGCTTTTCCCGCCGCCGCTGCCACCGCGCGTATTTGCTGGTCGAGAAGGACGGCACGAGGAAGTGCATGAATCGCCTGCCGTGGCCGTCGCCCGGTGCGCGGTCTTCGTCGTCGGAGTCGGCTTCGTCGATGGTGAAGGCGCGGTCGGGCCCGGCGTTCTCGGCGGCGGCGGCACGGGTCATTTGCGCGAGGCTGGTGTGGGATATGGCGGAGGAACTGGGGTGGACTTTGGTGGGGGTGGATTTCGGGATGGAGCTGGCGGGGGAGATGGTTCCGGGTTGGAAGGCGGAGGGGGACCGGCCGGGACCGAAGAGGCTGCCAATGGCGTGCTCGTTCTCGGCTTCGCGTTGGCGGCGTTTCAGGGCTTCGTGGAAGGCTTCCTGTGGGTCGCGGCGGATGTCGGTTTCGAGGGCGCTGAGCCAGAAGGGGAAGGTGTTGACATAGTCTTCAAAGAGGAGGGCGACGCCGTGGACGAATTTGGAGAAGCGGGGCGCGGATGTGACAAGATGGGAGTCCATGAGGTCGTTGAGCCATTCGTATTTTTGGCCGCCTTTGATCTTGATTTCGAGGACGGCGAAGGGGAAGCGGTCGATCTCGCCTTTTCGGATTTGGGAGAAGGGGTATTCCATTTGATTGGCATCGATGTCGCCTCGATGCCAGTCGCTGGGGTCGCGACAGGGCCGGTCATGGTCGATGGCGTCTTCGCGGATGAACGAGAGGTCGGTGTCGAGCGAGATGCGAATGCGGTGGTCGCCGGGGACCTCATATGCAGTACGGCTGTAGTTCGCGCGCAATACTGGTTGAAGGCTCTGTTCTTTGATGAACGACTGGATTTCTTCCACTGAGTGCTCCAACTGAGTAACCTGCTCCGAGTCGTCCCCAACCCTTTGTTTCAACCTGTCAATGGATTTCTCCATGTGATACTCCCCTGAGATGAACGGTTGAACGTATTTCTCTTTGATGCGGAACCTTGTCTCCTCGCTGGTGTTGTTGTCTCGCATAATCTTCTTTTCCACGAATATATCGGGCTTATCCGCAAGATGTCCGTACCACCGCAGGCGGAGTGATGCTGGTCCATTCTCTTGGCTGATTTTTGACGAGTATAGCGAAAACTTGGGGTTATCAAAGTAGACGGAGGTGAGTGTTGGGTCATTTTTGGCCCCATCGGCGACTTTGGACGTCTGGGGATTGTAGATGAGGACTGGAAGACGCCGGAGGATGATCGTCTTAACTTCGAGGAGGTTGTCTGGGTGGACCCAAACTGCGATTGTTAGCCGAAGGACAGGACCTGCTATTAGAAAATACTTACATTTGTAGGACTGTGAGCTTTGCCCACCAACCTGCTCATCGGCGGATTGAACGCCTCCGGCCGCTTTCCCCTCCAGGCTCTCGCGAATGAACGAGTACAGGACCGACAAGTGATACAGCAGAGAAGAGTAGTCTTCTGTATAGAATGGAAGCGCAGAGAGCCGGACCTGTAAAAGGGGGCGGACGCGGTAGGATTGGCCTCTCTTCCGGTCATGTTTCTTCACGGCCTTCAAAAAGCCAGTATAGTTGATACGGGCATACTTCTCCAGCTCGCTGAGTTCGTTCGTGATTGAGTCTAACTCCTTCAAGACGTCTTCCAAGATATCCTTCCGCTCCTCTTCCGGTACCTTTCCTTTGTCCTCCCTGCCGGGTTCCGCGTGATGCTCTCCTTTCGAAACCCACCCTAGTGGGTAGAGGCGCTCTTCGCATTTGGCGGACCGGTCCTTGAGATTTTGAGAGATCTCAGTTGAGAAAGTATTGACCTTCTCAAGTTGGACATTCACCAGCTCTTCAACGAAGTCTTCCTCATCTTGATCTGTCCACTTGCCGTCGTCCTCATTGTCCGAGCCGACGTCGGATCCGGGCTCTTTCAGCAGCTTCTTGAGCTTGTCGTAATCGATGTATTTGTCCTCCCATGGTTTATAGGTTTGGCTTCGAAGCTGACGACCGAACCTCATCGTTGGCGATATTGGTGGCGGTCTTGGTATCAAAGCACGGTGTGGCAATTGAGAGAGATATGGATTATGGATTCATGTTGAGACAAAAGAAGCTCGCGCATGCAGTCGCCGGGGGGTGTTACTGTGGGGGCTCCAATGAAGTCATGATACACGCCACGTGATGACCCCTGGTGGGATCTTAACGTGGCAGGCGTGGTCCCGAATCGAATCCATCTTTTTTCCCAGGTCGATCTCTATAATGGAGCACGCATTAAACCAAGCATCATGTATCTGAAGCCAACAGGTGGCTAAGAGGTGAATTCGATCGCGATTCCGGATATCTGTCGTCCATTTACCCTCTCCGAACCTCGCACAGCTGTATAGTATAGATGGCGATGCGTTGCCATAACCTTTTCCTACCATTTCACGCTAACTTTATTTATATGATTCTCTCGAGTCAAGCTATGTTCGTTCAGCGACATGCCCATCAGTCGATCAATTTAAAGTCTAGTGTCCCTGTCGTTTCTCGTATCGCCCATGCAAAGCCATCAGCCAAGTCAACTTCTCCTCATACCCCCTCCCGCAACCCGAAATAGGGTTGTCCTCAGTGCAGTGATAAATGTTCCAAACCAGAGATACCAGAAAACTTACAAACAGCCCGAAAAATGACCAAATCGTTATGGAAACTACCGCAGTAACGCCCAAACCAAAACCCGCAACCCTAGCAAGAGTCAAAGCCTGGATACATCGAAGAACACCAGGTAACCAGAAGTCACAAACCGCTGGTCTGACTACAGCTCCGAATAGCACGGCGCTTCAGGATCCAGCAGCGGCGGTTAAAAATAATGTGGCGATCGTATCGGCTGCCTTATGAGCAGCAGAAGTTACGCCTGGGCTCACTCGAAATGGTAGGTGTGTTGAGCTTCATATTCGTCACGAAAGTTAAGCCAACGACTAATGCCAACTTGAAGATACCCCCAAGCCAATCTCAGTAATGCCCGGAGAGCCGGTAAAGGTGACGCAGACCTCGACAAAAGAGCCATCCTACTCTATACCCAAACACATCGAATCATGGGGCTTCTGAAGTGGATGTGCGAAGGGGTCCGACTTTTCAGCCATCAACCGCAGGGGACAGCGCAGCGGTGCATGTAAAGATGACCACGGCAGAGGCCCCCCTTCCGTCTCGAAAGATTCTCGCATCGGGTGCCAAAATGGGACATCCGCAGCACGTACGACTGACATATCCACGCCGAGCTGGGAGTGTCGAACATGCGCGACGACAAAGTCATTTTGCGCAGTTACTCGCGGCCTGATGTCTGCTTAGACTGCTATACTAGGACTGAATATCGTAGCGATGGACACGCTTCGTCGAGTAATACATCATCGTACAATGTTCGCTCGGCGTATTTCCCAAGCTCAGGGTCACCATCAGGAGGGGTATCTGGTTCAGAGACTTCGAATGGTAATGGAGTGTTAAGCAGCGTCAAAACGTGTCCGCGATGTCTTGGAACCATGTACCACGACTTATTGAACGAACATTGCTGATGCAACTCGCCTTCGGAACGGGACGAGCTGCCTGGGAATACTAAGATGATCTATGACGGTTGGTGACAGGCGACTTGAGCGGATGATAGACAGTCCTTACTATATTCGGTCTAGCGAAACAGTTCTCATGAGTATAGAGGAGCCACAGCGACAACATCGAACGAAATGGTATTAGCATTTTCAGGACATGACTACACTTAGATCTCCCGCTCACTTGTACAGGTGATAATCATGCGACTTACTGCCACACTTCTTGTCCGCATACCTCCTCCTCGCCGTCTGCAGGTCAAAGTTCCTCTTGAGCAGCTGCTTGTTCCAACGCTTCGCCAACCGCGCCGCCGGCGCCCCCCTGCGCGCGACCGTGGTAGTATTAAGGTTCAACCCCTCAAAGCTTATACTATACGTTCCGACCGCGGCAGCGATGCCCTTGGTGTTGACCTCGAACGCGTCCAGGGCAAGGTTGGTCACGTTGTCACCCGCCTGGTGGTAATTGACGTCATATGGCACGCCGGCCTCGCCGCCGAACTGGGCAGCTTCCTCCTCCGTCTTGATGCCCTCTGCGCCGGTGAAGGTGCCTCCGCTGGCGATGCCGACGTCGAGGAACGGGCCATAGTCGGATCGGCCATCAAATTCGGTGGCGGTGAAGTTCAGGCCCTTCTTGGTGTAAAAGTCCTCGAAGAAATGCTCGAGCTCCGCGGACCCAGGCGGGCCGGTGAGGTTGAAGGTCGATCCGTCGCCGTCGTAGATGGCGTAGTAGTAGTTCGGGCTGGCAATCATGTCGAAGTTGAGGTACGCCTTGATCTTGGCCGCCTCGGGTTCGGACAACGTCGCAACGTAGTAGGTGCTGCCGAGCAGGCCTTCTTCTTCACCGGACCACCAGCCGAAGCGAACTGCATTCTTAGTCTTGAAGCGAGCAAGGTCTTTTGCGACTTCGAGGAGGCCGCAGATGCCGGAGCCGTCGTCGTTGATGCCGGGACCCTCAGCAACCGAATCGCTATGAGCTCCGACTGCAAGGATGTTGTCCTGGTCACCACCCTTTGTTGTGGCAAGGACGTTATTACTTAATACGTGTCAGTGGAACCGATCGCGTTTTCGACTAGGGCTCGCTTACGTGAATGTTTCCTTGATGACACTGTAGGTGGAGAGCTCCCCAATAACTTCCGCGCCACCTTGGATCTTCGCAATGACAGCAGCGCCGGCTTCCTGGGACAGGCCAACGGTCGGAACGTATGGTCTATCAGGACTAGGAACCCCCAGAGTTCCATTCAAATCCCCAGGGACATTGTTATAAATAACGGCCCCCACAGCGCCCGCGAGACCAGCGCTCACACTCTTCGCACCAAACTCGCATTCACCACGAGAGATGAGAGCGATTTTCCCCGAGAGCTCGGCGGGGTAATCAGACTATTTTCGTTAGAGTTCCACGGCATAAACAGATCCTGTGCTCGTGCAGGAAATGACCTACCGCTTCGCAGCCAAGGTTGTCCACAATCACGAGCGGCGAAGTAGCATTGCCTGATGGTGAGTAAGAGAAGATAGAGGTACTCTGTTTCTCTCCATCAAGGGTGAAGTTTGCGTCACCCGACTCTTGGATCAACGCTGACCAAGGCTGCAGTGTCACGTTGTAGTAGTTGAGCTTGCTCAATTCCTTGTACAGGAAGTCAACGGTATCGTTATGGCCTTTCGAGCCAGCCAGTCGATTCCTCCCCTCCGTGGCGTACGCAAAGTCTTCGAGAGTCTGCGCGCAGTCAAGCAGGCTCTTCTCTTTCACGAGGTGCTGAAGTCCTTTCTGCTCAAATTGTTAAAAGGCTATGCCAATACTTGAGGAAGTTCATTCTCGAACATACCGATGAGGCCCACGGTTTCTTCCAGAACTCGGCGTGAACATCAGCGCCTTCATTATCCACATCCTGTGCAAATGTAGCCGTCGCCGCGAGGGCGAGAATACCCAATTGACGAAACATGTTGAATTGCAGTACGATATCGTTTGCTCTGGCGGCTCTCAATTGATACGATCGATGATAGAGAGTCAACGAAGCGCTGATACAGGCAGATCAGCACGCAATGGTGCGCAATGGCAGCTCTTTATAGTTGCGGACAGCTCGAGCGTGGACCATCTTTGTCGGCTAATTATCATGGCAGGGTGATGATCGAGGACTAGGCAAGCATCGCAGTGAGATGCAGTTGAGCTCACGACGATCATTTCTCAAACCGCAGAACCATGGACGAACGGCCGCCTCCGAACTGACCGTTTGTCGGGGGATACTGCTGGACTTGGCTCACAGGGCCGACATTACTCGCGCCCCACGTCCATTAGGAACAATGATACCCAAGACGACATGGCATCTAATAATTTCTGCAAGGAAGCTGAATAAAATCGGCATGTCTGCCAAGAAATGTTAATCAAACTTTGGGGAAGGTAGGGAAATGAAGATACTCGCGACTAGGTGCGGCCCGCGAATCTGGGAAACAAAAGGAAGGTTTAGGGATCATCCTATAATACCACCACATAGCCAAGGGCCCAGCCAAGCAAACCGTTTATGGCGCGAAACCTGAACATCGGTAGAGAAGCTGTAGTGGATATTGACCAGACCATGACTGCGGGGGTCGGCTTATCGTTGAACAGGGCTGTAAATTCGCCGATTAGATACCTTCCTTATCGAAACAAGTCGAGGTGCGTCCGTTCAATTTCGATGGTGATGATGTGACTGGGACCTGGAATCAAGTACTCCGTCCCTATCACTTTCAAATTAGAGGGCTCTACAAGGAGCCATAAACTTGGTTGTCATGTGAAGAAGGTTCCGATGGAATCACACATATCGATCCTAGCCCGGTCCACCATGTATCCAAAACGATATAAGATCGCGCCTAGAAATCAACCTCTGCTTGCGCTCCGGCGAATTCGATATATTGTGTATTGTGTAAACATTTGTGTTGGTGCAACGAAGTCGCGCAGAATGCTAGTTTCGTCGCCAGCTCGCCTGTTGTCGATGGTGAGTTTTATGCCCCTGGCATCGTGCACTGCGGATCTGCGCCTAATAGAGAAGGTGACCCTCAGCGTGCGCCACAGCCTTGCAAGGCCAGCCCTTGAGTGACGGGCTTGAGATATGCCGCCAAGGTGAGTTGACAGATGATAGGAGAATCGTGATAAAATGCGTGATCACTTTGTCGCACGCATTTAGGATATGCTGATGCACAAACCGGGGGTTCAGAGGTAGGGATTGACTCTGCACACAATCAGGGGTGATGTGTATTGCCTCTCTGTGACTTGCCAGAATGGGCGCAATCCACTGTTCCGGCGGTTCCAGGCTCAACTTCGATTAAGTAGGACAAGGGGGATGGAGATGGGGGATGGAGATGAGCACTGGGCACGCCACATGCCTGTCTGGCATACCCCAAAGCTTCTTATGGGGCTAGATAAAGCTTGCACTGGTGTATATGACCAAGAAGATCATGATTGGATTCAAAATTTCAAAGTTTCAAGGCCAACTCAATGTGACTGGTGCACAGGACATCTGGGCTATATAATTCAGGGAGCTGGAGGTATGCACCTGCTTCTGAGTTTGTCGCCAATGTAGATGGCGTCATCTCGAACAGATATCATTACTGGCATGTTGCGACTTGCTCTATCCAGGTCGGACAACTGGGGTATCTTCACCGTGGCCTGGGAATAAGTAGGAGGAAATCGCTCAGGATAATCCATACACGATAGTCTCGATCAGGCGGAAAGGTTTGCTGATTCAGCTATGTGGTAAAAGGTCTAGAGCTGAGAAATGGGGGACATAGTAGGAGCAGCACACACAAATTAGTTCGCAAATGGATAAAAACGCTGCCATAGGAAGCAGAAACGAGTACAAGCAGGTAAATATACGTGGACACTGTACATCATCTCCAATTGACAAGTATCCATAGACACCTATTGGGATAATATTGCCATTATGGATTAAATATTTATTGAAGAGTTCAGATAAGTTCGTTGCAGACGAGACGTACAGCATGAAGTTGATGCTGAATTGCTGATTGAGGCCGGCACGTGACAATATCAGGAGCTTCCCTCATCACGTGCGGGTGAAGCTCATTTCACACCCCGCTGTGCTCCATTCACACCCGCCACCCCGCTCCATTCACACCCTACCTGGTCACATGACATACCAATCCCTTCGAATCTCTGACGCAGATTGGGATGGTCAAGTATATGATGCTTTATACGAGTCAAGCCGACCATTCTGCGTTCAAACTCTGTAATTCAATGTATCTAACCTTACAGAGGATCACGGATGATCAAAAATGCTAACTTAGGTCCTCGTTTCACTCAAAAGAAGCTGGCGTAAGGCCGCTGATGCGCTCTTGGATGAGATCGCTGAACGACGTCTCCCCTGGTCGATAGTTCGCAAGTAACCTTCGTGCTTCTTCCGTAATTTCCTGCCCGTTCATCTGCAGCGGAGGGGCTGGCTAGGGCTGTGCTCCTCCGACCGATCTTTGGTGTTGTAATGGTGTTGCACGTACCTGTTCGAAGGCAGACGGGAGTCGACGCGAAGAAGGGTCGTTTGGCCGGTCTCTTAGTCTAGGAGGAAGTCGTGCCATAGCTGGATCGCGTACTGTCGCGAAGGATCCGGGTAGTGGGAGTGTAGGTAACTTGTAAAACCAATAGGAGTCGATCATAGGAAGCTGGATTTGCGTATTTTGTGATAGACAACGTCGAATAGTTATGGAAGCAAGGAAGTCCAAGAGAAGTCTGATGTATGTGTGTGCGTGGAGACTAGTTCGAGTAATCTCCTGAGCGCTCTTCATCTCTTTGTTGACGCTCTTCATTTCTCTGTTGACGCTCTTCATTTCTCTGTTGACGCTCTTCATTTCTCTGTCGCCGCTCTTCATCTCTCCGTCGACGTTCTTCAAGCCTGATTCGAATGATACTTCGATACATCTTCTTAAGCGCTTGCGGAGAAACATGTTGGATCACTTCCGGAGAGAAAACGGCGCGATACTTCGGATTGACACGGATTGCAGAGTCCTCCATTGCGACAGTAGCCTCATGGTTTGTACGACGGATTGAATGCGTTAATTGATCGATGGTATTCATTATATCGCCTCGTCGAAGCGTGATCCGTCGCTTAATAGTTGCATGAGAACTCTCGGCCCTCGATGTCGTACGATGCCCAAAGTTGCGATGCAGGTTTGTCCATGCAGCAGACCAGAGGTGTCGCGTATCGTAATGTTCGTGCCGGAAGTATTCGATGATATCTG